TAATTTTCCTATTGTTTATCTGAGTGGTGCTTGGTAGATGATGAGAGAGTAAGGTTTTGCACTTCAAATACAAGCTGCTTTATATTGTTGCTAGAGGCATTGTTAACACTAGGGTAATAATTACTTGATACCATACTTTAGTCACACCTCCTCAAAGTATTGGAAGGAGCTTATGATGTGAGAGGTGCTCATGATCACAGAATACTCACCCTCAATAACATGCCACCAATACCAGTTCAAGGATATTAAAAGTGCTATTAAGTACCAGTACAAGTCAGCTTTCATCTTCTATGTTGGTGAGGTTAGTTGCCATCAAAGACACAAAAGACTACACACTGAGAAAAAGGTTGGATCATATCTCAAACAAAAACGTTTTAGTTCACAAATAATACAAAGATCAAGTTCTAAAACCATGTAGATTGTGGTTGTCACTTGTCAAGAAGAGACTTTGAGAGGATAAGAAACACTAGTTAGTTTTGTTTGTTCACTCTAGAGAAAAAGCTTAACAAGATAGATTGCTTAACATGAGGTAACAATTGATGCCAAATGTCAACACAATGACATTATGAATGGAGTTAGGCTGACACCAAAACTTGAATGATTGACAATTGTAATAAACTTTTTATTGAAGATATGTATTTTGTGGAGTGAAAGATAATTGAATGAAACTCATTGTTGAACCCTTTTTGCAATAAAGCAGGACCTAAAACAAATAAAATATAAATTCATATTATTTAGATGGATGTTGAGATGAATGTGAACTTCAAAAGTCCTTTGAGTAGTAGAAACCAGACACAAAGGATTCATTATTTATTTAATAAATATTTTATATAGTTAATTTCTTTTTAATTTTGAAAAGCACAATTATATCTAAATGAGTTTTGAGATTAGTTACAATCACCAAAATTTATTGCTAGTTTATTTTCTGAATTATTTATTAAATTTATTTTTGTTGCATAACTTAACTATTCATGTGTGATATTTATAATTTAGGGTTTTCAAGAAAAATTAAGTGTGATATAAAATTTTTTATCTCTTGAATTTCAGTTTACAACTCAATAGAGCTTAATGATGAAGCAGAATTAAAGCAGCTTAATTTTTAACTTTTACATTAGTAATAATCCCCTTCTAATGTTATGGCTATAGAATGAATAGCTCTTGAACTCTTGGGTTTCACATCATATATATAGAATAATCTTGAGTTCTAATTAGAGATAATCAAGTTATAATTTAAACTATAAACTACTAATAAACTTAAAATTACCATTTTGCATGAAATATTCTATCCATTCTATCTATCCCTTCCCTCTTATAGATTATTTCTTACTATATCTTTAATAAGTAATGGCACTATACTAAGAAATAAGATGCACATCTAAGTAGAGATAATCAAGTTATAATTTAAACTATAAACTACTCAGGTTAACTTATAATTACCACTTATAACTTATAATTACCATTTTGTATGCCATGCTTAACATTATTTTGAGTCGTGAAGTTGATAAAGTACATCTAAAGTTTTTATTTATGGTTGAAATTTCAAAGTTTTCTTACAAATATTACTTTTAACTATTGTAAGACATGATATTGATACTATTAACTAATAATCACAAGTTGAAAATAGAAGTATTGATAAGTTTGTAAGTGAGTTTGTTAATAAAAGCTCATCCCTATGCTCTATCCGTAAACTCATTGATCTATTATCTAGTATAACTTGACCTCCTGGATAAAACATATTAAGGCAATTGGTTCCTATATAATAGACAGCTTCTTTGAAGTCTTCATATGATAATGCATGGTAGACTGCAATACTAAGAAAACAACCTAAAGAGCCAACTCGACCACTATACACCCCTGGTATATAACCATTAGTAGCAAAATTATTCCATGCTCTAGATGCACACCTACAAAACTCTTCTGTATTAGTTCCAGTATGAAATGTTCCAATACAGCTTTCAAAGGCTCTAGTGCTGTAAGATTGTGTCATTGTATAACATGCAAAAACAATCATAATGATAGCAAAAGAGGATTTCCAGAATTCCATAGATATATTGTAAAGAAATTTATGTGAGACAATGTTATTGGTTTATAAAAATAAAAGATAATTCAATCCTAGTTCTCTTCAATGGGATGAGTTGATAAGAAAAAAGTCTTCTATAATGATCAATAGTAAAACTACAAAAAGTCATACTCATGCATTCTAAGACAAGACTGATGCTATGCCTGTCAAATAATTGTAAATGGTCTTAATTCAAACCTGTTGACAAATGTTGCAATGCATAATATTTTAATTTTATTAGTTGAGGAGTTTGGTATTATATATTTTAATGTTTTTACATAATATAGTAACAGATGGATACATTAGGTAATTGTTTTTAAGTTGGTTTGGTTGTCCTCAATAGTGGTCATCAATAAGTTATCATTGCCCACTTTTAGTAAATCCTAAAATCTTCAGCTTGTTTATTTCATATATCAATATCTATCTATCTATCTATCTATCTATCTATCTATATATATATATATATGTGTGTGTGTGTGTGTGTGTGTATGTATGGTTAATACACTAATTATAATAATATAGTTATATAGATCATGCATTTAAAACTGAATCTAAACCAAAATTAAAATACCTATTTCTATATCCCAAATAGTCATATTGATGGAGATAAAGGGCATTTCAAGTTGTGTTTGGAGGGCAAAATTTAGTAGTTTTTTGCTCTAGTGTTTAGAATTGTGTTTTTATTTATTGATTCCCTTATTTTTTAGATCTAGATATATTCTAGCTTTTTGCCAGATCTTGGATTTTTAGCTATCAAATTTACTCTTTTTTCTAATCTTCATTATATTCCTTTTTTTTGCCAGATCCTACTGTCATAAATTGAGGAGTGTATGTTTTAGGCCATGTTGTTATGTTATTCTCAACCAACAAAAATTGTTTTTGCTAATATGCTATATGTTAATCAAGTTTTTAGTATTGTAAGATGATCTTATTGATCCTACTCCAATCCTTAGTGTGTTGCCATCATTAGTTTATCCAACATTTGATTACCTAACTTTGCCCCTTAAAACTATCCTGCCATGTAGTACATGATTACAAAACTTTTGTTCTTGGTGTTTTGCTTTCTCTTGCTAATGTGGAGTGTGATCATCATATCGAATGAAAAGATATAAATGATGCAATTCAGTTCTTAGAGGATATTTGAGGATTGAGTTTGTGATGACATTGTTTACAAGTTTGAGTGAATTCCTACTAACAAAGAATTTATTTACTGAAAGGATAACTTTAGAAATAAATTAAAGATTTTATGAGGTAATTTTACCTTTAACTTACCAATATTCTTTTTTTTTACCTTTCTTTCTTTCCTTGCTATTTCTTATTTCTTAGTATATTACTTATTAAAGATTTAGTAAGCAATAATCTATAAGAGGGAAGGGATATGTCTTGCATAGATAGAATGGATAGAATATCATGCCTCAAGTTAGTTAAGCCCTAAGGCTGATCTGTCCAAAGGTTTTTAAAGGGTTCATTATTTTTCCTATTGTTTATTTGGGTGGTGCTTGGTAGATGGTGTGAGAGTAAGGTTTTGCACTTTAGGTACAAACTGCTCTACATTGTTTCTAGAGACATTGTTAACACTTATAGCAATAGGGTAGTAGTTACTTGATACCATGCTTTAGTCACACCTCCTCAAAGTATTGGAAGGATGTGAGAGGTGCTCATGATCATAGAATACTTCACCCTCAATAACATGCCACCAATGCCAAAGTTCTAGGATATTGAAAATGCTATTAAGTACCATTACATCAGCTTTCCTCTTCTATGTTGGTGAGGTTAGTTGCCATCAAAGACACAAAAGACTACACACTAAGAAAAGGTTGGATCACATCTCAAACAAAAATGTTTTAGTTCACAAATAATACAAAGATCAAGTTCTAAAACCATGTAGATTGTGGTTGTCACTTGTCAAGAAGAGACTTTAAGAGAATGAGAAACACTAATTAGTTTTGTTTGTTTACTCTAGAGAAAAAGCTTAACAACATAAATTGCTTAACATGAGGTAACAATTGATGCCAAATGCTAACACAATGATGTTATGAATGGAGTTAAGCTAACTGAAACTTGAATGATTGATAATTGTAATAAACTTTTTATTGCAAATATGTATTTTGTGGAGTGAAAGATAATTGAATGAAGCTCATTGTTAAACCCTTTTTGCAATAAAGCAGGACCTAAAACAAATAGAATATAAATTCATATTGTTTAGATGGATGTTGAAATGAATGCTTCAAAAGCCCTTTGAACAGTAGAAAACCAGACACAAAGGGATATTTAATCTATCCAGAAAATAAAAAAGTTATAATATAGTGATCTAGTACATCACTTTCATTATAAAATATATACACACAAAAACATGAAATGAAGAGAGTCATCTTTCTTAGAAACAAAAACAAATGTAATACAATAATGAGCTAACCTACACCCCTTCTAATGCTATTTAAGGGCTGGGCAATTCACCAAGTTAGAAACAAGGAAGATTACAAGTTCATATTCTTAGTTCACTCACTTCCTACATTTCTCAACACCATAACAAAACTACATATCACACAGATAATCATATATACTCATAATATGGGAACAAGAACAAAAACAATGCATAGGCAAGACAATCTTCAACAAATATGAAGAGAAGGATGCAAAATACAAAGCATCCATTGTAAAACTTGCACACCAGTCTCACCAAAATATAATATATATAGACCTTGTAATCTTCCTTATTTCCAGCTGGGAGAATTGCCTGGATGCAGTGCATCCTTAATTGTCATTTTAGTGTGAAAAACATAGTGTTAGCTTGTGCATTTTAAAGACTATTATGTTGTCCCGATGTAAACGCGAGCTAGAACTCCAAACTCACCTCATTTAGCCAAGTGTCTTGTAGAGCTAGAATTGTAGCTCAAAGTTGCTCTCGATCAGGGGTTCTAAGGTTATCTTTCATACGAGGTGGCGAGACTAGCAAACTTATATAATTGTACGTGTGAACCACATAGGATTGGTCACTGCGACTTGATTCTTGGTTCCCAGGTCTTAAGAATCTTGCAAATGGACTCCACGGCCACTTTCTTAAACACCTAGTAACGAGGAGCGAGCATTTCGCAAAAGCCATGCCTGGAATATGATAGAAAAACGTACCAGATCTTCGTGCACCCGCCGGAACGCTTGGCAGAAACGTTCCGCCCCTTCCTTTCCTAGCTGTGTGGAGACGACGAAGATTGAGAGTTTGCAAACATGCTGGTACTCACTATCCACAGACCTTTGGCTCCGCCAGAGTTTTCACCTTCACCCAGAATGCTCCTGTCAAACTGGTGTTAAGAGAAAAGAAGAAGAAGAAGCAGAAGCTCACCGTGTGTAGTTCCCTGTGTTCCATTCTCATCCTTGTCCTTGGATCAAGTAAGATATACTGAACTGAAATGCTTCCTTGTTTCCACATACCTTGTCCAGAGATTGCGTCGAGAGTGGCCGATCTTCTTCCTGCCAGAACAATCATAAAAATGCTAGGAAAGATGAGATATCTAGAGCAAGAGCTTTCAAGTCTCACAATGATAGAGCTGACACTTCGTGAGCAGCAAAGCGTCGCTAAAGCATGAGACATCCAATCAAGCAAGTCTCTCGACATGTCAGCAAATGCATAGCACAATGCGCGACTGCGCCCAATCCAATCGCCAAATGAGAGAAAGTGAAAGGGGGAGATCGAGATGGAGCTTACGCAGTAGTCACGGGAGCGCACGACTGGAAAGATCTGGAGAAGGCGCTGGAACTGATGATCCTGTATCTCCTTCGCCATTTCTTAGGGCTACGTGACACACCCGCGGTTCGATTCCCTTCCGCGACGAACAAAGAAACTTAGGGCATCGGCGCCAATGGAGGAGCTCGTGAGCGCCTATCGAGCAATGGAGGCGCCTTCGGTGATCGTATCCCTGGCCAGGTGATCCTTCTCGCGCGATAATCCATTCCAATGGGGTGATGCTTCTCAGGGGATTTGGCGGCGGATGCTTGTCAGAGCAAGTCCAACAAGTTTTTATGGATCGGTGTGTCAAAGACGAGGTATGCGTGATCGCATTTAATGTATGCCATGACTAAGCTCCCCTGTGTGAAAGATTTGCAGGATTTTTCCTCCAAGTTCTTCTTACATAAGAAACTGTCTTAAGCAATTTATTCTTGCTGTGGAAGCCGAGTCGAGCTGCGCTTTGGATAGCCTTTACGACGAACACGCTGCGTTGCTGTTAAGGTGAAGCAAATCGAAAACTCCATTTCATCCTTTCGTTTTTCTCATATGGTTTCTCGTGACTTTCAGGATAGAAGACGGAAACAGCATGGCCTACAAGACGTTCTCTTATGCAGTACCGGGCGAGGATAAGCGCAGTGGAACCGTGACTCTTCGCCTGTCTCTTAACATGCTCGAAGGAGGCACGGGGTTTGTCCAATGGTTTTTTCTTGAGATTTTGTTTGATCATCTGTTTCTTTAAGGTGCTTTTGCTGGCCTGCCGGAGTTTATCTGGCAGAGCTCGTTCTTTCGTATCCATGGCTGATCAAAGGCAAACGTTGTTTGGAGGTAATCCAATTTTCTAATAGTTTTGATAGATCTTTTGGAGATTCTATGTGGTATTAGCTGGGGTCCGGAGCGGGACTGGTTGGTGTCTGTCTAGCTAGGCAACAACCTTTTGAGGTTTGTGCTGTCAAATCTTCTCTCACGTTCAAACTTCAAAATCAGTTGTGCAGCTTGTTTTGACGGATGGTGACCTCTCGACCTTCGCAAATCTCAGGCACAATCTTGAAATCAACGGAATCGTGTTGGATACAGACGAACAAGAAAAGGTTGCGCTCTTGTCTTCTTGTTTTTGTAACTTATTGTTCTAGACACAGGTCAAGTGTCGTCGCTTGGAGTGGGAGGACGCGTGTTCTACGGAACTTTATAAAGCTGATATCATGTAAGTGGTATTATAATGAGTAGTTTTCCTCGTGTTGATTGATGGCTCCAACAGTTTGGGCGCAGATATCATCTATGACACTGCTTGTATACCACACCTTGTAAAAGTTCTTGCGCTTTTACTTCAGGCAGATGCTGGCACCGAGGCAATTCTCGCAACCGTGAAACGAAATCCCGTTACCATATCGTCATTCTGTGATGCTGCCACCCAAGCTGGTCTCGAGGTTTCGGATGTATCAAGGACAATGGTACCTCTGAAATGCTTTCAGGGCCTGGTCTCGTTTGACAATTCGGACATGCTGCTTCACAAGGTTGTTGCCAAGCCAGTTTAGAGCGTGATCCCGCTTGAAAAACAAATTTTTATTCTAAAAGAGAATGAGGAAACATGAAGGTGGAAGGTACTGCAGAAGTTCCTCGCTGATCTTGTTTCTAACTCAGACCGTAATTGCTACAGACTAAACTCATCGCAAGAACTCCGGCTCGTGCAAAGATCGTCGGGCCCAAAAGCCAGGTTTGTCATGTCAGTGGGATCCAAGTTAAGACGAAGCTAACGATTCCGTGCGTGTGTAGGTGTGTCACATATGCGTCATGAGTTCGCAGCGCCGAATGGTCACACGTCCTTGCTCGCAGTTGATCTTTGCGTTTCAGCCGACTATAAAAGCTCGTCGCTGCGATCCGACAGCAGAAGCTATTTTTCTTCCTTTTCTGACAGTCTCGAGAGAAAGGATGGAGTCAGGTGCAGCTCGCGTGTCCGCACTCCTGGTGCTGCTGTTGGTGCTCGTCTCGTGGCGTGGCTCCGAATCGTGCGACGACAGCAACGCACTTGCGCAGCTCAGCGACTGTGCCGATTACGTTCACACCGGCTCGACGACCGCCAATCCCCCGGCAGCCTGCTGCCAGGAGCTCAAAGGCATCGATATAACGTGCATGTGTGCCGCGGTCCGCAGTGGCGCTGGCGGGACTCCTCCTTCGGGACTCAACGTCACGAGGGTGCTGCTGCTTCCGTCGCAATGCGGCTTGACGCCCGTGGATTGCTCCACCCCCAGCAACTGATCGAGGTAGCAAAGTTTGTTTTTTTTTTTTTTTTTCCTTTCTGCTTTGCTCACTTACGAGTTTCACCGTGTTGGTTCTTTCTCCAGATCACACACTTGAAATAAGTGTCTTCTCCTGAAAATAAGCTCAGCAGCAGCACTTGTCCACGGGAGAGACCAAAATCCATACGTGAATCAAGTAAGAGACATTTGCTTTTTAGAAATCTAGCGCTTTGTGTGTGTCGTCGCGTCTCGTCTCGTCTCTCTTTGTCGCTTATCATTCTTCGCATTCTTCTTCTCACTCTCATTCGCTCGCTCGACGATTGCATCCCAATCCATGTTTGTGTGTCTGTTGCTTTCTCTCACTCTCTCTCTCTCTCTCGCTCTCGCTCTCACACTCTCTCTCACACACTCGCTCGCTCTCTTCCATGCACGCTCTAGTCTGCTCTCGGCCAGTTATAAAAAATCTTTGTCCCTTTGACTTCATGGCGAGAGCAACAATTTCAATGCACGAACGGCGGTGATGATCGCGCTTTGACTTTGCAACTCTGGCGCGGTGGAGCCATGGTCAACACATCCCAAAACTCTCTGTTGTTTTGGATAGAAATCGATGCGTAGCATTTGACTTTGCAATGGCGTGGAAGGTGGCGGTGGTGACAAACTTGGAGAACCCTAGTGTGCGGCGCTAGCGCCTAGGCTTTTTCACAAGCACCCAAAAGAATCTTTAGGCATTGACTCTTCCCTTTGATTCAATCGATTCAATCAAACAAAAGTATTTTCTCGCTATCTTTCAGTTCTAAGTATGGGGAAAAGGTGGTGAGTCGTGAGTGAGTTCTCATAAGTTCTGTGTTATGAGATCTTTGTTTTTGATCGACACAAAGCAAACCATACAAACTATGTAGGTAGTAAAAGAAGAGTTCTTTATTTTTGCATCGCGAGACGTAAACAACGCCGCACGAGCGTGGAATTTTGTCTAAACCGCCAGCATTTATAACCCCGCGCCATTAAATCCTGGCCGTCACCTCCTTAATCTCCACACATCCTGCGGTTGCAACCACCCCACGTGGGTGTTATTCCCTTTACCCCCTTGTATTATCACTTTATTGACGTGCACGACGAGCCATCGCGCCCGTCAAGCCCGTCTCCCTCTTCTCTCTTTTCTTTTGCCATCGCCATTGCCATAGCCGGAAGGAAAGCAGTGAAAGAAAAGAATTAACGCCGCGGTCTTGTGCCCAAAGCTCACTCACAGCTGTGGAGCATTTGTTGGAGCGCGCTGTCTCGCGACAGATCTCTCGGATCTTTGTCCCAATTCTCCATCCCGGTCGCGTTTTCCAGCGGCGTTTCGGAGGGCGGCGCGGGAGCTCTCAAATCGGCGGGCATTCCTCTCATCTCACAGGTTCTTGTCTTCGCTAGCCTTGCTCGCCCAGAATCAAGGAAAGCGAAGAAGCTGGGAGGAGCGAATTGGGTCTATCCATGAAAACAGGCACCAGGGGGAATCTGGCTTGGGTGGTCGGCTGCTAGGAGGTGTTTGTCAAGTGGGTTGTGGCCGGAATTGGAGATGGAGCTCCCAGATCGCAGGAGAGATTGATAGGTCGGCCAAAGTGGAGGTGGGTTTTCGCGGCTTGGTTGCTTGGCTCCACACAGACCCTATGCCTGGGGTTATGGCCAACACTGACAACCAAGGCAATGTGGTGCCACAGCGAGACCCTTCGCCCGAGCTCCAGGTACTTTCACCCTTTCACTGGATAGAACTTAGAACAAAGAAAAAAGAAAAAAGTTTGCTCTTCGTGCGCTCGCTCGAGTGAAAGTGGAGAGTGTGAGAGTAGAGTGGAGTGAAGCAAGCATCGGTTTCTTAGTGCTAGATTTTGTTTTGTGGCTGCGTGCTTTCTTCAAGGCGAGCGAGCGTTACTGAATCGCGATAGAAAAGAATAGTTTAAGCTGGTTCTCTAGCGGAACGAGAAGAACTTACACTCGTTTTTTTTCGTGTTCTTGTTCTTCGCAGCGGCAGCGAGGGAAGTGCTGGGGGAAATTCTGGTGCCTCGGCTCCTCCCGGAAGCGAGGAATGCGAATTTGCCCCGCGAGACAAGAAGGCCCGGCGTCGGCCACCAATGCATGGACAAACGGAGCTTCGTCCTCCACCGCCGCCAACCAGTTCGTCGGCCTCTCGCCATCGCTGCTAGCACCGCCATCCTCCCCGGCGTCCTTCGCAAACTCGGGGAATCCTTCCACGGTGCAGTCCCCCGCCAGCTTCACCGTCTCGCTCTGCGTCCCCGCCGCCAGCTCCTGCTCCCCGGCCTTCGACTCCACCGCCACCATGTTTACCATCGGACCATACGCTCACGAGACGACGCTCGTCACCCCGCCAGCTTTCTCGGCCTTCACCACCGCGCCGTCCACCGCTCCATTCACGCCGCCGCCGGAGCTCGCGCACCTCACCACCCCGTCCTCGCCCGACGTTCCATTCGCGCAGCTCTTGACGTCGCTCAAGAACAAAGGCGCGGTGGCGGGAGGAGCGGCGCCGCCATACTCGGCCTCGCCGTTTGCGTCACCCGACTACGTGTCCCGGGGCGACATGCAACCGTCGTATCACTTGTATCCCGAGAGCCCGCTCACCAGCCTCATCTCTCCGGCCTCCGGGGTGTCCGAGTCGGGGCCTCCATCGCCGCTACCCGAGCTCGAGTTCCCGGCAGCCATCACTGCGGCCAAGGCGGCCAAGGCCACCAGCGTCCGCTTGGCTGTGAGCTTGTGCGACCGGCGAGCTGTGAGACTGGGACACGAGACGCCACGGTCGCTGGACTCCAACAATCACTCGAGGGAGCTGGAGCCAATCAAGATCTTGAGTCCTCCGAGGGGGCAGTACGAGGAGAGGTGGTGCTCCAGGACGCTCGACTCGTGCTCCACGTCGAGTAACGCTGTTGCTGCTACCAAGTCGATGGAGGAGTTGCCGCGGCGGAGTCATTCGTGTGGTGGGATCGATGAAGTGGAGCTCAAGAGATCGCTGTCACAAGTTGGAGCTCTTCCGCGAGGTGGAGACGATGACGATCGGGCTGACGCAGATGTAGATACGATGGTGGTGGAGGATTCGCAGCAGCCGACGTCGGCTTTGCTCAGGGGTGGCGACGATGATATCTCGGACTCTCTCCGGGACGAAGAAGGAAGAACAGAGAAGAACAACGACCTTGCTGCTACTGCTACTGCTGAGACAACAACGCATTCTCGGCCTATCGAAGAAGATGGAGTTGGAGTTTGCTCGTCTTCTTCATCGTCTTCTTGTTTGGACAAGTCGGGTGATGTGGAAGGAGAACCGAAGAGATACGAAGAACAGGCACTCGAGTCGCCTCGAAGCGACTGTGGGATCGTTCTGGAAGTGGAGATCACTCCGGACGATCTCGTCAAGGTGAACATCACAGGTGCCAAGAACAAGAAGAATGGCATCGTCACCAAGAAGAATGGCTTCCACCACCACCACCACCACCACCACCACAACCATAACCATCGAAATGGTTTTGTGGCGAGCTCCAAGTCGAGCTGGGAAGACTTGGACGCCATGTCTGTGGATTGCATGGAGCTCAACCTGGCCGATAACACCATCAAATCGCCTCTCAAGTCTTCTCCCACCATGGATTCATGCTAAAGTTTGTGCTTGTGGTAAGCTCTCTCTCTTTTCTACGTTTTCCTTTCTTCTTTCAAACAAGACATCTTGGAGCTCGCAAGCTAAGTAGATTGGCGCTGTTGATTCCAGCCCCTCCTGTTAATTATTTTCACAGAAGCAACTAAGTTTTTTTTTTCTTCCTCCATCCAACTCTTGCGTTGTGAGTGGTGAGTCGAGAGGAAGGAGAAAAGGAACAAAGAGTGCTAGAACGTCATGATCTGGTGAAGCACAGGACAGTGATGTAAAAAGCACAGCATAACGTATGGAGGGGATTGGGAAGAACACGCATGATCTTGTCAAGGTACTCAACAAATCGACCGAGAACACTCTTCTGACCTGGTAGAGCCGGAGGAGGAGGGGGAGGAGGCGCGAGTAAATTCTCCGAGCTTCTTCTCACGTAGAGCACGACTCCTCGTCGTTCCAATTCACACGACAAGCTGGTGTAGTCACTGCTACTACTCTTAGCATCACTTTCGAGTGTAATTGCCAAGGCCATTGAATGATCTCGCTCGCTCGAAGCAAAGAAAACGAATCCTGGAAACAATTGAGCACTCAAGAGCTTTCCTTTTGGTTCTTCTCGATCGCGAGGAGGAGCAAAATGTTATCCTCAAGAATCTGAGCAGAGAGAAATGTAGCTATAAGATGGCTCTGATTGATTGATTGATTGCCTTTGCAAAACATGGGACCCTCTCTTGATGTCCGAGTCGAAAGGAAAAGGAGAAAAAAGAGACACTTTCGGCAAGGAACGATGTGATACTCTACTCTTCCAGAAAAGAAAGAAGGAAACAAAAAAATGTATGTACAGTTGCTTGCGTGATGCGAGAAAAGGAGGAAGTTTCATGTCGAAGATCACCTAGAAACGTGAGTGGATCAATGAATGCTAGAAGAAAGAAGAAAGGAAGGAAAAATTCTCGTACCTTTTCTCCTCTCTTTTCGAGCAGCGTGTTAATCCGTGCTGATCGAGCGAGCTCTCGAAATCTCTAGAAACCTTTAGTGGAAGTGAGAGATTCAAATCTGTGTCGCAGTTCTCCTGCCCGGGCTGACGACGATACACTTTTCGGGATTGGCAACGTCCACTCCACCGGCGTGCTCCACAAACTCCTTGGCACTCATGTGTCGTCCATGGCAGGCACACACAATCTTCACCTCGCCCTTCTTGTATGCGAACAAAACTCCCGTCACCGTCTTGCCATTGGGTCCCGTTCCAGTCGTCGTCACCCACGGCAGATCGCTCACCACACTGCTGCTGCTGGATCGTGCCACCATCGCTGCTGCCTGGCTCGACCTCTCCGGATCTTCCCAGCCTACTGCGCCGTCAACTTGCTGTTCTTGCTGCGGCTTCTTGGGGCTCCGGAACGCCGAGCTCGTGCTGCTTCGCCTGCTCCAGCTATCCACGGACGAGCCCATGCTTGATCGCATAGCAGCGCCCTCCGACAAAGTTCTCATCAACGACCTGTTGCATCGAACCGGGCTTGGAGCGCGGAGGGTGCTGCTTCTTTGCTGCTGCTGCTGCTGCTGCTGCTGCTGGAGGAGATACCCCTGGCGGAGGTTTGCTCCAAGAGAAGACGAGCGCAGGAGAGATGGAGGTGGCGGCGGGGTCAGAGGTGGCGGAGGTGCCGGCGGCGGAAGCCTTACGTCGCCATCTGCAAAGACCAAATGCAACGGTGGTCATACCATGGCTCGAGGACCATCATACCTTCGCGAGAAGATATGACCACCTTTTGCTCCATCGAAGACGGGCAGGCAAACGATCCGGATGCCATCACCATGGCTACCGAGGAAGAGCCTGCGCTGCTCGACTGAGAAGAACCCATGGCTCGAGGAGGAACTGGTAGCTGGTCATCCGGAAGAGTGGCCTCTTCGCCACCATCATCCGGCCTTACCATCTTGCGCATCTCCAAGAACTTGTCAATCCACTCTGTCTTGGGCTCGTGCACAGCGCTGGGCCGTATCACACCGCTAAAGCTCGTAGAAGTACCCGCGGTCGTACACGTATTTAGAGCCCTGGCGGTAGCGTCTGTAGCTTCAGCTTTAACGTTTCCGGCGGAGGAGGAGTCGAGGGTGGCCGCGGAGGAATCCAAGCTCCTCCTGGACTTCCTGATAGCATGGCTATGGCCGCGGCCCGGTCTCGTGGCCTTGTTCTCGGTGGGACGATCCTCCATGTCCGCCTCATCCTTGACGACTGGCTTCTTCCTGGGGTGATGGTGAGAGTGCGAGGACGTGGTTCCAGAGCCGGAGCTCTTCCGCCGCTGCTGCTTCTGCTCCTCGATGAGAATCCTGCGCTTCTTGCGCGCCTCCTGCCGCTTCTGGCACTGCACCTCGCGCTTGAGCCGCTGCTGCTCCAACACTCTCCAGTTCACGGGCAGGGAATCCGACCGAGCCAGCGATGGCTGCCTTGCGCTTCCTACATTTACGCTTGCAACACCCGAGCTCCCTGCCGGGGCGAGCACACGATCGTCGCACTGCTGCTCCTCGTCTCGCAGGGGAGAAGGAGGACACGATGAAACTCCCGAGTGGGCGAAGGACGAGAGGCCGAGGCTGAGCTCCAGGCCACTCTCAAGATGCCTTCCTCCAGCTCCTCCCTGCTGCGTCGTGGGAGAAGGATCTTGGTGGTGGCGGTGTTGCTGGTGGCGCGGAGGAGTGATGCAGAGATGGGGCAGCAGCGGCTGGAGTTTGAGCAGCAAATCCTGCGTCCCAGCAGCAGTGGCAGTGGCGGCGGCGGCGGCGGCAGCACAAATTGTGGAGGAGGACGCTGAGGAGGACGAGGAGGAGAGTGTAGCAGCAGTGGGACTGGCAGTGGGAGCGGGAGCTTCGATGTCTACCTTTACGGTCATGGTAAAGTGGACGCGATTGCTGCTGCTCGTGGATGCGCCCTCGCTGCTCATCATGCTGATCCGCCGCTCACTTCGCCGCCGCGCAAGATCTCTCTCTCGCTCTCTCTCTCTCTTCCCTCCCCTCTCTCTCTCTCTTCCCCTCAATCCTCGCTAAACCTAGCGGTCTGTCCACGCAGCACGTGGCAAATCAGCACGTGGCGGCTGCTCCACGTGTCGGGCTTCACGGTTTTTAGGGAATAAAAGGATATTTTATGGCGATTAAAAAACTCTGTAAAAACCAGGGCACTACACCTGTAGGAGGTGGCATTGGGTGGACAAAGCCGCCCCATCGCTGGAAACGCGACACGTGGTGTGGTGCAAAATGGCACGTGGCATGTGCTCTAGGATCGGTTCCAAAGATTTTTATCACATCCAATGGTCGAATACATGGCAATCACGATGTGGATGTTTGGGCGGCACAAAAATCTGGAGTAAGATACATGTTTGATAGCATCACATATGGGGAAGCATTATTTACGTCAAGCTGGATCATCTCTTTGATCACTCGCATTCCACGGTTGAAATCGTGGTGCATCCTACAACCATTCAACAATGTCGTCCAAGCCACCAGTTTTGCGTCTGGCGTATATTTCGGCACCAATTCTATTGTTTTCTCTGCGTCATCCAGCTTGCCTACTCGCCCTAACACGTCTACCATGCAAATGTAATGGTCCACAATTGGCGTAATCCCATAGTCTCCAAGCATTGTGCCAAAGTAGCAAATGCCGCAGTGCTCCAAGATGCCGCCGTGACTACACGCAGACAAGATCCCAACGAATGTAACCTCGTCCACGTCGACGCCCTGGAGCTGCATGGCTCGCCACAGCTCCAGCGATTGGACCTCGCGACCACCCTGGGCATATGCCGTGATCATGGAGTTCCACGTCCACGTGTCCTTGCCCCCCATTTCGTCGAATAGCAGCCGTGCGGTGTCCAACACTCCACACCTGCCGTACATGGTCACCAGCGCGTTGCCCAGAGCCATCTCGGTTTCGAGTCCCCTCGCCACCACCTCCTCATGGACGAGCTCGCCCACTCGCAAATCGGCCACGCTCCCGCAGACGTCGATCACGCTCACAAAGGTGATATCGTCGGCTGGGGTGCCCTCCACGTCCATCTCCTGGAAGAGACGAATGGCCTCGCCGCCCACCCCGTTCTGTCCGTACGCCGCAATCATTGCGTTCCACGTCACCGCGCTCCTGATTGGCATGTCGTCAAACATTCGCCGCGCGTCCGCCACGTACCCCGCCTGGGCATATGCCGACAGCATCGCATTCCTGGCCACCACATCCCAGCGTGGCATTCCATCGAATATCCTCCTGGCCTCATCAATGTGACCGCTCTCCGCGTACGCCACAAGCAGATTGGTCCACGACAAAAGCGACTTGTACGGCATGCAGTCAAAAATGGCTTTTGCGGCCAGTAGGTGCCCGTTCTGGACATACGCGGTCACCATCGCATTCCACGTCACCCCGTCCCGCCGCGTCATCTCGTCGAATAGCTGCCTGGCCTCGTCCACGTCACCGTTTAGCCCGTAGCCGGTGATCATGGCATTCCACGCTGTAACGTTGCGCTGCTTCCCCAATCCATCGAAGATTTTGCGGGCTTCTCGTACGTCCCAAGCCCTGGCATATCCACTTATCATGGTGCTCCACGTCGCCGCGTCCCTCTCATCCATGCGGTCGTACAGCTCCCGCGCAGCGTCCATGTCACCGTGTGACGCGTAGGCAGCCAGCATGGCGTTGCAAGTCACCGTGTTCCTCTCTGGCATTTTAGCAAACAATGACGTGGCTCTTGCAAGATGGCCGTTCTGGGCATATGCGGTTACCAGGGCAGTCCAAGAAACAACGTTTGGATTCGGAATCTTGTCAAAGAGATTCTTTGCCTCGACAACACTTCCTCGTTTTGCATACGCTGTGACTAACGCATTATACGAAGCTTCATCCCTCCCTGGCATATTGTCAAAGAGCGCCTTGGCTTCCTCCAGATGCCCATTGTTGGCATACGCGGCGAGCATGGCATTCCACGCAACTACATTTTTCCGAGTCATCTTATCAAACAAAGCTTTTGCCTCGCGCACGTCCTGGTTTTGAGAGTAAGCCGTGATCATAACTGTCCAGGAGAACTCGTTTCTATCTGGCATCTTGTCGAAGAGCTTCCGAGCCTCACGAAGATGCCCTTTTTGGGCATATGCAGCCACGATAGCGGTCCACGAAACAACGGTCGGATCCGGCATGGCATCGAACAGCGTTCGAGCATCCTCCAGATTCCCATTCGATGCATACGACGTGATAAGACAGTTCCAGGTGACGGAATTGGGACGGGGCATCTTCTCAAACATGGTCTTGGCGTCGTCAAGATGCCCATTCTTGGCATATGCTGAGATGACCAGGTTCCACGAGTAGGCGTTGGGGCGTGAGATGCCGTCAAACACCCGGCGAGCGTCATCCACACTGCCACACTTTCCAAACATTTCCAGGAAAAGATTTGACAGGAACCTGTCGCCGGTGTGCTCGCTCGCCAGGAATTGCTCGTGGAGACGCTTTCCAGCTCGCAAATCCTTCGCGTTTCCGCAAGCACGGATCTTCTCGGCGCAAGCGGATGCATCCAACCCATCAATCGAGGCCAAAGACCACATCTCGTCTTCATCGATTCGGGGTGTTCCTTCTGGATCCCTGAATCTCCGTGTAGAGATTGGAGAGCAGTGTCAAGGAGGAGGAATCGGTGGAATCCCTGGACATGATCTCGTTGACAGCCGCAATCGCACCACGTCCTACATTTCCATGGACTCTACACGCTCCCAGAAAGCTCGACCACAAAACACTATCAGGCTCGAAGGGCATGGATGCCACAAGGCCATCGGCGGCGGCGAGCTCCCCGGCGCGCCCAAGAACATCGATGAAGCACGCGTAGTGATCCACAGTAGCTTCGATTCCAAAATCCGTCCACATTCCAACGAAGTAGCTCCTTCCCAATTCGACATCGCCCTTGTGGCTACACGCCGCAAGAACACTGACGAAGCTCACCTCGCTGGGCGTGAATCCCGCCTGGGCCATGCGACCGAAGAACTCTAGTGTTTCATCGCCAGAGCACACTGCGAGCATCGAATTCCAGGACACTACGCCGCGATGCTCCATCCGCGAGAAGATCTTGTGGGAATCGGCGACGCTGCCGCAGCGCCTAAACATCGCAATGAGCGCATTCGAGAGCATTGGATCGTCGCGTTCCAATCCTCGCACCGATACCTCGAACTGGATCTCGCGGCAGAGGGCCTCGATCCCTAGGGCAGCGCAGGCGGCAATGGCGGCCATGAATGTGATGTTGGTGAATTCCAGCCCTAGAACGTCCATGCCACACAGCACAGCCAACGCTTCTTTGCCATGCCCACACTGAGCATATGCTGATGCCATGGCTGTCCACGTTACCACGTCCTTCTCAGGCATAGTATCGAAGAGCTCTTGTGCTTCTCGCATGTAACCTAATTGCGCGTATCCTACCAGGAGGCTTGTGTAGGTGATAATGTTTCTTTGTGTCATAGAATCAAACACACTCTTAGCCACGTCAAGATGCCCGCATTGGGCATATCCAGCGATTAATGCGTTCCCACTTACAACGTTAGAATGAGGATTTTGGTCATAGAGAATCTTGGCATGGGAAAGTTGATGTTGTGAGCAGTAACCAGTGATCATGGTGTTCCAGGAGGCAGAATCTGGATTTGGGATCTGGTCGAAGAATTGCCGAGCTCGATGAACATCCCCTCCCTGGGCATATCCCGCAAGCATCGCATTCCAGGAGACGATGTTCTTCCGCGGGGCTGGAATCTGATCAAAAACGTTTCTGGCCTTTACGAGATTGTTGCTCTGCGTGTAGCCCGAAACGATCGAAGCCCAAGACACCGTATCTCTCTCCAGCATAGAATCAAACAACTCTTTCGCCTCGCGCACACAGCCATTTTGATTGTAAGCGATGATCATCGCATTGCAGGATCCAATCCCCGGGCTGGGGCCGATGGAATCAAAGAGGCGCCTCGAGGCATCGAGCTGCCCGTACTGACCGTACGCGGAGATCATCGCGTTCCATGTAGCCTCCGTCCGATCGGGTACGGCGTCAAACAGCCAACGGGCGAGATGGAGCCGACCGTGCTGACCGTACATCGCGATCATGGTCGTCCACGTGACCACATCGCTGCCCGGCATCTCGTCAAACAGGGCTTGGGCTTCCAGTAAATGCCCTGCCCGGGCATTTGCCGCGAGAAGAATATTCCATGATATAACGTCTCTCTCGGGCATCTGGTGAAACAAGGCAAGGCATTCGCGGACATTGCCATCGTGGAAATAGGCGGAGAGGATGAGGTTCCAGGAGATTAGGTTTTCTCGATTCGCCACGCGATCGAAGAGCTCCCTCGCGCGATCGATGCTCTCGCCGTGTTGCGCGAGGCCGGCGAGGATGGAATTCGTCGATAGGTCGTCTCTTTCCGGCATCCGATCGAAGATTTCCTGTGCCTGGTCGACGCGGCCGTGGTGGGAGTAAGCAGCCAGGAGCGCGTTGTAGGAAACGAGGTTGCGCTGGGGCATGGCGGTGAAAATCTGCTCGGCATCGCCAAGATTTCCAAGCCGGGCGTGTGCCGTGAGCATGGAATTCCAGGACACCAGATCCTTGTCCGGCATTCCATCGAACAGATCTCTGGCTTCTTGGAGCTTCCCCGATCGCGAGCACGCGGCGATCAAGATATTCCAGGCCATCTCGTTCCTCTCCGGCATGCAGTGATCGAAGAAGGATTTGGCGTGGAGGATGTGGCCGTTGTGCGCGTAGGCGGCGAGCACGGAGGTCCAAGAGACGACATTGGTGAGAGGCATGCGATCCAGCGCGATCTTGGCGTCACTGGCGCTGCCGCGGCGGGCGTGGGTGGAGAGCACGATGTTCCAGGAGAAGAGATTGGGGTGAGGCATCTGGGAGAAGACGAGGAGCGCGCGGTCGAGATGGCCGCAGTTGCGATACATCTCCATGACGAGATTGCACAGGAAGACATTGTGGCGGTGATCGGAGGCAAGGATCTGAGCGTGCAGCGCCTGGCCCTGTGCCACATTCTTGGATCTGGATGCCTGCTTGAGCAGCGCCGCGTAGCGATCGCGATCCGTGTGGTCGTGGATCTGGGCCAACATAGACTTGGGAGTTTTAGGGTTCTTGGAGGAAGCTTTGAGCGATGGCGGAGGAGCTGGATGAGCTCTTGATGTTCCTTTCTTCGCCAGCGCCAAACGTAAGAGTTTGTTTCCATTTCATTGCGCCTGACAAGAGCTCCTTTCGCAGCTTAGAAAGGCCGCGGTAGACATCATCGAAGGCTTGACTGGAAGCGACGAGGGGATTGCCAAGCTCAGCACCAAGCTCTCGATTCTCCTCCCGGCTCTCGTACAGCTCCTTGCTGGTAACAAGGCAAGAAGCGGATCCATGTCTAGTGCCTAAAAGCCTGTGAATGATCTTACGTCCAGCTCGTTGCGAAGCCAGCGGCAGGAGCTCTGGTCAATCTGTCACAGGATCAGGAAGTCGGAGAGATGCTGCTTGAACTGGGAGCTGTTGCAGGCGCCATGGATCAGATAGGCAAGCAAGGCCAGGACGTGGATAAGCTCATGGTGATGCTCCTCGTGAACTTGACGACTCTAGAGCCTGGTGCTCGGCTGCTATGCGAGGTGTGATGCTTGCTCTCCTTCGCCATCTCCAAATCTCTCTTACAATTTTCTTGCTAGGAGGGCGATGAGAAGCTCAAAGGACTACATATGAGTCGTCTCGTGAGATTGTTCTCGCGGACCCCAGAAGAAGGTATGATGAAAAAGCTGTTCTTGTACACTACCTGTGTGTGTTGCGTAGGTGACGATGCGTACGAGCACGTTGGAGCAATTCTTGTCAACGTATCGCGAACGGACTTGGGACGCAAGCTCATGCTGGACACCAAGCGGGGCCTCTTGAAACAGGTTCTACGCCAATGCGACTCCAAGAGTCTTGTTCGCAGGCGAGGAGTAAGTTGATGAAAAAATCTGTTTCGTTAGATAAGTTTTGCGACTTTCTCATCTCTGTTCTTCGTGCGCAGGTGATTGGCACCATCCGCAACTGTTGTTTTGAAGCTCCGTCCCATCTGCCGAGCTTGCTTTCCCTGTCCGAGCTTCTGTGGCCATGTCTCATCCTTCCAGCCGCAGGAAGCAAGGTCTTACTCAATTGTTGCACCATTGCGGGAATTCAGCTAAGCCCTCTCTCGTCGACGTGATGCCGCAGATCTATAGCGAAGAGGAGCGATCCAAGATGCCCCCGGAGCTGGCGGTTCCATTGTCCATAGAACGCCAGGCGGAACCAGACTCCCAGATCCGTCGCGAAGCCTTGGATGCTCTCTATCTGCTCATAAAGCAGGTGAAGTGAAGCGCTAGACTTTCTAGATCCGATCGCCAGGACTGATTTTGTGGTCGTGTTCCAGGAGGCTGGATTTAGAGCGTTTTGGGAGCTCGGTGGAGCCGACGTTCTCAAGTCCGGCTACGAGAACGAAGAAGATCCCGAAGTCATGGACAAGTACGAGCAGTTGGGGTCACTGGTAAGAACTGACACACACGCACTTCTTTTTTTCTCCCTGCATGCGCGTACGTATCAAACTCAAACACATTCTTCTACGCGTGCGCGTCACAGATCATCGCGCAGAGTGGCAGCAGCTCTTGACCGCAGTGATGGACGATCGATTCGGTTTGACAAATTGTTAGCGAGAAACTGGAGAAAAGTTTGTGTCAAGCACACTCACACCGGAAAAGTGCTTGAATATTCGCTCCTTCTACACACGCCTACTAGTCAACGGAGGTTTTTGCGTGCTTCGCTCTTCTCGTACAAAGAGAAGAAAACAAAAGCCAAAGGTTTTTATTTTGTGTGTGTGTGTGTGTGTGTGTGTGTGTCTGGAGAGAGAGAGAGAGACCTAAGCGGTGGGCGCGGCGTGGGTGAGAGGAATCTGGCGAGGATGTCGAAGATTATGGCCTACTCCGAGCTCGCCGAGCACAACAATCGCAAGGATTGCTGGCTTCTCATCTCCGGAAAGGTATCTTCTACCCTGATCTGCCGGATCTAATAGGGCTCCCTCGATCTGTGGAATGCCAAATTTTTCTTAACTCTCTCTCTCTCGTGGGCAGATTTACGACGTGACCAAGTTCCTAGAGGACCATCCCGGCGGCGATGAAGTCATCCTCTCCGCCACAGGTAAGTGACAACTTCCGGTGCCAAGGAGCGCGAGATCACTCTTTTTTCTCCTCCAGGGAAGGATGCCACGGACGATTTCGAGGACGTCGGGCACAGCAGCAGCGCTCGCGACATGATGCACAGCTATTACATTGGCGAGGTGGATTCGGCAACTCTGCCGGCCAAGCCCACATTCAAGCTGGCGACCCAGGACGCGTATAATCCCGACAAGACCTCGCAGTTCCTCATCAAGATCTTGCAGTTCTTGGTACCCCTGGCCATCCTCGGGCTGGCGGTTGCCGTGAGATTTTTTACCAAACAATCCTGAAAGGTTTGAGCAAGTCTTCCTCCTCCTCCACATTCGTGATCGTTCGTTCTACTCTTCTCTTTCTCTTTTCTCCCCAGGAAATAGGAAAGAACAAAAAAAGTTCCAGGGAAATAATTCTCCTCTCTTTTTTTCCAGAAACCTTGCCAACCAACCAAGTGCTTAGATATTGAAATCGAAGATTGGCTTTTGCTTTGTTTCTTCGTCCCCCCAGGGCTTTATTTCTCGCGATTGACCGACCTGGAAGAAGATTAGTTCCCAGTAATGCAAGTTTAGTTTTGTTTGACAGGTGGTTGTTTCTAAGTCACAAACGTTGGAAAAAAAAAGAGAGGAGTAGATTTAATATATAAAAGTCTTACTTTTCTCTCCGACTCCGACTCAAATAATTACATCATCGTCTCTTGCTCTTGATTGCTTAAAAAGTGTTCCTGTCTCTCGAGAATCCTTTGGTTGGTCTAACAAAGCTGTGCTCCTCTGCTCATAGCTCCAGATCAAACTTTCGCTGCTTCTTTGGCACCGGGAAGTCCATGATCACGGAGCTCCCACACTTGGGACACCTGGGATCCAACTGCGAGATCATCACGTACATGAGGCACCGCTTGCAACCAGTGAGGGTGACCTTGGCCGGTTGGCTTGGCGGAGGCGATGGAGACGACCGGGGAGACGATGCGGCGGGCGGGAGCAGGCAGAGGCACTCGGAGGAGGTGGTGGTGACGACGCTGCTGGCATCCTCCTCCTGATTGCTCGACAGATTGAGCTTGAGGTCGAGACCACCACTCTCGCTCTCGTTCTCCCTGTCCTCCTTGTAAATCGGGTTTGGATGATCCGCATTAGCAGCAGCATCGTCGCCGTCGTCGCCTTGCTTTTTCCTCCTCCACAGCTGTGTGGCTTCGCCACCATTCTTTCTCTTGACCGCCGCCGCCTGCTTTCCAAGTTCGGATTGCAGTAGCTCCAGCGACATGTGACAGGAGGCTGCTGGAGGCGATTCAAACGGTGGCTCTGCGGGTGAGCAAGAGTGGCCTTCGCGAGGATCATTGCAGGTGGTCTTGCCGGTGTTCCAATTGATGAAAAAGACCGTTCCAGACTGCACAAAAAAATATCGGTTTAATCAATCGGCTCGGCCTGTTGCACCACTTCAAAAATACAGACAAAAAACAATCAAGGCACACTCAATTACCAAGAACGAATCTTGGCCAAAATGGCAAACAAAAAAACGAAGAAAGCAAAAAACAAAAACAACGAGAAGGCTAAACAACAACGTGAAAAAAGCGTGAAAGAAAACATCAAATCTTTTTGCTACGATCCACCCAGAAAGAAACCGGACATACCTTCAAGTCGAGTCTTTTCTCCCATCCTTTCGGAAGCGGAACATCCTGGCCGAGCTCCAAAAAATCCGATTGTTGTTCTTCACCATCCGTTGTCATGGTAGTATTCGAAGCCCCTCGTCCACCTAGCAGGTCCAAAGTGTGGTGCCTTCCGACGCCGGATTCATCAAAGGGCTTCCCCAGCATCATCTCCAGCAGCTTCTGTTGATCATCGCCCCAAGCTCGCTTCTTGCTCATGCGAGCAATCCCACCGAGCTCACCACTGCCCCACCCGACTTCCAGTGCCACAGCCATCACCTCTCAATGCAATTTCACGAGCTTCTTCTCCCCTGCCTCTATAGCAATACAGCAGCAGCAGCGGCGGCGGCGGCGGCGGCAAAAAGAGTGGGAATTTTACCGAGCAAACTTTAGCAGCGCAAGGAAAGAATGGAAGAAGAAGCGGCTTTACCCCGGAGAAGAAGCAAAGCAATACTAGCGGCGCAGCAGCGGCGGATGATGGATGAAGAGGTCTGTCTGTCAATGGAAGTGGTAGTAGAAGAAGAGGAGGCTTCCATTGGCATTGAATGCTGCCATCTCCTTCACGCTACGCACAGGGGCCCCAGGCTCTTAACTTCCACATTTACTGGCTTGATGGGATGCACCTCCTCCCTCTTTCAAACATTCGTCTCGTCTCGTCTTCTTCTTCGATCCAATCTCTCCTCACTCAACTCCGCTCGCTCAACTTGACTTGGCTTCTTCAACTTGCTGCTCAGCTGAGTATAAGATGAAACTGAGTTGAGTAACCGGACAGTCGGCTGGAGCCCGAGCCCGAGCTATCTATCTATCGCAAGCCCTTCTCTCTCCCTGTCTCCCCCTCCCCCTGTTAGAGCTATTATATAGACTGTGCCCGGCCAAATACGATTACCGTCATCACCTTTAAGGTACTATACTAGTCTCTAGCCTGACTTTCCTTTTATACTAATTCTATGATATGATATGAAATGATCGCATATCTATCTATATCAATACTACTGCTCCGTCCGAAACTCACCTGAGGAAAACTTAAAACTATCCTACTACCCCTGTGATTCTCTAGCCTCTACGGGCACGTATACTACTGCCCACCTTCCTTGAATCCTTACCTTACCACCGCTACCAGCGATGATATATTAGATTCCTTCCAGTGTTCCGAGCCGACTAGACTGAACACACATGCCCCTTGGTGTTGCATGGCAAAGATCCCATCTTTCACGCTAAGAACCGGCCTGTTGTCTAAATTACCAGCGAAGGTATTAGCTGAGCATGCATGGGTGGAATTGAAATCAACAGAGGATACTTATCTGGAGGAGGCTGCACACAGTTGATGGCACAAGTATGATTGCCAGCTGCCCCTGGCTATTGGGTTTGATGACCCTTTAGTGCTTGCCTTGAATGGCCTCTCTCCAAATTTCCAGGCGCCACTAAATGCACACCTCTCGTCGCCGTTAGTTTAGTCATCATGTCCGGTAATCTGCCCGCTAATGCCTTCAATAATGCTTCTCCAAATCCCGCCCGAGCCGGGTCGGGTCGGGTCTCTCACTCGACTGCAACAACTGAAAACCAAGTCAGTGCCGGATATTTCCCTCAGACTTTGAGCAGCATTGTCTTACCTTCTTTCTACGTTGCAATCAAAACCCCGACCACCTAAATGTGTGAGAGATTTGAAAAAATCGCAAGATAAATGCACAGGGAGTAAATTCGAGTCACCTAACACAAAGGACCGGTGGCTGACAATGGCAATGGCAATTGGGAGAGATCAATCTTTCCTCTTTGTCCACAAAAATATATACCACCCAGAAAACAATGCGGCAAGGGATGCGATGCGTTGCGATGCTATGCATAGAAAAAAAGAAAGAAATGTTATCTTACTCTTTTTACAAACCTTTGAATTTGAACCTTTCAGGCTCTGTTGTTGTTTGCGACTGGCCGTGTCGAATCTTTTGTTGGGAGCGGGAGAGAAGCGGTAGGTGAATGTTTAGTTGTCTACGTGTGATTCTTCGCGCATTTATGCAATTGCAACACCTTGTGCGTCAGCTCAAGCTCATCGTCTAGTAACTTGAGCATTTTTTTCTTCGACTGCAATACGCGAGAAAGAATAAGAAGTTATAAGAAAATAAAAGTCATAAAAAGATACACTAAGCTTGGGCATTGATGCGGTTGAATGCGCGATAGCAACCCGCAAAAGGAAAAGCAAAAAAGATATTCACGAAATCAAAGCAAGACCGAGAAAGATAAGATAATCTCCGCTCAGGCAAACTCAGGCAGTTAAAACATGTGACATGTTTAGCGCACTGCATGTCCTTTGACACCACTCAATGCAAAATAATGCCTGTGATCTCCCGATAAATCATTTTCCCAGCAGCCTATTACATGCAAAGCAGTAGTACTGCAAAGATGAAGTACACTTTCAAACCAGTCTTCCTCACTCGCCATTTGAGCCAGCCAATGCAGAAGAAAGATAAGATGGTAATAACACGGACAGAAGCTACGAACCCAGTTATCCAGGCCTAAATGTGTAGGCAAAGACTTGTGCTCCACTTTATGACAATGCAAATGCAATGCAAGAACAGACGCATCGCATCCCACCACCATGTCAATCACCAAACCCAACTCAACTCAACGTCGAACCTCGAGGGAGAGGAAAACCAACCTGTAGTTTCGATGGATGGATGGATCACACCAGCGTCCTTCCTCTTGGCGTCATATCTGACCGTAGCAGGCATGAAGACCTCTTTGCGAAGTATAAGCTCTGCTGCTACTGCTGCCCCTGAATCCTAAAAGCTGTAAAGAAAATGAAAACAAAAGAGAACTTAGTGTCGCAAAGGCATAGCTTTGTTGCAAGCTTTTGAGAGCCCACGTGTGGTTTCATGGTCCGGCTACCTTTCTATTTATGAAATTCCGAAATGAAAGCCCACCTTAAGATGTCCCATATCGGAATGCCTCCATTATCTTAGACACGGACCGTCCCTTAATCCATCATATTGGCATTCAAGTTGCACCCTCCTCCACATTGTTACGGTTCCCCAATCCTAAAGCAAGCAAAAGAACCAGCAAAAGTAAGTAAATCCCGTTGTCTTAAGGGTTTGCTATTGCCAAGGCCAACCAAAGCATTCATGTCTCAGCAACATCACAGTATTCAACTCGAAAAAGATAGCCACATGCAAAGACGAAGACATTGCAAGCCATAAACACCAGCGTGGCCCCTGAACGGTGGACTTAAAAGAGGCCCACCCCTTTTCTTCGTTCATTCTAAAACAAAAGCTCTGAAATCTAGTACTAAAATGACATAGTGCGGGAAATCGATTCAAGTAGCCCAGAAAAGGAGGTGAAAATGAACCGACTGGGACAAGATAAAATCGGGAGAAGCAGTCCCAAAATCACGAGACAAATTGCTACTGTAGTTTCGGAAAGGCACACCTTAAGTGTCGCTTGCAGATACGCCTGGCACCAGGAAACAGAAATACAGGCCGACCTGAGAAGCAAGGAAAAGAGAAAAAAAGGAAACAACAGAAGCCGTATCCATACCTCATTGTCAAGCTTAACACCCCGTGGACTGGATATAAGATAAGCCGGACTTGAATGAGCGCTTTAAAGTGATGGAAATAGGTGACTGCGTGCGAATACAGCCGAACTGACTCCACTGTGATGTTGTCTTCGCAGAGTGACAGAGAGAAGTTATACTGCTTAAATTCTCTGCGGAGCTTGAAACTTACGTACACTTAGGTTGAGATACTTCTGTTCTCCACCTTGACAGAGATCCTGAAAGACACCAGAGAAATACACATCATGCAACAAAAGCGACTAGAAAAGCTCGTTTTCAGTCCTGACTAGAAAACTGCAAACGCTTCAATTTGAACAATGGTGGACTGAATGCAAGCAGGTACCCCATGAATTCACGCCGGAATATCCAACGCCAGAAATTCGCGTCGATTCAAAGAGGATTTAAAGCAGCGCTGGTGCGTATTGCAGAAACTTTGAAGATGGCGGGCAACAACGGCTCAATCAACCACAGCAACTTAATGCAACAAACAAAAAAATATGGTCGAAAAGAGAGAGAAACATAAAGAGAGAGCCAATTGCATGCATCGGTGAAATGCGCGAATCAGTGAGCTCGAGCCAATTGCGTGCAATGGTAAAGCGCACAAATCAGTGAGCTCCAACTTTCAAACAGTAGTGTTGAAATATCAAAGATGAGCAGAAAAAGAGAAAAAAAAAAAAAGGCTTACGTCAAGGGAATGGAAGAGTCTTGCGATATCACGTACACTGGACACACCAACATAAAAGAGGCATCCGGAAACACTATGAATGCAGCCTGGCTATGGCGACAAAACAAAGGTCATACACATTAGATATATATACACACACTCACATAGATAGATGAAAGCGACGACGACGTACCTGCCTAAGACGAGACCCTTCTTCACTCGCCCGCATTATGCCACTGCGCGACTGCGCAGCCGGAAAAAAAGACAAGGGAATGAAAAGAAAAGAAAATTGTGGAAGAAGCGATGAGATCTCGTCCCAGGGTACCTGAAATCGAGGGTGAAACCGCAGCAATAGACGCCAAACCATGATCTAGTGGCCGATCGGCGATGCAAATCCGGAGACGACGATCCATCGCTCGCTAATCGCCCTACATTTTCCTACCAAGAACCCTAAAACCCTTGGAAGCGTTTTATTTTTTCAAATGATCGTAGCTACGCCGTTGGATCGAACCCATGGATCGACGGCAGCCAAGGCGTGTGTATGACTAATAACTTACATTCAAGCTTTAGTTTCGTGCGAGAGGGAGAGCTCGGCATGAGTAAGTCTCTTTGAGGTTGCTGCGGCTCCCCGACGACGTGAAGATGGACTGGTAAATCTCTTTGGTGGCGTTGGCCGGGATTGGAAGAAGAGGCTTGGCTTTCTTTGCCACCGCTTTCATCGTAGACGAGTGAGTGAGAGGAGGAGCATCCTTCCTCTTGCTACTGTTGGTCTCGTCTTCGCCACTGCCACCTTCGATCGATTCGATCGCTGCTACACCGTTGCTCTTGGATTCGCCACTCTTCTCCTTCCTGGTAACGCGCCTGGCCGCCGCTCTCTCGGCCTCCATTCTCTCGCGGAGCAGGCCAACTTCTTCGTCGGTGCCATTGAGAGGGATTTTGTCCTCGGCTTTAAACTCCGCGAAGCAGACCAAGCACGACGAGGACTGCACCTCCTTGAGCGCTCGGACGCTCAAGACATGGCCGCAGTTCTTGAGCGCCACGAACTTAAACTTGCCATTGAACTCCTGCCCCGAAACCGGGCACTGGAACTTGGTCTCGACGTGTTCGTCGTCGGGATCCACTCCGGGGATCGCCGAGAGGTGAACCGGCGTGAGATCCTTGAGACCCCTGATGTGCCGGAATTTCTTGGGGAGGGACTTGGTGATGAGCGCGTGAACAAGAGCCTCCTTGTTGTAGAGATTCCCGAGAGGATCCATGACGCAGGGCGGCCGGAGATAATCGCAGGAGAGAGCACACTGGCACCATCTCGCTAGCCTAGCCTCGTTTGGATCCACCTTATCAGGCTTCTTCTCAGCGTACATCTTGAGGTAGCAATCCCTCGACTCGGCGCCCGTGGCACCGCCATCGCCACCGCCGCCCCTGACCCTGACCCCCAAATGGAGCGTGCTCCAGCGGCCCACACCGGATTCCTGGAGCGATCGGCCATGGCCGAGAAGCTTACCTCCGTGAGAGAGATAGAAAGCGTCGTGCGACGATGCCCGGGGCAGCAGCGCCTGGATGACATCGCCGGCGGTGGCCGAGCGCCCCACCTCCACACACGAGGACGATGATTCGCTCCTCACGAAGATCTGCATTCTCCTTGCCCTAACCCTAGCTAGGGCAGAAAAAATCCAAAGAAATAGAAATAAAAGCACTGTTTGGGGCATTCCGAGAATCGAACTCGGGACCTCTCGCACCCGAAGCGAGAATCATACCACTAGACCAAATGCCCTGACCCGTGAATTCCATTCAGTGCATAAGGTGTTGTCATTGTTTTTTTCGTTTAGTCTGTTACCGTGCTCTTTTTTGTGGCCCACGATCCCAAGGCTCGTACGATTCGCGCGGGGCCACAATTTTCCCAATCGATGAGTGTGTGCCTTTTTCCGTGTAGCAAGGTGGGCCTTTGGTGAATCTCTCCTCTTTAGTGCCTTTGCTGGCGTCGACCGATTGCTTATCTCACTCACGCACTGCCACTGGATATATACATGTAGTCGACACCCGTATAAACATCCAACCAGATTGTGGGGGCTACAAATACAATGACGTATAAAGCTAGCGATAATACCATGCGTTAATACTTGTTAATATAACCATGTATCCAGACATTCCAGCACGCTTTGGACAGATTATGTTAATCAATCGGGGTCGGTCAATAGCACGCAAGCTTGCACTACTTTGGCTACTGTTTTGGTCCCACTTTACGTACCTAGTTGTGGCTCATTTCGGCCCGGCCAAGTGGAAAAGGAGGACCAGGACCAAAATGTTTTTAATGGTGTCGTGAACAAAACTCCAACGATTGAAGCACACTAGATGATGGACGCAACGAGCTCTCAACACCTCGCTCCACACTTGTACGAAGACCCGAGGGCCAATTCAATGAGAGCCTTGTAATCTAGCGCAACGCCTTCTCTCGCTCGCAACCCCGCTTGATTTTATTCATCGACATTGATTGGTTATATTCTCCCGCCGATTCCTTTCAATTGGAGATTCATCGATTATATTCTCCCACCGATTCCCTTTAAATGGAGATTCAACGAAACAACGGTGGTGAAAACACGCAAACTTTTGCCCGGTCAAATAATGCAACACCCAGCCCACGTGTCCGCGCCTCCGCAATCTGGTCACGTGGCACCGCCACGTGGAGCGCCATTTTATCCCCCGCTTGCTAATGACATGGGGGCCGTACATCCGTACGGAGGCGACCTTTTTCCGTCCATAAAAGAGCGACCGAGCCCTTGGACGGAACAATTTGCCGCTTTGGCCGCCATTTTTTTAGCTAGTCTCGCGGTCTTTGCCTCCAGTCCAAGGCTTCCATACACTTCCAGATCGATCAACTGGTAAGATCGCTCGCCAATCGCCACGAACGATCGCTCTAGCAGCGCTGCGTATCTTCTTCCACGATGCATGATTCGCGCTTCGTCATCCCGGCCCCGGTGAAGCCGCAGCAGCCCCGCCGTTCAAATCCCGCCCAGCATCAGCTCCACCAGCATCAGCTCCAGCCACAGCCAGATCTCCCAATGTCGTCGGAGCGATTGAGGGCAATGAGAGCGTCGGCGTTCCGCGCGGTGTGTAGAGGCCCTTCGTCGGCGGCGGGGCAGAATGCCTCCGCCGCCTCCGCCCCCGCCAAGATGACGTGCCTCTGCGCTCCCACCTCCCACCCCGGATCTTTCAGATGCCGGATGCATCGCGCCCAACAGCAGCAACAGCAACACCATTCTCCTCCTCCTCATCCACTTCCGCCGCCTCAAGCTTCTTCCACCGCCACCGCCGCCAGCAGTAGCGGAGCCAGATCCAAATTCTCCGGCGGCGCCGCGCCCCGGCCGGCCCAGATCTCGTCCACGCTCAAGACGTGTAGCCGCTGCCGCGTGAGGGGTCCCAGCCGGCTGAGCACGGTGGTGTTTGCGAGCGGGCGGGAGCAGGAGGAGACGAGCGAGGAGCCGGAGATCGCCACCATCCCCATCCCGTACGAATCTAACCCCTCGATGATCGATCCCTTGTTTGCCTCGTGCTCGGATCTCACATCCCGCTGGTTTTGTTCCAGATTGCCGGTCGTGAGATTGTCGCACCACGCGACCATCCACCGGGGGATCTCGGCGGCCACCATTGGGGCCCGATTCTGTGCGTTGCGGAGGCTCCAAGGATCGGGCAAGGAGGACTTTTTGAGGCTCATCCGGCCCACGAATCCCCGGCCCATTCTCTTGTCGACGTAGTAGCCGCGCGGATCTCCTCCCCCTCGCTCGTTTCGATCGATCGATCACGGTGTAAATACTTCCTCCTCCTCCTCCTCCACCGCTTGTGCTTTCGTGTGAGTGTCCAAATTTTTTCTTTTTGCTCCCTCGATGCGAGAAGAGTATCGAGGGCCCCAAGGGATTAGAAGAAGAAGATAGCACTAGACCAACAACAGTAGAGAGTTTAATGCTCTCCGTTATCTTCTTCCATGTACACTAGCAAAAGCTTTTCTACGATTAAAATCGTCGCTAGATAGTTAGCTCGGGTGTGCATTGATTGATTCATCGAGACCTGACCATCGCCAGACCCGAGTTTTTTTTTTTTTTTCCTCCCACCAAACAAACAAACCAAAAACCAAACCAAACAAAGATGGCCATACATACAAGCCGAATGAAACGGCCAACCAAAGTCCGCGCCAGTCAATCGCAGCCGTTGGGGCCCGGCCATCCCGACCGTTGCTCGCCTCCCATGTTGCTGGACTTTCAAGGTGTGTCAGCCAAGCCCACACGCTCGTTGCAGCGTTTTGCGCGGCGCGGGATTCGAAACCGCGACCTCGCCCGTCTTTTGGTGGGTCAAGCCCAGCCAAGCCCAGGCCACCAAAACAAAAAAGAAAGCCAGCCACAGAGTCGTGGCGACCAAAAGATAGAAAAAAATCCACTGCATTGCATTATTGGAGAGTGAGTGTGTGTGCCCAGTCTCGCAAACAACACAAAAGAAAAAGAGAGGGCCAGCGGTGGACGACTCTTTCTCTCACTCACACTGCCTTTGCATTACCACCTTTCTCCTCCCTCCTTTGTCGTCAGATCCATCATCTCCACCGCAAGCTTGAAAATGGAGTGCCCTGTTCCTATCCGTTTTGCTCCAGCGATTGGCCTCGGGCCGTGTGTCGCGAGCAAACGACAAAGCCCAACACCAGCGATGATCTTCCCCGTGATTAGATTAGAACGACGCCGGCCAGCTTAGCGACGTTCCCGCTTTCGTGTCTTACATGGCCTTTTATCCCCGTCGATGCAGACACGCAACCAGAAACAAGTTTAGCGGATTTGTGAAGCTTATCTCGTACCTAGGACGGGGCCGTGAATTGCTTGCTCATCGCTATCTGCTGCCTTGCTTCGATTCTATCACGCATCCACCACTTTTTCTTATCCTCGGAGATCTTTGGTGGTGGTGCTCTTTTCTTTTTTATCTTTCTCGATCCACTTCTCCGGGTCTGCGGCATGGAGGATCGGATCCCGAGAAACGAGCCCCTTTTCTTGTGCACGACGTGATGGACCGTCACTGCGGCCGCTGTCAGAGTTGTCTCGAGCGAATAAATGGAAGTATTTTTTTCTTCCATCCCATGCGCTGCTGCTGCTGCTGCTCCATGCCGTGAGAAAATATCCCCGCGGAACTTATAACTGCCGTCCCAGGCCTTGGACCGAGAACAGGAGACAAAGCTCTGAGCGAGAAGTCTGCTGCGCCCACCACCCTGCCTTGCCGGTGTCGTAACAGCTAAACGGATTGAGAGGAGCCATCGTCACCGATGCCAAAGTCGCCGCCTTGCGCAAAGTCGTGTGCTCGCTGCCACAAGCAATCGATGGCACGGCTTCTCTGCTAGTGAAACGCACACTATCTGCGACTGTCAACACCTTCGTCGTCCCGGAGAAAGCCCGGGCCTCATGCCGTTTCTCTGCTATGATGTTGAACACCTCCCTCGCCCCGTGCGAGAGCCCCACTCCCTTGATCAACAGCACGTAGAGTTCCTTGGAAACGACCCAAGCTTTGATCATCACACCCATGCCTCCGACGGCACCTTTCACTCCCAGCAGGCCCTTGCCAAACGCAGCCACAAAACCAACCTTGAGCGACGCCAGCGCTTCCACAGTGCTCAGCGCGCCTCTCGAGGCCTCGTAGCATTTGAGAATCACGGTCCAGTTCGCCGCCGCAACTCGATCATGGGCGACCATCACCTCGCTGAGAATCCCTTTGCTGCCCCTCACCAGGTCGAGAGCACCAAAAGACGCCTTGATCCCGCTCGCCACCTTCTTAAACCTCCCACCAAAGCCCACTCCTCTGTGGAAGCCCCGAGACTTGAGTGCCTTGTGAGACATCTTGAGACCTTTGATCACAACCTTGGCAGCCCGAATTCCCACGACGATCCCATCGGGGGAGAGTATCAAGCTGCTGCCACCACTGCGCTGGGCATTGAGCAAAAGCATCACCCCGTGAGCAGCCTTGATCGCCTTCACGACCAAGTCCGCAGCCTTGATCCCCGACGACACAGCCTTGAGCTTGACGAGCAAAGTTGCCAAGTGAGCCGCAACAATGAGCCTCTCCACTCGAAGCTGGGTAAAACCTCCATCGCCATCCCTGGCGCTCAATCTCAACCCTGCTGCCGCCACATCGCTGATCGCTATGCCACCCCCTTGATCACCCTCATCCCGAGCACTCGACGCTCCAGAAACCCTACATTGCGCGACCAGGCCCTGCGAATCCAGATTTCTCCCTCTCTTCTTCTTACCTGGACAGGAAGAAGACGGCGAGTGGCGGCGCATTGCCAGGAAGAAGGCGAGGCGGCCCAGGAGCGCCGCCGAAACCAAGGCGTCCGCCATAGCAATAACATGGAAGAGGTAGTGTCCACCATAGCCTTATTAATGCCCTAGACTCGCCCACACGAGCTCGAAACCAAGACCACCACCTATCGCTTTCCACCAGCATCGCGACGAGTGGCAATAGCTCCTTTTGGGGAGATACCTGACCAGATGCTATGATTCTCCCTCCCTTCCCTCCCTTCCCACGGGCCACCCTCCATGGGAAAATTTCCATCTGGGAAATTTTCTTGTGGTGTGGCATAAAACCCCTACTTAGATACCTTAGAAAATTTCGTGCAATGGTAAAAAGGTAAAGAAACTAGTAAAAGGCTCTTTTCTTGGGGCCTTTTTACCCCATACATAGGGCTTGTATAAATTAGGAGGGAAGAGAGGAGAGATAGCCAAGGTTTGTAATTTGATAGCTAGAGGAGATGGGGAGCCACTATGGCGATTACACCGCAGGGGCAGAGCTGGAGCGCGAGGCCTATTGGCCGAATGAAAAGCTTCGCATTTCCATCTCCGGCGCTGGAGGATTCATCGCATCACACATTGCGCGGCGGCTCAAGGCCGAGGGCCACTACGTCATCGCGTCGGATTGGAAGAAGAACGAGCATATGAGCGAGGAGATGTTTTGCCACGAATTCCATCTCGTGGATCTGCGAGTGATGGAGAATTGCTTGGCGGTGACCAAGGGTGTTGATCACGTCTTTAATTTGGCAGCCGACATGGGTGGGATGGGATTCATACAATCGAATCACTCGGTGATTCTTTTCAACAACACCATGATCAGTTTCAACATGCTGGAAGCAGCTCGGATCAATGGAGTCAAAAGGTTTGGGAAAATCTTTTTTTTTCCTTGGTATTTTGACTTTTCCTTCTCCCAGATTTTTCTATGCATCCAGCGCATGCATTTACCCAGAATTCAAGCAACTTGAAACGAACGTGAGTCTCAAGGAATCGGATGCTTGGCCAGCAGAGGTATGCTGTCTTCCAAGAAAAAAACAACTTGTTTCTCAAACTTTTTGTTTTTCATGTTGCTCTTTCTAGCCTCAAGATGCTTATGGACTAGAGAAGCTCTGCAGTGAAGAGCTGTGCAAGCACTACACCAAGGATTTTGGAATCGAGTGCCGGATTGGAAGATTTCACAATATTTATGGGCCTTTTGGTACCTGGAAAGGTGAGCGGTCTAAAGTTTGTTCTTTACTCTCGTAGCTCATGCATTGGTGATTGATGAAAACCAATTCAGGTGGACGGGAGAAGGCTCCAGCGGCATTTTGTAGGAAAGCTCTAACTTCCACTGATAAGTTTGAGATGTGGGGTGATGGGAAGCAAACACGATCATTTACGTTCATCGATGAATGTGTGGAGGGTGTTTTGAGGTGTGTCTCTTTTTCTGCTTTCTGGAATTGATGGTCGATCGATTCTAAATGTCTTTTGCTTTTTCTTTCTTGTCGTGCACAGGCTGACAAAGTCGGACTTTCGTGAACCGCTCAATATCGGAAGTGATGAGATGGTGAGCATGAACGAGATGGCTGAGATTATCTTGGGTTTTGGAGACAAGAAACTGCCAATCCACCATATCCCTGGGCCAGAAGGTGTTCGTGGTAGAAATTCGGACAACGATCTGATAAAGGAGAAGCTCGGTTGGGCCCCAACAATGCGACTCAAGGTGAAAAAACGAGTTTTTTTTTTCCTCTCTCTCCTGTTTTGCAGAAGCAAACTAACGTGAGATTGTGTGGTGTGTAGGATGGACTCCGGATCACTTATATGTGGATCAAGGAGGAGCTAGACAAGGAGATCTCTGAGGGACAGGATATGGCTGCTTATAGCTCCTCCAAAGTTGTGGGAACTCAAGCTCCTGTCCAGCTTGGCTCGCTCAGGAAGGCCGATGGCAAGGAGTAGTAAAGCGAACTTAAGTGACAAACTCAAAAAAAGTAAAAGAGTGAGCTTTGGATAATCACGAAGCGTTCCTTCACTCCCACTTGCAGTGGAAGTGAAAGAGTAGCAGCAATAAGAATACAAACATCTTGGTTTTATTTTTCTTTCTCTTGGCTTGGATTCGATTCGCTTGAAACGATGGAACTTTAGCTGGCGAGAGCTTCCTTGAGCTCCTTATTCTCTTTCATCTCCATGATAATGTCACAGCCCCCGATAAGCTCGCCTTTGTGGTAGAGCTGAGGATAAGTTGGCCAGTTTGAGAATGCCTTGAGCCCCTGCCTCACCTCCTCGTCACTGAGAATATCAAAGCTGCCAAATTCGATGCCTTCCTCCTTGAGTGCGCTTGCCACCTTCTTGCTAAACCCGCACTTTGGCTCCTCCGGCGTCCCTTTCATGAAAAGCATTGTCGGGGACGAGTGAATCAGCTTTTTCAGCCGGCTGTTGATGTCTTCCTTTTCCTCTGTCGCCCCCACAGCTTCCTTGAGCTCGCCACTCTTGTGCATTTCCATGACGATGTCGCATCCACCTATCAGCTCGCCCTTGAAGTATAGCTGCGGAAACGTTGGCCAGTTGGAGAAGGACTTGATGCCTTGCCGGACCTCTTCGTCGCTCAGAATGTCGAAGGAGCCAAAAGGAACTCCCACCTCCTCGAGTGCTCCCGCCACTTTCTTGCTGAAACCGCACTTTGGCTCCGACGGACTCCCTTTCATGAACAGCATCACGTCGTGCGAGTGGATAAGCTTCTTTAGACGCTCCTCGAGAGTTTCCTCCGGTCCCTTGTCGGATCCATTGGCGTGAGCTTTGCTGCCATTCTCTTGCGACTTTAGCTTGGCGTCCGCAAGAGCTTCTCCCAGCTCCCCGCTCTTGTGCATCTCCATTATCACATCACACCCTCCCAAAAGCTCGCCTTTGTAGTACAGCTGCGGGTATGTGGGCCAGTTGGAGTAGAGCTTCAAACCTTGACGGACTTCTTCGTCTTGCAAGATGTCGAAGCTCCCAAAATCCACGGACTCCTCCTTGAGCAAACTCACCACATTCCGGCTGAAGCCACAGCGAGGCTCTTCGGGGCTCCCCTTCATGAACAGCATCACGGGCTTGGAGCTAACGAGCTTGTCCAGCTTTGACTTGAGCTCACCGGACACCGAAGAAGGAGGCTCCTCGGACTTGATTTCCGTCTTGCTCGCTCCATTCTCCTTTGGAGGAGCAGCTTCCCCCGCCAAAGCCTCAACTTTGGTGGCCAATTCGGCTGGATTCGCGCCCTCCAGCTTGTCGATCACCTCCTGGTTCTGCATCACAAACAGCACACAAGAGTAAGAAAACAACGACCAGATGCAGCGATTCAGTGACTTTTCCTTTTCTACCTTTATAAAAACGAAGTAAGGCACCACAGAAACGCTGTACTTTTCGGATATTTCTGGATGCTCCTCGGCTTCAACCTGTGAGTACAATAATTGGTGGATGTTTATTAGTCAAGTCTAGGCAAATCAGAGAAGAGAAATCGAGCACACGCCCTGTCAAGCGAGACATGGCATACGGCAGAAGAGAAGGGAAAAAAAAATAGCACCACCAACAACCAGACTCACTTAAGAATGAGACTTGCCATTCACAACTCCACAACAAAAATGTGACCGATTTAGAAACGTGGAAGATGAAAGAGAAACCAAATCCAAAGAAGAAAGAACAAGACAAGCAGCAGCGAATCGAAAAAAAAAAATGCGATCCGAGAAATCGATGAAGTATTGTATACAAACCCGGAGAAATCTGGCACGCGGAGCAGTGTCGGCACAGAGTTGCTCGAAGACGACATCCATTTGCTTGGAGGCCTCGCACCAGGGCGCACGGAAATGGAGCACGACCGATTTACCAGCCTTGACAACCTCGTCGAGATGCGCCAATCCACGAGCTTCTTCCACCATGAGCGCCATGGCTCTCCCTCTTTGATCGCTCGAGACCTCCGACCTCGACCTAGAACAGAGGAGAACTAGGGCAAGCTTTTAAAGCGGACGAGCAAGCGCATATTCCCTCCCAGCAGAGAGCGCATATTCCGCCACCGTGGCGGCGTGGGCCCCACCCAGCGTGCAGAACCCCGTTTGCGTGCGTGGAAGGAACGGGCTGTACTCGTGCCTGGCGCCACGTGTTGAGCTGCGAGTGGCCTGCCGGATTACTATACTGGGAGAGTGATGTGGATATCCCCCAATGTTTGGGAGCACTAAAAGAATGAGTTGTTGTGATGCAACATCAGTCTCCTTTGTGGAGGTGGAATCGAATCAAACCAACAAACATTACAATCTCTTTCCTCCAAATTCGATCGAAACTTTGTGATGTTCGATTTCATCCAATTTGCCTCTTCCATTTCCTCGAAGTCATGTATGCCACCCTGTCCATGTACGCTGCATTGTTCTTGTCCCTCATGCCCGTGTCAAAGTTATAGTCGATGAGCAGCCGAACAATTCTTTGGTTCCCACATCGCACTGCAATGTCCATTGCAGTTTCTCCCGATGTTCCGGCGTTGGGCCTCGCACCCGCCCTCAGTAGTAGTTCAACCATCTCACTGTCCTGACTAGCAACTGCTTGCAACAGTGGTGTCGACACTTGATCATGGTGATACTCTAGCCCGTCCAGCACAACACCACCTTCACTTATAAGGAGTTCCACCATGGTCTTTTCCCCTTTGAAAGCGCACTCGGCCATGAGAGATTGTCCTAAGTCTGCCCACTCCTCCTTGGAAGAAAGCTCATGTACCAGCTTCCTCAGCTTTTCCAACACCCCTCCCTCGGTATCGATTACCTGGTTAAGGTCCAAATTGGCGATCACGTCCGTGTAATCCTCCTCGTAGAGGAGGAGGCTATGCAGCTTGTCAAAAACGAGATGAACGTCACCCTTCTCAATTGCTTCCTTAAGCTCCCCCGTCTGGTAGGCTCTAGTACTGCTTTCATCCTTTCTCTCGTCATCGGTGTCGTGTGGAAGTTTCCCCATCTCTGTCAAGACGGCTAGCACTTCAGCATTCTGCCGGGCGGCTCGCGCAAGGCAGGCAAAGGACCAGCCGTCAAAGTCAAGCACCCCGGCTGCGTACTCAACCATTTCCCTGCTTCCATTTGCCCCCAGGCTCCTCCACAACCTGTCTTCAACGCGATCATGTCGGGCTGGATCCTTCCAATGCGAGATGATGAGTTGGAAGACTGACCAGTCCCCATCTCTCGAGCATGCATGGCTGAAAGGCTCCACTCCATACAACTTACATGCCTCCACAAAAATCCTAAGAAGTGGCAGAAAAGCCCGGTGCTGGGGCTCGATATGATGCCTGTGTCGAAACAGCTGCGCCACCTTTGCTGTAGAACTAGTTATCCCATCATTGGAAGCTGCATCAATCACGAAAACGTCCAGCTCCAGAAACGCTGTCATCACGGCTAAGCTCCAGAAGTCCATGGCATGGTAAAACAACTCTCTCAAAAAAAGCGGGTCATTCGCAGGTGTCGTTCCCAGAGTCCCCCCTCTTTCAAGCAGGAACAGGACCGCTCCCACCTTGTCACCTTCGATGGCATACGAAAGTGGAGTATTGAACTCGTTAACCAGCGCTACATTGACGTAGTCGGGCTGCTGCGCATAGTCAAGCAGGATTCTCATCAGTTTGGTGTTGCCTTGATGCGCCATTCTGTGCAGCGGTTTCAGGTTGCTGCTCGGGTGCCATGTATCGTAGTCCATTCCTAAGTCGTAGAGAAGATAGGACAGTACCTCGTCACTTTGGCCATCGCATGCTTCGTGCAGTAGCCACTCTTCTTGCACAACGATGTCTCTCCATTTGCTGGCCAGGAAGCGCAGCACAGCTGGGCTCCCTGGGCGGACGCAGATGCTGCACAGTCGGGAAACATCCCTTTCAGGGTTGAAACTCCAAGTGACCCCCGCTCTGTCCATGATATACTCGACGCCCATTTTGAAATCAATCTTGCAAAAGAGATGTAGCAGCGTGTTCCCATCAATGTCTACCACCATGTTCTTGCTTGGCTGCTCAACGAAAGCGTCCAGAACGTTAGGGAACCTTCTCCTGAGACGGTTGAGCATGTCCCTGTACTCTGCCGACGAAACGAATGCAAGATCATTGTTGTTGTTGTTGTTGTTGCAGCTGTCGCATCGGACGACATTCCATAGCTTATCATAAGCAGCGTGTGCATGTTCCAGGCACTGCTCCAGGGAGAATCTATTTGTACGATCCTGGCAGCAGCCGTCAACCATGGCAAAGAGCTCGTAAAAAACTGGCTCGATCACAGGCTGTTTCAAGCCTGGTGGAATTTCAAGAGTCACTGGACAGCCTGGGAATATCTTGTTGTCAATAATTTCCTCGATCTCATCACGCTTCTCAGGGCCATCAGGGATGAAACCATCCCAGGACATCTCGATCCATAGCATGCCCAAGGAGTATACATCTGATGGGAAAGGATTATCCACAATGAGCTTAAAGCCTTCTGGATCATCCAGCGCATCTGAAACCTCAGGCGATATCCAGAACAGCGACCCGCCCAGCGAGTTGAGGTAATCAACGTCTCTCACCTTGAAGCTGAATCCAAAGTCTCCGAGCTTGGGCGTGCAGAAGCTGTCCAAAAGCACGTTTCTACCTTTGAGATCTCCGTGGTAAACGCCATTTCGATGGCAAGTCTTTACTCCCACCACCACCTCCATGAAGATTTCCAGCTTTGTCTTCCACCAAGATGGAAGCTCTTCCAAGCCCGGACCCCGAGACTTAAGAAACCTGCTAAGATCACCGTGCGGGCCTTCCACGAGCTCCATGACGATGCAGACGCCATTGAGATCGCTGTTGCGGGTAACCCCATAGACATGCACCACATTCCTGGTTCCTTGTAGCACCCTTACATTGCAGGCCTCCCTCAAGACTTCCACAACCTCATCCAGTTCAACTTCGCCAGTGTCGATTTTCTTAACAGCAACTGTTATCATTTTCTCGCTGTGGTCGCCTTTCAAAATGGACCTTGACGGCGTTTGGTGCCTTTTTGCGTTAACCCAAGGCCCTCTGCTAAGCTCAAACCTCTCTCCATGGCTCCCCATCAGCATACCTTTAAAGATTTTTCCAAAGCTTCCGCCATCGATGCTCCCTACAGAAGCCAGCTTTAGAGTGTCCAGCAGATATGTCTCTGCGCGTCTGTACAAGTCAACAGCTACTGCTGGATCCCTTAGATCTTCCCAAGCCTGCATAGCGGCTTCATACCGCGATATCAAGTACTCCGAATCTGAAACAGATGACTCTAGCTCAAATTTTGATGTTAAGGAGGCCATGCAGGCTTGCCCCACGCTCAGAAATTGTGCCCCCTATACATACACGCGCTCTCATCTAATTGAGCAATTCTTAGTCCACTGATCCCTTGCTTTGACAAAGTCAAGCAGAATTAATTGGAATGAGAAGTCAACTGATCCTCATCTAATTTAGCAATTTAGTCAACTGATCCCTTGCTTTGGTAGCTTCTTCTTCTTGACTTTGTTGATCAAGTGTGGCAAACAGCTGGAACACACTTCAGAAACAAGTTGGCTGACGATCAAAGTTGCTGATTGATTGATCGTGCGAGAGATCGAAAAATGAAGAATTTTCAGAGTCATACGCACTCATCATGGAAGAGATCACCGCCATTAATTGGAATGAGAAGTCAACTGATCCAATGCATGATCTAATATAAGTTCTTCAATAAATATGTGTGAAGATCGATTCACCGGAATATGGCGACTGAGGGCTTGGTCGCCGCAGGCGCTAGTGCAGCATTGGGAGCTCTTCGAGGAGATCTTCGAGGAACAGCCGACCTTCTGATCAAGCTTGCTTGTGCTGCTCGCAACAGCATAGGCAGATGCCAGGCGATGGCAGACAAGGTGAAGATGGTTACCACCGCCCTCGAGAGCAGATCATACAGGTACGACGATGTCAACCTTCAGGCTAATCTAGAAAAGCTGCTAGTTGTGATGAAAGACTGCGTGTGTCTTGTCGAGAAACACAGCAAGACGAGTACGGTGAGCTTCTTCTTCTCGTGCCACGCTCTCACTGTTGACGAATTTGACGACCTCGACGCGCGCCTCAATCGCTGCATCAGCTGCTTGAATCTGAACTTCCACATCTCCTCGTATGATCGCAGTCATGAGCACAAAGACGAGATCATAGCCCAAGTACAGGCCAACACAGCACGAACTATTGAGGAGATAAAGCAGCTGGTCCATGGCCAGGAGCCCGTAGAATATTTGACAGCCGTGCAGGGCGTTGTGACCATGGGTGAAGCCTTGGCCGGGGACTACATGATATCTGCGACGCTCACCGACAACAGCTCCTCAGTGTCACGGAAAGTCATCCTAGTGCAGTCACACGAGACAAAGAAGGAAGTTGCGATCCTGGAGAAACTAAGCCTTCACGAGTGCATACTTGAGTTTCTTGGCATCTTTCCATATGGTGAGTCCAAGTTTTATCTTGTCTTTGAGAGGCCCTCCGAGGAAATGACAACCTTGGACGAACTGATCAATAAGAACCCGGGGAGTTTTATGAGTGACTGGAGAGTAAAGAGACAGATCGCTCTGGAGCTGGCAAGAGGTATGAGAGTCTCTCATCTGGCCGGTGTGGTCCACAAGAATTTCCGCAGCTCCAACATATTTCTTAGCGGTGACCTTCAGCACGCTAAGATCTTTGGCTTCTACCAGGGAAGGATCAAGCTGGAGCCAAGTGCCAAGAAGTGGATGAACGATGAGCAAGTCCGCTGGGCTGCACCTGAGCAAGTTCAGAGACACCGACCTGCCTTTGATGAAAAGTGTGACATCTACTCACTGGGAGTGGTGATTTGGGAGCTCATCACTGGGAACTTTCCTTTCGCCAAATACACTAACTACCGAAAACTTAGTAGAGATCGGAGCGAAAATGTTGCCCTCTTGGATGACTTCCCTGTGGAATGCAAAGCAGGTGAACTGGGCAAGTTCAGCAGAATCTCTGAGCTCTGTAGAGATCCTTTGCCTGATAACAGACCATCTCTCGAGAACATTATCAATGATCTCCACAAGCTCCTTCCTGAAGAGATGATTTGAAAGTTGAAGTGCTTCATATTTCGGTGCAGTGTGTGAAGAAAATTATAGTAAAAGAGCTTGGATCTTAGATCATCCATTTCTTGAAAGCGCATTTGGCTCCGGAGGCAGATCCTTGCAATCTTGTATGCTGGTACTGGTTGACATGCTCATGCTCAAATCAGGTTCATGGCCTTTAAGGAGAAAAAGTAAAGTAAATATTCTCTCGGTTCAAGGTTATCTTAGAATATCAAGTTTTGTATGGAGTTTGTTAAAATGAATGCTTCTAAGAGAACCACAATCACAAAGAATGTAAAATAATGATAAATTTTCATCAAACAATTTCTAATGTTAAAAATCGGTTTTAGGGTTTATCAATAAGTGAGGAGAAAACTATTAAAATATATAGAAAATATTAAATTATATAAGTTATCTAAACTTTATTAGATAAAATATAATATAGGATAAAGTTTTCTTAAATTACACACAAATATTTTTTAAAATAAAACAATTTACCATTTATAATTACAATCTTAATTTATTATTTCTAAACTCTTTGTGACCATTATGAGTGGCTAATTTTTTATCTTTACCCATAGAAATTCATAATTAATAATGATTTGCACTATCTAGATAAGTTATCATACTTTTTTACTTGTGATTAGAAAACATGGCATATAAACCTTTTTTTTCTTACTCAAAATAGCTCCTTAAATTCTATTTATAAAAAAAATAAAGTGGAAATATATTTTATTTTAATATCTTAAGTATAAAGATTATAAAAATTAACTATATTTAGGCTCAATAAAAAAAATTTGTATTCAAGATGTTTATATTTTAAGTTATAAAAATTGTTATTATTGAGATCCTTGAACAGTTTACAGCAGTTAAATATTATTATTTTATTATAGTAAGATCTTATATATAGGTAATTACTTCTCAAAGATATATAAATATAATAGGTAGTAATCTTTGAGGTAGTAAATATATAGGTAATTACTGTAATTATATTTTATAAATATTTAAAATTTTCATTTTGCAACTCATGCAGGGTTAGAGTTAATACTGTTATTTGTAGTATCTTAAATTTTTATTTTTCATGTTTTCTTCTAAATATCATAATCAAGATCAAATCATCTAACCCATATGAAATTTTTAGTCTTTTCATATACATTTATAATAAATCATTTGTTTTTTCCATCTAGAAATCATTGATCTTACTACAATGAACAAAACTATAAAATGGAAAAAATCTTGCATAGCTTGCAACAAACATTTATTGAGGGATGTACATGACTTGTAATACCAAAAAGAAAAGAATGGGATAGATACTGTCAAGAGTATTGAATAATTTCATGGACACAAACTCTGAAAATGTGTATTAAGATTTTGTTGAATCAGATTTCAACATATATTTTAGTGCCTACACTAAATGCTAGTTAGTAGCATATTTCTAAGGCATGAATCTCTATTACATTTGTCCTTATAGAAGATTAGCTTCCACCAGAAAAGATCCCAGGAAGGCTTACTAAATATAAACATCCATAATTAGACTTTGGTATTTATTTGAAACCAGGAAATATCTGAATGGTACTTTGAAAACTATTTGTTGTAATCAAGGTAATTAAGCTATCGCACTGCACAGCTGAAAACAATAAAGAAATATGAAAAATTGACAAACAAAAGTTTCTAGCATACTCATTACTCCCAATTCAGCTCATTCTCAGCTCATTCTCATCTCCTTAAGTGTTTAACATAGAAGAGCTGCTGTGAGGACCCACAGAAGTGGTAACATCAACGGGAGTGCTGAAATATAAAAGAAGTAAACTCCCGTAACAACAAAAAAACTACATACCCAGGAGAAGGCATCAAGCTCTCAGAGTCGATAGCAAGCTCTACAACACCTTGAAATTTTGTTAAAATATACCGCACTTTAGAAAGTTGATGAAGAACCTACCTTTCCTTCTCTCCTCCTCTGCACGCCAAAGCTTATGAGCCTGCCTAAGTATATCCTCTGGAGTGCTTTGGATGGAAGGATCTTTGGCACGCCGGTCTTGCAACTCATTAGTAGCAAGCTTGAGTAAATCCGTCATCTTCAGAGTGCTCCACATGCTAATCCAGATAAGGTTTGACTAACTCGGTAGAGCATATATATCTAGCACTTACTTGCCAACATAGATATGACCAGATGAGTTCTTCACAGAACTGTGGAACATTTTCGGCATATCTTGGTGCAGCAAAGGGATGAAGACATACCCATCTGCCACACACTTAATACTCAACACAAACTTGCAACAAATAACTCACCTTTCTCACAAATGATGCAAAGGGCTTCCATCCTAGCCCGACTGTATAAAGCTTGCCCTGTTGTCTTTATGTCCTGGACTTTGCCTCCCACATTCTCTTTGTACACAATTGTCTCCCGCTTACGAGCCGCTTGCTTCTCCTTCTTGCGACTAGTCTGCCCCATCAATCGAAAAAGCTTAAACCCTAAACCCCAGAGAAGAATCAATTGAGGAATCCTTCTATTTTAATTGCTGAAAAGCCTGATTCACCAAATTAGGAAACCAAAAAAACAAAAGTCAGGCTAAAATGAAAAAGAAAGAAGGAAAATACAGTCCGTGTCCATTGATCGATCACTCTTTCTTGGGGACTCTCGACTTGTACAAACAAATGTAGGCTGTGTGCCAGTCCCCTGTGACAACCCAATTAGTGGCGTCTTGTTTTCGGAAGCTCACTCACCTCCTCCAGAGAGTTTTGTAATGTCTTCCTCCCGTTGTGGAATTGGGCGATCGTCGTCAAACTCGATCCATTTCCCTGAAACATTTAAAAAACACAAGTTTACCACAGACAAGTCCGGTATCTCTTGCCATTTTCTTGTTTGACCCAAGCCACATAGTGCCCCGAGTCGGCACTCCGTCCCTTGTGCGTCAAAACAGCCACCAAGTCGTATATGCCTGACAGTAAATAATTCTTGTGAGCAATTCCTTTGATTTTCACCCCCTTCTCACCTGTTGGACTCCCTTGCTCAGTGGTAGACCAATCCTGTGCATGAGAGAGGTTAGGTAACTCCGATGCTGATAGTTCCAAAAAGAAAAAGAGGGAAGGTTTACCATAGACGAAGGCGCTGGTCCATCTTCAATCTTTCTCTTACCTTTAAGTCCAGCTTCTCTGTCCTCTTGTTCTCTCAAAAGCTGTAAATGAACGGACAAGGATGTTAAACGACATGCAAGCAGAATCGCAAATACCTCGCGTGGTGCCTTCAGTTCATTTTTTAATTCCTCCGAGCAAAAACCCATGACATCCAAAACTAATGGATAATCGACTTTCTGCACGTTAAAAGGGCATTTCCTTTGAAGCAAATGTCTAAAACCAAAACTTACCCTCAAGATCTTTGCTTTCTGTTTCGTTTCCCGTTTCCAGAAGAAACGAACAAACTGCACAGTCAAGTATCTGAACAAAACAGTGCACATTAGAGCAATTGATAAATCATAAAACCCACGTACTGAGGAAGACGCGTGATAACGGATTCCTTGCTGTGAACTGCAGATCTACCCAAAGAAGGCGACGTTTTCTCGAGCTCGGATTTTAGCCCCTGCAAACGGACAGCGCAGTGTTCGCTAGCTGTTTCTTCAAGTAATGCGAACCTGTTTCAAGCCTTCGTTAAGATGATTGACGTCCTGTGAAATGTGGCACTTTAAAGAGTAGACAGTTTCAGCTTCTTCGGTCTCCTCTTCAGTTTCAGCGCACTTGATTCTGAAAAAAGAACAAAATCACATGTGTATCCGAACATGTCATGTCAGAAAATGACTCACCTGCTTGAGATGTCTACACCAAACAGATTCTTTAGTGTCGCCTCCCTGGTAGAGAAATTAAGAAATACCACATCAGTCAGTGACAAGTAAACGCGGACCTGGTCTCTCCAGAAGATGGCCGCAAACGCTGAGAAAGTGTATACACGAGTTGCGTCCAGCATTCTTCCGCATCCTGCTGCATGTAAGCTCCATTGTTGGCTTGTTGAGCGAACTGTGGAAACTTGCTTCGCAACAGCTACAATAGGAGCCATGAGTATATCAAGGAGCAACGTAGCAATGCTAGAGTACCGTCCAGAAGCGGAGAGGAGCCACGGCCCTGTGGCTGCTGTCAAGCTCGCCAAAGAGGTCACGCGCCGCAAGCGTTAGAGTGTGTGATGACGGGTCCATGTCAGTCCCCGCTCCCGCGGAGTAGCTGCAAGCATACACATCACAAAGTCGTCGTAAGTACCGGTGTTGAGTAAAAGACCAAAACCAACCTTTTCAGAGCGGATCTTAGCTCCGGAACGGAATGGAGGCACTGAATGGTTGAGTTCATGTAGCACGTATTGCCCAGGTTCATCAATCCTGCTGTGAATCCCTTTAGTAAGGGAGATAAGTTTCCAAGACGAATGGCGATGATTACTTTTTGTGTCGAAAGAAAAAGGAGATGAGATAAGCAAAACCACCAACCTGTTCGATCACTCCTTGCTCGTTCTCGGGCAAATCTTCCACAAACAGTGTGCTCTTTTCCGGAGCTTTGGGAGCTTCTTCGGCAGTTCCCATCATCATCAATCGCTGTCCCTGAGGAAAAGAAATGGCCAGAGTCACAGACATAAAAGTCGTAACGCTACCTCCTTCACAGCAAGCTTGCTCCAATCTCCATCGTCCTTTATTGACACCAACAAAGAGCTCAGCAAGCCTGAGAGAACGAGAAATAGAGTGAAGCGCAGCTTACCTTGAGCAGGCCGCCCTTGACCATGATCTTCTGCCTGTCTGGAGGAACTCCGGTGAGATCGAAGAGCTGGCATTTGAAAACGTAGGGCGGTTGCTCCGTGTCGATCTCCACAGAGGGGAACAGCTCCTTCTGCCACTTGACACTGACGGTAACTGCGCAGGGAAATGACGAGAGTGAGCGAGCGAGTGAGAGCGCGAGCGCGAAATCGACCTGACGGCATTGTCACGAAGAACCCTAAATTCTGGGGAATTAGGTCGACAAGTTTGCTCGAGGTAAAAACTTTAAGGATGGAGCGCATTTGGATCTAGCGGTTCTAGACGGGCATGGCATCGCATGGACAATGGGCTGGCCTCTGCGATTAGATCGTGTCGAGATTTGGATCAGGCCAGGCAGCTCCACAGGCAATGGGAGCGAGCAAAGGAATCGAGCGGGAGCCTCTATCTGGGAAATCTCCTCATCGAAACATATGGCAAATGCGGGCATCCCGAGTGTTCCCGCAATGTTTTCGACAGTCTCCGGCTGCCCAACACCTTCTCTTGGAACCTCCTCATCTCTGCCTACGCTCGCAATGGATTCCTCCATGAGGCCCAAGAACTCTTTGCGGCGATGTCGCCCCGGAGCTTGGTGGCGGCAAACGTGATGATCACCGCATATGCCCGAAAGGGGCACGTCATAGATGCAAAGAATGTCTATGATTCTATGCTGGAGCACAGCTCCATTTCGTGGAGTGCTATGATCACAGCCTTTGTGTCAACTGGGAATATAGGCGACGCCTGCGATCTCTTACAAGCTTTGCCAGAGAGGGATATTACGTGCTCAAACTTAGTCATTGCGGCATATGCCCAAGCAGGGCATTTGCCTCAAGCCAAGCGCTTGTTTGACGAGATGCGCCACCGTGAGATGGCAACTTGGAACGCAATGCTCGAGGCACTCGCTGGTGCCAGAGACGACGTGATCGAAATGGAGAGATTTTTCGAGACGATGATGCCGGGGTGGAGCGCTGCGTCTTTGACAATACTAGTGACTGCACTGGCTCGCCATGGCCGCCTTGACGAGGCTCGAGTAGCATTCGAGACAAGGCCACAGCTACACGACCTTGTCTCGTGGACGGCACTGCTTGCAGGCTTCGCTCTCCATGGCGATGGGGATGACGATATCCAAGAGTGCGAGACCATCTTCTTCCACAAAATGCCCCTCCACAACCACGTTACTTGGACCATGATGCTCGCAGCCTACGCCAGGCACACGGATCTCTCGCGAAGGGCGTCCGAGTTCTTCCACGAAAACTTGCCGCAGCACTCCATCGCGTCGAGCAACACCGCTATGGCAATCCACGTCCAGGCCGGGAAGATGGACCGGGCTCGCGCGCTGTTTGATGGAATGGAGCTGCGAGACGTCGAGACGTGGGATCTTCTTCTCAGGGCCACGCCAGCTGACGAGGTGAATCGAGTGTTCGAGAGAGTGCCCGAGCACACTCCACTGTCGTGGGCTACCAGGATCACAGCAACCGTGACGAGTCGCCATCTCGAGAACGCTCTTGCCATGCTCGACAGCCTGCCCGACCACCACCATCTCGAATCGTGGACGAAGCTTATGAAGTGCTTTGGCGAGCAGGGATTCTTGGAGACCGCCAAGGCAATCTTCGAGACGCGAATGCCCGTGCACGACCGAGTCTCGTCCACGGTGATGCTGATGTCGTATGCCCGGCACGGGCATTTCGTCCAAGCAAAGGAGATGTTGCAAAGCTTGCCGGATAAAGACATGGAGTCGTGGAACTCCCTGCTCCACGTCAACGTGGCGGACGAAGCCTTGAAAGTTTTCCAGAGGATGCCTGCTCGAGACGTGGTTTCGTGGACGAGCATGCTTACGTCCTACGTCCAAGCAGGTCGAGCGGAAGAAGCTCTCCATCTCTATCGTTGCATGAACCTCGAAGGCGAACGGATCAACAGAGTCACCCTGGTGGCGGCCATCGATGCCTGCGCCGATGCTGCTGCCATAGCCGACGGACAAGCCATTCACTTCGGTTACGCTGCACACGACCACTACTGCTGGCCTGACACCAAACGTGACGCTCGAGTAGAGAATTCGCTGCTGAGTATGTATGGACGATGCGGGAGCTTGGCACAGGCCACGGCTCTGTTCGTCGAGATGCGCGAGAGAAGAGACTTGGTGTCGTGGAACACCATGATCACAGCATACGCGCAGCGGCAGAGCCGATCAAACACCTCTGCTGCGCTTGAGGTGTTCCAGCGGATGAACCAACAAGGTGTCCTTCCCAACGACATCACTTTCACTGCGCTGCTGTGTGCTTGCAGCCGCTCCGGATGGCTTGACGCTGCCTGGAGCTTGTTCCGCACTATGATCGCCGACTTCGGCCTCGAAGCTTCCACGCGTCACATCGTTTGCATGGTCGATCTGCTCGGACGAGCGGGAAGGCTAGATGATGCGGAGAGAGCGATCCGCGGAGCGTCACTGGCCGAGCTCGGTGTTGCTTGGAGAACGCTTCTCGCTGCCTCGGAGGTGCACGGTAACGCAAACACTGGAGCACGGGCTGCAAAGCTCGCAGCCTCGTCGGCTTGTTCTTCCCGTTCTCAGGCCTACGTACTGCTATCCAACTTACTGACCACGTCCTAAGCTCGTCGAACGACTGAATTTATACATACCGAAACGTATATAGATACAAGTGTTGCCGCCGCCGCCGCCGCTGCTGCTCGATGCTCGATCGAATCAAGTCAAGCACGCGGCAACAAGCGTGCCCCTGAGAACCAAGTAGTATCTCACCCACGTAAATCGCTCCATGTAGTACGAAGGCGTGGGAGTTTGTGCTGCTCCCACCACCAAGTCGAGCACTCCAGGGGCCTTAAACTTTGTAGGAGTGTTCGTGGCGAGGTTGTCCACCTTGTGCTCGTAGATGAGACCGTCCGAATCCAGCTTGTACTCGGAGGTGCCGTCGAATTGACCACGAGCTTCCCACGGCACCCTTGGAATCCCATACACTGTCCATCTCACCATGATCACCTTGTCCCGTGGCTGCCAGATGCGCTGGATCTCTATCCATATCGCCTTGAAGAAAATGCGGCCATAGAACCTGAGCCCCCAGAACATGAGCTTGTAGTTTGCAATGCCACTGAAAGTGATGAGCGGATCCCGGAATGTGATGTCGTCCCTGGAAATAGCCCGAGTAAGAAATCGATCGTTCTTGCCCACTCCAAGCAAAGGTTTTCTTTCTTGCTCACTTACCTGTAGATGTCGAAAGTCGGTGGCTTGTAGAACATCCCGGGGAGCTCGTCTCTCAAGCTCCGGATCGCATAGCCTACGTTGACGTGATAATCGTCTCCCTGCTTCTGCTGCTGCCGCCGCTTCTTCTCTTTTTGCTCTGGAGGAGGCACCTCCACGGCATAGCTCAGCAAGCTTCTCTTGTGGCTATCCAAGTCGTCCTCGTCGAGAATTGGGATGGTGCCACCCGGCACAAGAGGCCATCCCACGGGCGGCCGCCATTCCCCATTCTTGCTCCTGCCCTGCCTCTCTTCCACTACATTGCTGCATTCTATCCTGGATTCTCTGATTCTAGCGTCCAATGAGTACCTTCTCGACGCTGCCGCTCTGCTGCTGCCGCTGCTACTGCTGCTGGAGACGCAGTCGTGAGCGCCATCGCTGGACGCGGCGCTGCGCTGATGCGGCGATGCCGCCGCCACAAAGCTGTGCAAGAAAATGCACGCCATTGTGCTAGCCCTAATCCACCCCGAGCATATTCGTTCCCGGATGTCCCGGAAGAGCCCTAATCTGTGATGGAGGGGAATGGAGGCGATATTTCACGCACTCCCAGTGTTTTGAGCAGCCAAATAGAAGAAGGGTCTTGTTTGTGCATAGATGAGTGAATCCAGGTACTGTTTGTTCACTGCTTCCTGGGTCTTTTAATTTTGTAGTAGCTCCTTTTTTAAAAGGTAATGCATGGCTTATTTCCTTTGTTTGCTTCTCATCTCATATGAATACTTGTATCATCCTTCACGTCCTTATTTGTGATGGAGTGGCCTCTATGCTTCTCAAGGAAGAAGTTGATGCACTTGAAAACGGATTCTTCGTCTTCAAACGAGATGCTTTATGGATTGAGCATTCATTCCTGAAGCTGGTGAGCTTGCAAGAGCCTTGATATATCAGCCGTGTTGATGTTGTCTCAGAGTCAAGGAGCCTCCGCAAAGGAAGGCATGTACACTGCTTGATAATGCTGATCCAGCCTAATTCTTTGCTTCTTTCAGACACATGCAAGAGGAGCACACGCCAATCATCGGAACCAGATGATTGATATTGAGCTGCATAGGGCGGATTATGATTTACTTCGAGTCGATGGCCGCGGCTTCAAAAAGTGAGTGGAGGAACGGAAGCTTCCGACGTTCTCGAAGAGGCATGGGTTTGAGAAGCCGAATGATGAGCGAGCCTCGCAGCTAATGGATGAATGTGCCAAAACAGGACTAATGGGATCAGGGATGAGTACAGTTTCATCATTCGCAAGAATTCATGTCAACAAGCAGTGTAAACGCTTGGGCTTATAGACATATGGGACCTTACATACTTTGGCTTGCAGATCTAAGATCGTTTCATTACTCACAGGAACATATGTATTGCGTTGGTGCAAGTTCTTCCCCAAGAAAAAGTTCAGCACCTGTCTTTGATGCAAGAGCAGTCTGCTACCCAACAGATTCAATACTTCGAGACTAACTGGCATGGCGTCAACTGGACTGCAAACCCTTATGCGAACTTCATCAACTACTGTTCTTTGGTTCAAGTCACATCAAACATGCTTCTGGATGCTCGCGGGAGCTGGGACTGGATTCAAGTACGGCCCACAGCAAACTGAAGGTAGTGAAGATTCATCTCATGATACTACTGCAGAATGACCATCTTGAATGATTTCGCAGGGAACGAGGTCGAGCCACAAGCAGGAGCTCTTACAGTGAACTTCCTGCAAAATACCGCAAAGGACTTGGATTAGCTTATGCCTGTCAAATTGAGAGTCCCTACACTGTGCTCTTTAAATCGTGCCCTGCTACCAGTAGTCTCTGCACGAGCACAGGCCATCTTCAAAGAGATGAGCCCTGCTCCCATCTCTCACACTGATCTTGCGCTGGAACAGCATGGACACGTACTTGATCACGGCATGGCAGTCAGCACACATCCGGTGCTTGCTACAAATGCGCATCATCGCGTCCCGAGGTAGTTTGATCACACCAAACGCCACAGCCAGCCTCTCGCTGTGGTGTCTCTCGGCTTCCACCTTCCCTCTGATCAATCCCTCGCTGCTAGCCTTGAAAATGTAGCCAACGCTCGTCATCCTCAACCGCATTCGCTCCAGGAACCTCTCGAGCTTGCGAGACATGGTGTGGTTCTTCCTCGAATGGCCTTCGAGAAACCTGTAAACTTTGCCGTGGATCTCGATGAAGCTCGACTGCCGCTGCTTGTACCGCCTCATCTTGGCGATCATCTCCTCGGCCTTGGCACGCATCCCATCCTCCACGTACATGTTTGCAAGGATCTCGTAGGGGAGGTGGTCCTTGCTATCCAGCTTGAGCATCTCCCTCGCCGCTCTCCTTGCTCGCGGGAGATCCTTGTGAACTTCGCTAGCCGTCAGCAAGCTCAGCCAGTCGAGCCGCCCTGGATGAAACGGCGAGTGATTGACGAGATCCTCCACCTTGGCGACTCGGCCTTGCCGTCCCAGCAGCTGCATCACCATTCTCAGGTGCTCCACTCGAGGCCGGATGTTAAAGTCGGTGATCATCGAGTGGTACAAGCTCCGGCACTCTCCGAGCCTCCCTTTGTGGCTTGAGCCCGCGAGGAGCGCGGTGAAGGTCTCAGCATGAGGTAGCAATCCTTCCAAGTTCAAGCTGTGATACAGCTCCGCAGCTCCAGTGACAAAGCCGTGATCGGCAAATGCCGAGATGAGCGTCGTGTACCTCGTCGTTGTCTTGTACGCCATCCCCTCAATCTTGTCCCTGGCAACCTCCAAGAGCATGCACTTGCCGTAGAAGTTGGCGAGCGCCAGCTCCAGAACGTCCTTGACTTGGATTGCCGACTTCGCGAGCTCGAGCACCCGGGATCCATACTCGAGAGCCACGAGACCGGCGCAAGCGTCGATGGCTGCCACGATCGTAAACTTGTCGGGCGAGGTCCCGTCTTGCACCATCCGCTCGAAGAAGTGGAGGGCCTCGTACGAGTCACCGCGCCTGGCGTAGGCCGTGATGATCGAGTTCCAAGTGTAGGCGTTCTTGGCGGGGATCCTCTCGAAGAGCCGGGTGGCCGTCTCCATCCGGTTGCACATCGCGTACATGTGAACCACCGCGGTCCCGGCACAAACATCCGACTCCAGCCCCGCCAACAGGACCTGCTGGTGGATCACACTCCCGTAGAGCAGCTCCGCCGAGTTTGCGCAAGCGTCGAGAGCAGCCACCAAGCTCGCTCGATCCTGGACGCCGCCCTCGAGCTGCATCATCCGGTGGAGCACCACTCCTTCCACCGGAGCTCCACTTCGAGTGAGCGCGACGATGAGCTGCGTCCAAGTCACGCTGCTCTTGCAGGCCATGGCGTGGAAGACTCTGGCGGCCGCGTCGAGCTGGTCGAAGGCGTAGTACATGGCGATGAGAGCGTTCCCCAGGATGGTATCGCGGGTGGCGTAGCCCCGAGACGCGGCCAGCTCGTGGAGAAGCCGCCCGGCTTTGACACTCCTCTTCTGGAGGCTGAGAGCCGCGACGCTGGCACAGGCATTCACCGCGTGAGTGAAGGTGACGGCGTTTGGTTCTTGGCCCTGGAGCAGCATCCTCCGGAAGAGTCGAAGAGTCTCGAGTCCAAACTCCACTCTTTGGAAGCCGTGAGGGAGGAGCTTGTCCTTGGAGCGCAGCACCAGAGCTCCCAGCATGAAGTTCCAGGCGATCACGTCCTTCCTCTCCATTCTCTCAAACACGGCATAGGCCTGCTCGGTGTCCCTGCATTTGCCATACATGTCGATCAGCTGCGTAGCGATTAGAACGTGAGAATCCACACCTGGTTCTGAGAGTTCTTGCTGGTGGAGCTGGCTTCCTCCCTCCAGATCTCCCTTGCTTGCGCAGTCTCTCAAGGTGGACATTCGATGCTGGTATTGCTCCAGAGTCATGTTGAGTTGCTTGAGATCATCCTTGCCTGGTCGTCGGGAAGTGCTGCTGGGTTTTGCAACTTTGGAGATCTCCTTCTTCTCCTGGCTGGGCTTTGCAACTTTGGAGATCTCCTTCTTCTCCAGCTCCTTTCTTTTGTTTGCTTTCGAATCAGGTGCTTTCTTCCTGGCTTGTTCTTCCGCAGCATTCCTTCGTTTCATCTTCTTTCCTTTGGGCACCACAGGAGCGGCGGGCAAAGTGGACAGGGATCCAAACAAGCGCACGACGATCCTGGAAAGATTGTTGGAGTGAAACAATGTGAATCGCTAGCGAGCGCGAGCACTTACCTGTGATGCCTGGTCATGCTCAAACAAAGTCCTCACGGAAGAACCCTAATCCTATTCTCTTCTTGTTTACAATGCATGGACGACCGAGGACGCGGGCCACTGCGGCAGCTGACAAGGAAAGCGAAGCCAAGGCCGAGCGCTTCGAATTGCTTCTCTCTGCGGTACTGAGGAATCACCAGCAGCGATGGTAAGATCGGTGAGCCTGGATCGATCGATTGATTTACTCTAGCTTGTTTCTTTCCAGTTACACCAAAGAGGCTCTAGAAGAGAACGCCCGGCTGGTGGAGCTCAATCCAGAGGTTTACACTGCTTGGAACTTCCGGAAGCTCGCCCTCAAGAGTCTCTTGGATGCCGAACCCGACGAGGATTCTCGCAAGGATCTCGTCAAACAAGAGCTCAAAGTGGTATGAAATGAAATCTTTCGTTCCTCCTCTTCGTATGTCTCACGAGAGCCGAGCTTTCTTTTGTAGACCGAGAACGCGTTGCGAGCACACATAAAGTCGTATTCTGCGTGGCACCACAGGAAATGGGTGATTGCTCTCGGTCTTTCATCTCTGGACGACGAATTGGATCTGCTAGCGCAGCTCTTCAAAGTAGACGCTCGCAACTTCAATGCCTGGAGCTACCGCAGGTTAAAGTGACAACGTTGTCTTTGTCTTGTCTCTCACTCGCGATCTCTCTCTCTTTTTTCTTCCAACAGGTACATCGTGGGTCTCATGGGCGTTCCCGTGCAACAAGAGCTCGACTACACCATGACCCTACTCAACAAAAACTTTAGCAACTATTCCGCTTGGCACAATCGCAGGTTGGTTTTCTCGCTACAAGCAGAGCGCTGATATTCTATGGTTTGCAGTGCGTTGCTGCTGGAGCTCTTCAAGGAGATAAAAGACGAGCAGGGCAAGGAGTCGATTCTCTCGGAGGAATTTGAGCTTGTGAAACAGGCCTTATACACAGATCCGTGTGATCAGAGTGGCTGGTTCTACCATAGCTGGCTCCTGGGCCACTCTTCCAAACAAGATAGGCTCGGGACAGAGATCGATATGTGCAGGGACCTGCTAGAAACCGAGGAAGACGCAAGGTAACTCCAAGCTAGATCTTTGCTCCTTTGAAGTTGACTCTCTCTCTCTCTCTCTCTCTCTCTCTCTCTGTGGGGTGCAGTGACTGGGCCAGGAACACCCTCGGAGAAGAAAGGTGAGTTCTAACCTTCCGCGTTCGCGTGTTCTAAGCTTGTGCTGCAACAGTAAGTTTCCTCGGTTGACACTCGCACGGCTGCTAAGCTCGGCCCCTGGAGTTGACAAAGCCGAAGTGGTCTCGCTCTACGACCGACTGGTGCGAACGGACCCTCCACACGCAGCGTATTACAAAGACATGTTGCAAAAGAGTCGAACAACAGAGGAAGAAGCTCGTGTCCTGTGATACAACTTCCGAAGAATGTGAGTTACAAAATGGTATCTTTAGTGATCTGTGTTGTCAGAGCCCTCGGTCGAAGAAGTAACCGGAAGAGTTACTTGGGGAGGTTCTCGGAGAGCTGTGTCATGAAGGCACCGACGGATGCTGCGTCTGTCTGGATCCACGCGGCGTCGAAACCATCCTGCTGGAAATCTACACCCAAGTTGGCTGCCACCGTCTTGAACACGGAGCCAAACCGGTTCCCCATCTGAGCTCCCAGCCGGAGCCTGTGTGAGACGCCAACCACGAGTGCCTTGTCCGATTGAGGACAGCGAATGGCGCAGACGAGCGGCTTGCTCCGAGCACCTTGCTCCCGGAGAGCGTCCATGACGAAGTAGCAGAGCTTGGTGAGAGCCATGGGACGAGCAAGAAGCTCCACGTCGTGACCATCCTCGAGCTTGAACCACCTGAACATCTTGGTGTTCTTTACGAATCCCTGCTTTGTCACCGCTAAGCTTCCCTGCCTCAGTATCGCGCGCTGGACCTTGATGGCTAGTTCCATTCCCTGCTGGAGCTCATGCCACTTCTTTGGCGCCAGTGCCGAATAGGCCCGCATGAACTGGCCGCCGTGGTCATCGCAGCTTGCCTCGAGCAGTGCTGTGAGCCCGTAGACAACATCTGCCGCAGATACTTCGGAGCTGTATCCGTGGAGCTTCTGGAAACTACGGTAGTACAGGTCGGTCAGGCCAAACTGCGGTGACGACCTCTGGAATTCCTCCTTCATTCTGCGTCGAGTCTCTCCGCTCATATACTCGTACTTCTGCTGGCCTTCCACCAGCGCAATCCCCATGGTGGCCAGCAGCAACTTGAGCCTCTTGAGCCCCCCGTCACTCCAGGTCTTGAGCTTGGTGGCCACGTACGAGGAACACAGCATGGAATCATACAGCGTCCACTCTCTCAGCAGCATCAACCGTGGCTCCTCGTCGTTCGTAATGCGAGACCTGTCTGGCGCCTTAACCACGGTCCCGTCTTTCATGGTCACCTTTGTTACCATCTCCGAGTTGCCGGAGGTCTTGACGTAAGTGTCCAGCTCCATGACCCCCGACTGGTATCTCTCCATGGTGAGCCTTTCGTGAACAAACTGGTCCGTGAGGGAGACGCATGCCAGCCACAGAAGCTCGTGGGTGTTGATGTGCAAGGCGTGAGAGATATCATACACTTGACGCCCAGCAGCTCTCCCGTGAAACGTCCCTGTTGAGTAGTAGTCTTTCTTCCGTCTCCGCATATCTCTCCTCAAGTTGTCCGCGTGATCAGAAGAGTCGTCCCTGCCCCTGCCCCTGCCCCTTTTCCTCATGTTATCGTGCTTGTCACCACCACCACCACCATCGAGTTCCTCTTCATCGTCGGATTCTTCCTCGTCTTCGTCTTCTTCACCATCGCTGGCAGCAGTCATAAATGAGAAATCCGCGAGGGAGCCAACATCAAAGTCGTAGACAATGTCCCTCTCCATCTCCTCCTCGCGGGTATAGAGCACGGTTACCTGCTGGTTGTGATCACTCCAATTGTTGAGGTGGATGGGCCTGTGACTGTCCACCACAAACACAAGAACCCTAGGCCCCAGCTTGAGCTGCCGCCGGAGATCTTGGGTGCCTCCCCAGTTGATGAGCAGCACCACCACCGGCTCCTCCGCCTGGATGGCCGCGGCACGGCTGCCCACATCGGCCATTCTCGACACTGGGAACACCGAGTGGCGCACATTGTCCGCGTTGAGGATGGAGCGAAAGATCTTGAGCGCGCACACCGAATCGGCGTCCACCGTCGAGGGGAGGATGTGGAGAGGGCAAGAGGAGGCGGCAGAGGCGGCGGATTTGAGGCGCCGGTAGAAGTGAGCTCCGCTGCTCTCTCGCACCATTCTCCGGCCACCTCTGTGCTATCTAGCCATGACCGTGGCCGCCAAGATCTGGAGCTCACCTCTCTTCTTGTCGATCATGGGATGGGATGGATCTCGCCCGCCCCGGGATCTCTCCCCAAAAGCCCTAGAATAAGAAATGCCCGGGAAAATGGGCGGGCTGTTCAAATTGAGTGACACGAGCGCCACGCTGGCAATGACATTGAAATTTTTAAAAAGCTAACGGTATGCCATTTTCACAGGAACCCTAGTTTGGCGCGGCCATGGCGAGCTCGGATATGTGGCCGTCCCTGCTCAAGTATGGGAATGCCAGTGTCATTCTCACCAAGGAAGCTGCAAGCCCCAAGAGAAAGGTATCCTCCCCCTCTCGATAGGGTTCTTACGTCCTTCCAGGGTTCCAAGCAAGCGCCGGCAGAGCCAAAGCCGCTTGCGACACAGCAAACGGAGGACATTCTTGATGCGATTCTACCCCCGAGGTTTGTAGCCTTTGGGGCATCCCTATCGCATTGATTGATTGGATATTTCTTTCTTACACACAGGCAATGGGTTGAGGACGGGCAGCAATGGATCCAGAAGGTGTCCAGTACGCCTGCGACTCGGCTGGACGTTATAAATCTCCAAGTAAGATTTGATGCTCGTGCCGGACTCTAATCTCGAGCTTGCTTTCTTGGCAGGAAAAACTGGATCAAGAATTGCAACGCCGGCAGGCACGCGAGACTGGCATTTGTCCCATCCGAGAGGAGCTCTATGCTCAGGTTGGTGCTCTTGTTCTTCTTGTATTCTGCGTTATGAGGTGCGATTTCGCTCGGCGTGACTATTTTGTGTCTCAAGCTTTTTGCAGTGCTTTGACGAGTTGATCCGGCAAGTGACTGTTAACTGTGCAGAGCGGGGGCTTCTTTTGCTTCGGATCCGCGACGAGCTCAGGATGGTAAGCTCTCATTTTTCTGTTCACTTCTTGAAAACAATCGTCTGTGATTTGACGGCAGACTATTGCGGCATATCAAACACTCTACGAGAGCAGTGTTGCCTTCGGATTGAGAAAGTCATTGCAGGCTGAATGCGGCAAAGCCGACATGGAGAATCGCATTCAGCAAGTAAGATATCTATCTACGCACTGCAAGACGCTGAGACGCATCCATGCGCTGACTCAAACGTTATCTTTCTATAGCTCGAAGGAGAGCTCAAAGAACTCGATCGTCAAGTGGCCGAGTGGAAGGTGCGGATGATCAAATTTTCACGTTCATCAGATTTATTTATTTGTTTCGTTTAACTTTCTTCCAGAACAAGTGTGAGATGACCGAGAAGCAAAACGCCGAGAAGAAAGCTTACGACGATAAGAAGCATGCCGAGGAAGTGGCATACTACACTCGCTCGAACAAGCAACTCAAGGCCCAGCTTGAGGCCTTCCTTGCTCCGGCCAAGAAATGAAACTCCCACAGCTTCTTCTTCTTCTTCTTCCACCAGTGTTCAGCGAACTACCTAAAAGTGCTTCTGGAATGAAACACTCAAAAAACAAAAGCGCTGTGTGTGGAGATCGGGGGGTGGGAACTTAGGAAGTCGAAGATGGTGGTGGTCTGTGCGATCAAGTCATGGGACTGGGAAGGATTTTCCGTGGCACATACATCGATAGGTGGAAGGGCAAGCCTCCGAGTCTCGCGACTCGAGGCACATAAAGCTGATGGTAACTCTGAGACACGGCGAGCAAGGGCCACAGGCGTGAGAGCAGTCTGGGAGCGCCGAGCCAGCCATCATCGACAGCTCCTTGGATCTGTTCCGAGGGACCTGGGGGCAGCAATGGTCGCGTTAGAAACAGGAAAGCAGTGCTCGACCACATTCTACCTCTTCCGCGGTGCTGTTGATGGTGATTTGTGCTTGGATGGTTTTGCTCTCGTCGGGCACTGCTTGGCAATGAACGAGAAGCATGAGCTCATCGGGAACAGGAACATGAACTTAGACAAAGAACTTACGAGGCCGATGTGTGGAAGAGAGCGGCAAGGTTGCGACGAGGACGATGACGACGAGCAACAAGTGTAGAGGCGATGGTTGGATCATCGTGTCGCAAAACGGAAAAGCTTGCTTTGAGCGATCCAACCTGAGTCGAGCGGAAAAAGCGATGGAAAGCTTAAATACTCAAGCAAGTACATTATGCTCTTCACAGATGGGGAGCTCCCGCTATAAACGCGAGAGAATTTGTGCACAAGCGGCATAGCGGGTATCATAAACCGAAAAAGGAATCTCATTATTATTCGTTTTTATAGTGGTTACGAGGAGGGACATGGCAGATACATAACTATCTATCAAACAGTAAAATCGGACAAACAAGATCACGAACGCTATAAGCATTGATAACACAATCGCTCTCACATGAAACCAGCCAAATCATTCAATTCATCGGGACTGCTTAAACTTAGATCCGGGAATGCTGTGGCGAAGAAGTGGTCACTCGCTCCTCCTCCTCGTCATTATCAATCGTCATGCTTAATGGCTCGTACTTGGCGCCAATGGAGGAGAACTCGGGATCTTGGAGCAACTTGTTCATCAAAGCCTTGTCCAGCTGCAAGTAGACCACAAACCCATCGCCCTTGCTCGCATTTGGAAGGAAGAGCAAGAATTGCGGGACGAGCCTGGGAACCGGGGGGTTGATCCCCGCGAAGCAAGGCCCGCCATAGCCAAACTCGACGTCGTAGAGCCCCATCCTGGCGCAGCTGGAGACGGCCATAGCGCGCTCCTTGCTGGGCGGTCCTCTCCCCGCGTAGGCCACGAACGCCCGGAAGTAGGCCTCGTCGGCCCCCTTGACCGCTTCGTGGACCGGTGAGACCGAGTTGGCCAGGGGCCCGTCAACGAAGTCCGCGCGGGGCATGATCACGGCCTTTGGGAGCGCCAAGTTGCCGGCAAACGTGGCGGCGTCGAAACAGGCGCGGAAGTCGACCATGAGCACGAACTTGGCCATGGCGTCGCTGTCGTCGAGCTTCATCACGTTGCGCACCACGAAGGCGGTGACGGCCTCGAAGGAAGTGGTGCCCGGAGGAGCCATGGCCTTGAGCTCCCGCAGTGCCTCCTTGTCGTAAACCAGCCCTTCCATGCAGGACTCGCCAAAGTCGTCCTCCACACTGGATTCGCCACTGTCGCTTGCTGGTGCTGGTGTCGAAGGACATGATTTGGTTCCGACAATGGCAGCCGGAGGAGCTGCCGATGGATTCGAGCCAGTAGAGGCGCTTGAGACGCTGGCGCCGGTGGTGGCGGCCACGAAAGCCGACCTGTCGTGGATGGGATCCTGGGACAGGGTCTCTCCTCGCGTCAGCTGTGACCACGCCTGCATGAACATGGAGACGGCGTGTGCGTCCCCGCATTGGTGGTGGAAGCTGCAACCAAGCGCCACAGCGCCGCATCTAAAGCGCGTCACCTACACCAGCAATGCGTCAACTTAGCCTCGATTGGGAGCCGAGAGATGGAAACTTTACCTGGACGGAGAGAGCTGCGACGGGAGGAGCATCCTCTCGAGGGACCGCATTCAATCGAGGGGCCAGCAGCCGGAGCTGCAAGCACGGCCGGCAGAAGACCGTCTTGCGTAGCTCCTCGTCCACATGAACCACTCTAAACTCGGCCCCTCCGTTGTCACAGTGGAGATCCCACGACTGCGTCTCCGGGTTCTTCTTGAGCCTTCCAGCCCAGGGGTAGTATGGGACGAGGACTTTGGCCAGCGAGTGGCGGACCTTGTCCACGAACGAGTCGAAGCAGTCGGCTGAAATAGCATCGTAGATGAGATAGACTGGTATATAGATCGGCAAGATGAACTTGTCCAGGACAGACAGCGAAATCCACCTCTCCTCTTGGGCCTCCTCCGGAACTACAACCCAAAAGGAATCCTTCTCTTCCTCCTTGACTAGAGATCGAGCACTTTGTCTACATATCTGTATAGAATATGGAGTCATTGTATATATCAGTCAAGTTTTGCGAACTACCTTCACGGCTGTCGAGTCTGCGGATGTAGTGCCCGGCGATACCACAGGGTTTGTGGCATGGAGTTCGGATGCATGAGGAGGAATCCTGCGAAACAATTAAAGACACGAAGACTGAGGAAAATTTCTGTGCAGCCTAGAGCCATGCTTGCGAAACAAGATGCTGCTTGCCATTGCCAATCATCGCAACAACAAAAGAAAAGAAGCCATGACTTGCCTCTGTTGCTGTGCTCCGAGATCCATATGGTATTCCGGTAAAACGTACAGGAGAGGCACTCCTTTTGAGAGCAGCTGCTAATCTCTTTGCACCGCTTGCACCGCCAGAATTTCACCTATTTACAAGCAATATCAGTTCGTCAATCTCATATCTTCGTTCCAGAAAGTCAAGTACTTGGCTTTGCTGGACCCCATGAAAGGTCGCTCTTGCACACACCTTTAGCGGGACCGTCCTCCGCCCGCAGAACAAGCGAAGAATTCCTTGTGCTCTAGGACACAAAAGAGGAACACACTGTCGCAAGGATAAATATCAGCCTGAAAGCTCATTGATATCCGGCGAGCAAACTAATCCAGTCAGGTATGAGGATTAGTATCGTATCGCTTGCGTTTTCTTGTCAACCAACCGTGGCATAATCGCGGGCAATTAGTTTAGCTTCGTACACTCCACGACGACGACGCTGTGCATCTCGTGACCTTTCCTGAGCAGCAGCGTGTGTGGTCCAGTCGGGTCGGGCAGCCTCCGCCAGAGACAAATCTCTCGCCATACGAGCTGTTTCCATTCCAAAAGGCTACACTCAGGAGGAAAAGAAAACCATCCATAAAGAAAGCAAGAGCTCTGCCAAAGGTGAAAACAATAAACAAGAAAAGATGCCAACCGCTGGGACCAAACGTTCTTCCGGGACTTGCAAGTCTGGCCGCAAGAGAAATGAGAGTGACTCTCGCAGCCAGCTCCAGGATGTACGCACGTACCCGATCAAGGCAGCCTGTTTTTATCACGGACACATGCCCATTGCTGGCATATGCAGCAAGCCACGAGGATCTATACACGTGTAGCTCAACGCTAAACGTGCTTTCCATCTCGTCACCTCAACGCTGTAAGCTTGTTCCTCCCACACACACATCTCATCTCAGGGTCACACCATCACGGTCGTGGCGGAGGCAAAGACTCGGATCTCTCAGCCCAGCAAAAGAGTCAGTCACAATAGTGGCTACAAACGCCCACTGTGGCTGACGAGGGGGGTGTCGTCCGCCACCGACAGTGGCTGCGACGAGGCGCACGACTCGGCCTCGTAGCTGTAGTAGCCCCGCTCCCTCGCCGAGAGCAGCATCCGGACCACCTGACGCATGGATGGCCGCTCCAAGGGCTGGAAGTTGGTGCAAAACAGCGCAACCTTGAGCACCAGGACCATCTCGTCTACAACCGACTGGTCGGACAGATCTAGTCGCGTGTCCAGCAGCTCCGCCGCCGAGCACTGCGTCCCTCGCCTCACCCATGTCACCAGGTCCCCGCCCAGCTCCAGCGGCTGGATGGGACGCCGCCCCGTTACCAGCTCCAGCAACACCACGCCAAAGCTGTAGATGTCACACTTCTCCGTCACGATCATTGTGTAGGCAAACTCTGGAGATCCACACCAAGTAAGTGTCACTGCTGTAGGTGTGCGTAGCTTACCGGGTGCAATGTAACCGTATGATCCAGCCACCGCCGTCGTGGACCTCCCCTCGGGTTCGTCCAAGAGCTTGGCCAGCCCGAAGTCTCCGACGTGAGCCTCAAAGTTCTCGTCCAGCAGGATGTTGTTGGACTTGATGTCTCTGTGCACCACCAGCGGCTTGCAATCGTGATGGAGATACGCCAGCCCCTCCGCGGCTCCCACGGCGATGTTGTACCGCCGGTTCCAGTCGAGAGGGCAGTCGCTCCTGTGAAGCAGCTCACCGAGGCTGCCATTGGACATGTACTCGTAGAGCAAGAGATTGCAGCCTTGGTGGCGGCAGAAGCCCATGAGCTTGACGATGTTGCAGTGGCGGACCTGGCCCAGCGTGGACAGCTCCGTGTTGAAGCTGTTTAGAAAGCTCGAGTGGGCTCCGTCGCTCTGGGTCATGATCTTCTTCACAGCCACCACCTCGCCGGTGCCCGGCACCACCGCCTTGTACACCGTCCCGGACGCGCCACTCCCAAGCACGTAGCTCTCGGCGAAGTCGTGCGTCGCCGCCACGATGTCGGCGTACGTGAAGCTCGACTTGGCCACCTGGAACTTGTCGCTGCTGTCGCCGCCGCTGAAGTACCTGCTGCTGCTGGGATCGTCCAACGGATTGAGCGGCGTGGGCCGCCGGGAGCAAAACCAAAGGGAGCCCGCCGCGATGAACACCACCGCGCCGCCAAGTATCCCAAACACCACGCCCAGCACGAGCTTGACGGGCACCGCCTGCCTGGACGACGCTAGGATGCCCCCGCCACCACCCGGAGTGGCGGAGTTTGGACCGCTGCCCACACTGGTCTGGCACAGCTGGAACAAGGGAGCTCCACAGAGGCCACTGTTGTCCGCAAAGTTGGTGGCGTCCATGTTTGCGAAGGCCGGAGCGCCGGGCAGCGGGCCGGCGAGCTGATTGTGGGAGACGTTGAAGACGATGAGGCTGCGAAGCCTGACGAAGGAGGCCGGGATGGAGCCCGACAGCATGTTGTTGGAGAGGTAGAGGTACTCGAGGAGGATGAGGTTTCCCAGCTCCTCGGGTATGGGCCCCGAGAGATAGTTGTGGCTGAGGTTGAGCATGATCTGGAGGCTCGTCAGGTTCCCCAGCTCGGGCGGTATCGAGCCAGAGAGCCTGTTTCCTCCAAGGTGGACCTCCGTCAACCTCAAGCTGCCACCCAGGGCCGCCGGAACTTGACCCTGGAGCTGGTTGTCCGACAGCCTCAATCGGTCCAGTGACTTGAGCGAGCCGATCCTGTCCGGTATGCCACCCGTGAACAGGTTCTTGCTGAGATCCAGCAGCTGCAAGTTGGTGCAGTTTGTGATGGACGCTGGAATCTCACCCGTCAGCCTGTTGCTCGAGACGTTGAGCACGACAAGCTGCGAGAGTCTGCCAATGTCCGGTGGCAGCGTTCCCGTGAGATCGTTGTTGTTGAGGAGCAGCCTTGACAGGCTCGTGCTCGGCGAGGGGATCCCTCCGGTGAATCGGTTCCCGTAGAGCTCCAGCGACGTGAGGTTGACAAAGCGGCTGAGCTCCACGGGTATGGTCCCTTTGAACATGTTGTCGCCGAGGCGGAGCTGGACAAGGGAGTTGCAACTCCGCACCGCCCAAGGGATCTGGCCGCTGAGCCCGTTGCTGTAGAGGTTTAGCCAGATGAGGCCACCGTTCCAGCACACGTACTTTGGTATGCCACCCACGAGATTGTTCTCGGACAAGTCGAGAACCGCCAGCCTGCTGTTCTTACCCATGAGCGGAGGGATGCTGCCCGTTATGTTGTTCTCGAAGAGATGGAAGCGCTCCAGCGTTGGGATGTCTTGCAGCACCGGCGGGATGTCTCCACTCAGGCTGTTCATCGAGAAGTCCAGCACCTTGAGACGCTTGAACTGTCCAAACTCCGCGGGCACGGGTCCGCTCAGCCGGTTCTCAAACAGGTGGAGAAGCTCCAGGGTGTCGATCGTTGCGAGGTCCCCGGGTATGGCACCCGTCAGCTGATTCTCCGACACGTCGATCTCCTTCGCCATGCTGCAGTTGCCGAGCTCCGCCGGGATGCTCCCGGTTAGCGAGTTGGAGTAGATGTAGAGGTACTCGAGGCTCGCCAACTTTCCAAGCGAGGGCGGGATGGAGCCCTGTAGCTGGTTCTTGTAGAGGGCGAGCATGGTCAGGTTGGATAGCTGGCCCAGCTGCGGAGGGATGCTCCCGGTGAGGCAGTTTTGCCAGAGGACCAAGCTTTGGAGGTTGCGCATGGAGCCAATCTGGGGAGGGATGGCGCCTGAGATGGAGTTTTGCGCGAGGCCCAGGAAGGTCATGCTGCTGCAGTTGCTGATCTCGGGAGGGATGGAGCCGGAGAAGCTGTTCTGGCCGGCCCGGATGATCTCGAGGTTTTGGAGGCGGCCAAGGCTGGCGGGGATTGGGCCCGTGAGATTGTTGGTGTAGAGCACCAGCTGCTGCAACGAGGCGAGGCCTTCGAAAGAGTCGGGGATGTTGTCGGTGAGGAAATTGTTGTAGAGGAAGAGCTGGCGGAGGGACGCGAGCGATCCCAGCTCGGCCGGGATCGGACCCCCGAACGCGTTGCTGCTGAGGTCCAGGGTCTGGAGGCGCCTGCATCGCGACAGCTGCCAGGGGATGGATCCATGGAGCTTGTTCTTGGAGAGGACGAGCGTCTCGAGCCGGGTGAGGTTACCGATGGACGCTGGCAATGTGCCGGAGATGTTGTGAGCGTCAAGATCTAGCACCGCGACGCGGCTCGAGTTGCCGGCACAAGTGACCCCTTCCCAAGAACATACTGTGCCGTTACCGGATCCACTGCTATACTTACTCTCACTTGCGGATGACCAGGACCACGACCGAAGAGCGTCGCCGGGGAGCACCCAGCTGCGCTTTACCTCTGCTAGAACTGCCGCATCATCCTCTTCCGGATCGCTCACCACCAAAGTCAAAAACCCCACAACCAGGATGGTGGATAGCCAGCTGCTCATCCTCCTTGGGTGGACGATCGCCAGCAGCAGGAAGAAACGAACACGACTCCCTACAACACCACATTCTGATCCCCCCGATCGATCATCACCGCCGGATCATGAGCTGCTAGCACAAAGGGGCTTTGAGAGGCTGTCCAATTCTAGAATCCTCAATCCTCATCCTTCCCCTGCCACTGCTCTAAATTCCCAGCGGATCCAGAGGCTCCTTCCTGCATTGCCTGATACCCCTGGAACTAATATATACCAGCCAGCCTGAGCCACTACAAGATCGAGTGAAAACTCTTGCCTTGAGATCCTGGAGAGATGAAGAAAACAGAGGTGGGCGCAATCATTCCAGCGCCATAGCCAAGTCTAGCTAAAAGATTTACCAGCGATCTTGAGAATCGTCCATCCTTCGCTATCCGTCCATCCCTTCCTCCGTTGTCACGCCAGAGATCTTCCTTTTCGAAACGACTGTGACAGACCTTTGCTTGTGGGCTTGTGCTCCACAAAGCGGAAAAAAAAAGTAAAAAGAAGAAAGAAATTAAAGTTCAAATTGCGGGGCATATGGAGGGAATATGCTGCCACTTGGCGGTGACGTGGACGGTTGGCTCGTGACGTGTGTCCACTAACGTTGTTGAAATATTCGCCGGTTATGATCAAATTTGCTCGTGCCTGCTGTGACGTTATAACTGGTAGGAGGTCGGAATCAAAGCATACGAGATCGAGATCAGAGGAGAAGATGGAAGATGGAAGATGGAATCTCATGATTTATCCGCCAAATCATCTAAAAGTATCTGGTGAGGAAGAACCACCACACCCGCAACCGCGCGCTGCCATACATACGCTTTCTTCTGCGAAAATTCCTTTGATTCCGGGTGACGAGATTCCCTTGGATACCCCTGTGATTATTGGTGATGTCATGGATTTGCTAAGTCCTCGCACGTCGTGCGCAACGTTTTCCAAGCGCTGCCACATTATAATTTGTCTAGTGCTTTCCGGGTCAGCCGTGCCCATGTTCGTGAATCGTCTCCTACTTTTTTAACACACAGAAGATGACTCCGGCTGGCTTAAACTTGTTTCCTGTCTGTGACAACTCTCTTCGGGCTTATCTAATGTTATTCCATGTCGATCTTATGTGTGGGCTCAATTTATATATGCCTTGTATTGGATGGATCGAGTGTGGTCCAGATAGGCTTTCAGTCAAATTTTGGCACCCACGATCGTTGATGCCGTGTTGTGGCCGTTTAGACGCTAGGTAGCTTGGTATGGCATTTCTTTATTGGTTGTTTTTCCACGTTTACTTTACCATTTCTTTTCTTTGAAATTGCAAATGTGATGCCATGGCCAAAGTTGGAAACAGCAAGATTACGAGACAAATGAAAAATAATAATAATTTCTGCTCCGTTGCTGGTTTTCTTATTTTCTTATTTATTTAAAATTCAATTGAGAAAATAGTTTAACATTGGAATATTCTAATATGTGAAGTTATGAGCCTTATCATGATCTTCAAATGTAAGTTCTCTCTGGAATCGTTCAGTGCCAGAATAGAGAACGGAGACTTTCTGCTCTTAATTTGCAGCATTATACAGACTAGTTATTTTTTGTTACAATAGTTAAATGACAATTTTTTATCTCACATCAACTATTACATTGGCAACTCAATTTATTTTTTATTGTATTTGATTACCCTAATAGGTGAAAGTGGCCACAGCCTTTTTAGCAAATGTCACCATCTGTTCTGGTTTCTGAAAGCGGGAGAAGCTAACAAAATTAACCACCTTAGGCACCATCTTTTCCCCCAAAGCTCTCAGCTTATCACACTTAAAATGAAGCGTATAACCACACACTTGAGATTGTCAACCAGTGGGTTGATAAAGGAAACCGACTGTTTACACTCCGAAGGGCTGCCAGCTCTATGACAGCCATCGGAGCCTTGTCCAGTGCTACGATCTGAAAAAGACGTCTCTTTGAATGAACAAAGAGCCATAAACTTGTATGCTGTGAATGGATACCTTCTCTACCGACTGGCAACCTCCCCAAGGCGATCGAGGAAGACATCATAGCCGGAATGAGGATCCCAACCAGCAGCCTATAGCAAAAGCCACTGGAAACTGATGACACCCTTGGCTCTGCAGTATTCGAAAGCAACCATCCAGCAGGCAAGTAGCAGCTCACATAAGCTCCAACGACTTTCTTGTTGCCACCTGTCCTGTCATCCAAGGCCAAAAAGCCCCGGAATCTGTCTACTGCCACAAACATGTCGTTGGATCTGCCGTTCAGTTCAGTGGACATGATGAAGTAGGGGCCATACTCCTTCTGTTTAAAAAAGGCTGCATAGCACTTACCACCAATAGATCGTATATCGACCTTAGAAGTCCCGGCCACTACACTGGTGTCTTGCAACTTTCACAATGCTGATGAGACGCATTTCTCTATGAGCTGCGTGAAATCCTTCCACCTGAGATCAAACAGCAACATACTCGGTAGGTCTCTGAACACAGGTACAAATGTGATGCTCGTGTGCATCAACGGGAATGGGTATGTCAGCTCAAGGAAATTATCCATGAACATCATCTGTTCGCTGGACAGTGTGAGCACACTGGCCCAATCGATTGCAATAAGGTTCATTTAATCAATTCCAAATCATCACAGAAAGCTTATGCAATTCTATGCATTCCAGCCAGAGATCACAAACTAGAGAAAGGAAAATGTCGTCAGACAAGTTAAGCTCACCAGATATTACAACCAGACACCAGCAGTGAGACGGGATATGCATGCAATGAACTAGAGTAAGAAAAATGTTGTTAGAGAAATTATGCGATTATAAACAGATGCCAACATCAACCAAAGCATACGTATTACAGAGCTGGGCAGTCACTTTGCTAGTCAGCCAATTTTACCACGAACAATACACCAAACGAAAAGAACGCCACACAGCCAGACATAGAAAATAAGTATCACCCGTTCAAACAAACAAAACACCAAAAGTCAGAGACTACATGGAAGGACATCAAGTATAGAAGATCAAAATGAGGCTTTTCAACCAGCCACAGATACAGGCAGAAAACTGGGAGAGCCACAATGTAAACATGGCCTGTGTGATGCAGCATGAAACCAACAGGGGAGCAATAGATGTAACAATGACAAAAGATCAACTACAGATCCAAAGTGACCAACTCAGAATGCATGGCTAGCATCAACCAAGAGAGCTATAGCTTCAGCGCCAAACACAAATAGACGCATGGCACAAGGGTACCAGGCATGGGGACAACAACACCAGACTACATGAAAGCAAAGAGAGCAAAGAGTGCACCAACAAACAGTTACAAACCTCAAAATCACAATCAGGCAGACTACAAAATAGTGGCCAATAGCCCAACAAGAGAACACTAACGAGGCCAGGAACAATCATAGCCACCACCAACCACACTTATCAAAGCAAATAGCACACAAAAGAGGAACATGAAGTGTGGTTCTCAATGTTGTATTACTCTGGCTGCCACACATCGAGTATAGACAGCTCTCAGGCCCAGAGCAAAAGACTCGAGACCGAAAAGAGATGCGTTCAATCTCTCATATACCAGGCACAGAAAATGCTTACAGGATCAATGGAGCTTGTTCTCACAATGCACGATAACAGAGGAAAAAAAGGGATGAAAGGCCCACCACATGCCATAGCGAGAAACTAGAACCACAAACCAAAATCATGGCTATTATGTCAGCAGGCGAGCACAAATGGCACACTATGACATACTAACAATCCAACAGCATGAGAGCAAGATCACAACGTACTCAGATCTCATAGCACAAACGTCAACTTACAAACAAACCCCACAAGAGTATCAAGTAAATGAATGCTTACCTGGTGCAGCCTGAAGAGCGACTGGAGCACATAAAAAGTTGTCAATACAGTTCACAACTACATCAAAAAACACCAGAAAACACCAGTAAATAAGAGGTAAAAGGGATAGTAACAAAATAAAAAATAGCAAACAGCACACAACGACATAGCCAACCACAACACAACATCTTGTCGTAAACAACCGGAAAACACCTGAGTACAGGCTAATACAAAAACATCCAGCCCAACAAGCAAAGTTCACAAGGCCACAAACAAATGCCTGATGCCATAGCCACATTAAATCAAACAACACACGACGCCATGGCCTAAAACAACTAAGAGCAGACTAGCCAAAACACAAGCCACGCTATAGCCACCAAAAAACAAATAGGAACAAACTCGCCCAAACTGACAAGACTGGCCTCTCCAAGCTCTATCTAGCCATACCAAGAAATCCACCCATAGATCACATAAAAAAACTAAGATCCCCAAACTCATATTTAATCCAACCCCAAATCTAATCTATTTATAATTTGCTCTTACTCAAGAGATTGCGGAATAGCCAAATGCCAAAGAGGAAAGCTAGTTTACTCACAATCTTTGGTTTTTGAGTTTCAAGTTTAGAGTTTTTGGGTGCCCTGCCCCACAATTTTCTTCTTGCTCGGGTGGACTGTGCACCGGGCCTCTACGAATACTCTTCTCTTCTGAAATGAATATGCATCGCTTCTTGTTGGGGCTTAGATTTTATTGTAGAGCCAGATCTTGAGCAGTGTATCTTGAGCCGGGAGCCCATATTAATTCTCCTGGCTTGTCTGTAGTTCAGATTGTGGTGCATTCTGGTTTCTATAAATCAATCCCAGAAACATTGTATCCCTTGATGTGATTGAGAGACAAGCCAGGAGAGAATGTTTTCTAGTTTAGTGCATTTTTCCAATCGTAAAACTTCCTGCAAGAAATCTTGGTGATCTGATCTCACAATTTCGTTGCTATTAGCTAGCAAGATGAATGGGCCAATGATGACCCATACATGTTCACATAACAAGGCATGAAATGGATCATTTGCAAAGGCATCTAGGCGTAGCTTGATTTTCTTTATTCTTTTTACCATGATCACTCTTTTGCCACCGATTGGGGTCCGACACTGTGAGAGACTAGTGCCTCCTCCACCCCCACTCTGCTTGCCCAAACTTCACCTCGACACCACCAATCAATTAAGGGATTGTTCAATTGCTGCACCTTAGCCTCCACTAGTGCATCCAAGAAAGAAAAACCTTAGGCACAGCATATATTTTGTTGACAAAGAATGGGACCAGACCGTGAGAGTTGAAATTAGGGTTTAAGGGTTAGGGCTAACCGAAAAGGGGCTATGGCGGATGAGAAAATAGAAGAGTATGTAGAATTCATAGAAGACACAGATGGAGCAGAGGCCCATGAATTCTCCCTTTCTGAGCAGAGAGTGAATGTAGATCTGGTTCTGCGGGTGTTTTCGGCCATGTCCGTCACTGTGAAGCGCGTTGAGAACGAAAAGGTTCGATGGAGGGCTCTAGAGGCAAGAAAAGAAGACGGCCTCAGCAAAGCCATGTTCGATGCTGGATCTTCTCACATCGTTCGTGCCGGGAGGCCTGGTAAACACTCATTTTCTAAGCATTGTGTTTCGCCTGGGTAGTCATAGCGCTGTGGGTTTCCCGTGTGGCCCTTGTGAGTTGGATCTGATATCTTGTGTGTCTTCCATGATCTGTGTTTGTCTGGGTTGTTTCAGGCTATGGTATTCTTCTGTTGCTTGCTTGACCTGCGGCGCTCATTTGGGCGAGTTTGTTTCTATTTGGCCTTGGCGTGGGTTATGTTTTGGCTATGGCATCTGTGCTTTGTCGTGTGCTGTTTGATGAAGTGGCTATGGCGTCAGGCTTTTGTTCGTGGCCGTTTGCTTGTTGGGCTGGATGTTTTTGTATCAGCCACGATTTTGTAGTCTGCCTGATTGCGATTGTGCTCATTGCTTTCATGTAGTCTGGTGTTTTCCGGTTGTTGTCCCTGCATGCGTCTATTTGTGTTTGGTGCGGCTCTGGTGTTTTTCTATGTAGTTGTGAACTGTTCTGACAACTTTTTGTGTGCTGCAGTGCCCTCTGCGACAGCTCTTCAGGCTGCACCAGGTAAGCATCCATTCTTGTATACTCTTGTGGGTTTGTAACTTGACGTTTGAGGTACGAGATCTGAGTATGTGTGTGATCTTGCTCTCGTGCTGTTGGATTGTTGGTATTCTGCGATCTTTTGGAATTGATTAAATGGACCTTATTGCAGTCGATTGGGCCAGTGTGGTCACACCATGTTGGCTATGTTGCTCACTCCTTTTCTTGCCTGAAACAGAAACAAAAACAACCATAACAGGATCGGCCCTGTTACAGGCGTGTGATACTTCCATCTCCACGAAATCGCGGTTCATATCTCTGTTGGCTCCTCACGAGTTGGGTTATAAGGCGAAATTTCCCTCGGCCCGGACACTCATGTGCGCGCTTAGTAACCTGCCATGCCTTCTATGGGAAGGCGTAGGAGATGGACTTGTGGAGCTCGACAATCGGTTTGCGCAGAGGTTGTCAGAGCGCCAGATCACTGTGCTCTTGGCTCCCAGCGGTTCAGGAAAAACGAGAATGTTGATCGAACTTGCCTGCAGTAGATTCACGTTGTTTCTCACGGGTAAGCGTCCGATGGTTGGATTTGGAGGAGGATCGGATGATGTAGACAGGGTTGCCAGGTGGATGGAGACTCGGTTGCCCGCAGGTGAACACGATCTTGATCCGAATCATGCAGTGGTGCGGTTTGGTGTTGGGATTTTGATTCTTGTCCGGTTGAAATATTTGAAGTTGCTGAAAGCGCTGAAACCTGGGCTTCATCCTCGTGATTGGGCTTTTTTCCAGTTGGAGTACCCGGCAGTTGATGATGTCTTCCATGCTGCGGTTGAAGCCTTGATCGATTGTGTCCCAGTGGATCAGCAACTGCCTATGGATCAGCTGACGGAGGCTATAAGGAATCTTGCAGATGACATTGGCTGGAAGGAGGGGGTGGTTGTCCTTGATGAGGCTCAAATGCTGCTTCATTGTATGAAAGGTCGATTCAAGTCTGAACTCACTCCTACGAAAGGGCAGCCGTCGTTGAACCCCATGTTACTGGCTCTGAAGTCGTACGGTTTCTTGAAGAGCTGCTTGTTTGTTGCGGGCACTGGCACGAGTATGCTTAAGGTTCGGGAAAGACTTCTGGGAGGGACAGTGAAGCCTTTCGATGTAACCGAAATTTATAGCTTACCTGGCTTTGACGACACCAACATTCCAGCCTTTCTCCAACGGTTTATAGATATCAGCAGGCTGGACATGCCCGCGATTACCTCCATGTACACTGGAAGAAGGCGACTTTTGAGCACGGCGATTGAGAAGTACGTTGTGCAGGACAAACCACCAGAGGATTGGTTCCAAGTTTTCTTCTTGGAGTTGATCAACAAGCCTGGGGTGGAGCTTGGACTTCTTCGGTCTTTAAGGGATGAAGCGGAGCGGGTGTGGGATGATCCAGAGATGGCACAAATGATTGAGGACATTCTGTTCACGTATTATCTTACAGGTATGTGTCGCTGATTCTTTACAGATATATTCCTCATGCTGGTTTTTTCCAGGTTTTGGTCATGTTATTGTGCAGCGGAAGAGGAGTGTCATGACCTTAGTTGATTGTGGCTTTGCAACGCTGCTTGAGAGTGACGCCAGTGCCGGACCTTTTGCACCGATTATTCCACACATAAGAGGGGTGAGGGGTGATGAAGCCGGACCTGGTTCTTCAGGTCCGGCTAACGTGCGATACGTGATCCTTCAAGAGCCGATGATTGCAGAAGCACTCTGGGACCATATGCCTGCTGGTACAGTAATGGAGCGAGTCATCAGCACAGCTGCAGACGCATCAGTCCTTGGCATTACCTTTGAGCGGTTTGCGTGCATCGTGGGGGAGGCATTTGACAACAAGCTACCAGCTGAGGTTTTGGGTTTGCAGGAAACAGATGTGGTCTACAAGGAGGAGTATGAAGTTGTAAGGCCAAGAGGGCACTCGGGGGTGCTGGTTCAGGAGATTCGGACTGAAGAACAGTTGAACCTGTGGCTTGAAGCTGTTGAGGCTGGTGCATCGTTTGCTACTTATGCATGGCTTGGACCATTCCAAGAAGCTGGACCAGATGGGATGTTTCTTCTCAGAAGCAAAGAGTCGCACAAGATGATGCCTGTGTTTCTACAGTTCAGAACAGATTCTGGGCTGGGTGTGACTCAAGCTTTTTCTTCACTCGACATCATGAAGATTGACAAGATACTGCATTCAGGAGGAGCCTCTCGAAAACTAAAACAGTGGTGCTGGACTGGCTACCTTAGGCTGGTTGTTTCACCGAACCCACATCCAAAGGTAGGAAAGGTGGCCTTAGGAGATGTGAGGCGGAGTGGGCGAGCGAGAAAGGGGCGCAAAGAAATCCCCCTGGTAAGGCATATTTCATTTGATCTTTGACATGTTTATTTTCTCCTTCAGGTTTCACCTCTATCGGCTGTTTGGGCTGGTCGGAAACTTCGGGGGATCGTCAACCAGGAATTGCTGGATGCTGTGGAAGAGGTGAAGGAAGGTTTGCAGAAACGGAAAAGGGGGTGAAGCGCTTTGCTACGTCTTCGGGCCACTCACAGTTCTCCCCTGTGTCCTTGATCTTCTGTTTTGGGAAGGGTTTGAAGAGTTTTTCAGGGACCACATCAATGAATCTCACTTTGTGAAACCGTTGCAGCAAGTCTTCCACATAATCCATGATTGCTGCCTTATGGTTTCCGCTTCCCATGCTATTTGCGTGCTAAACCATAGGTTTTAACTTATAGAACACGTTTCTAGAATATTCAGAGTATTATAGTTTTAAATTTATAGAAGTTCCTAGAATATTCAGAGTGTATATTATGAACTTCATAGAGTTTGCAAGCAAGAACGTAGGTGCACTGCAACTATTGTGTGGAGTAATTGGTGGTGGTGGTGTTTGTCAAAGAGTGGTTGGTTGATACCACCTGGCAAATGAAGAATAGCTCGCCCTTTACTTCTATCTTATGCTTTTTATTTGGGGAATAACGTCCACCGCTTAGTACACATATAATTAAGTAAAACACACATACAAATAAGCAAGTTTTACCTTTGTAAGTGTTAAAGCATGCCTGATCCAAGTCTTGTTTATGAGGAAGGACAGCGAGTCTTAATAAACCATTCTCTGAAGCCAAGGTTTGGAGCCTCTCCAAACTTGCATCCTCAATTTTCTTTCCTTCCAAACTGAGTAGATCAGTAGAATCTAACGCATCAGTAATACCACCTTGAGTGCCAGCACGCCTTTTTGACTTCATTTGTAACACACAAGGGATGAGCCGACGCTTCTGCCCAGAGTAATTGCCCAAGAAAAAGATGGCATATGGTCGGTTACCTGCCAACAACAGTCAGAAAAGTGTCCACGAATCAGTGAATATTACCTGTCAGCAGAACAGTAGGAAAACTGCCATGCCAGCCACATCGTCAATATATTTTTTCGAAGTGTAGCACCTGCTGTGGTGAGCATGCTTTTCCACGCAGATTGTCACCTCCATGTCTACAAGAGTGCATGGTCTCTCAAGCTTTAGTAGATATGCCGGGAACTTTGAAAGTGTCGTTGCGTAACAGCACCTTGTTCTCTTGGTGAAGGAACTGCCTCACAAACTCTGCTGGCACCTTCCCATCTAGTTCCTGAGCTTCCCCAAAAGCAGCCAGCTTCTCTAAGCCCAGACCGATCTTTGAGTGATCACCTTGTCCTTTGCTGATAAGCATGTCTTGACAGGAGTCCGAGTCAGTCATAAAATGGTGATAGAGCACTCTGAGTACAGCAGGTTCCTCAAGCCTTATCCAGCGTTCTTTGCGGCCTGAGAAGAAGTCATCAATGTTCTTGAGTTCCAATTGGCTTTTATTTGTCAACCAGGCTAAACCATATTCCACCAACTGAAGCGATGGCTCCTTGATGCTGATGAGAGTCGAAGAAGATCCAGAAATTTCGTGGTCAAGTATCACCTTCAACTCTTGCATGGCAGCTAGATTGCGATCTCTCTCGAGAAAATGCCGCACATCAGTCCAAACGGTCCTGTCCATGTAGACCACGCCTTTCGGTGAGCCGGTAACACTGACGCCTGCTCCGAGAGAATCCGTAGTGCAAATTCTTTCGAAGAACTCGATATTTGGGTCAATATTCTCTTTAGGTCAGATCGTTAAAAAATTGAGCTGTTCGTAAATGGAGGACTTTGATCATCCATGAGCAAAAATTTCTAAAGATCCTACAGGTAAGTATTTATTTTTTATTGTGTTCATGAGATCTCTTACATTCTACATTCATAGGCCACCATGCTCTCATAAAATGTGAATGGTGCTTGGAAGCTCGTAAAGACAATCAGTTCACTCAAGGCAGTACGAATTTCCAGCTCCATGAGCTGAATGCCTATGCAAAGTCCGACAGTCACAAGGAGGCCAAGCAAATTTGCAAAGCCAATAAGCTTAGAAGGGAGCTGCAAAGAGGTTCCATGGATGATGCACTAGACCGACAGAGAGATCAACATGAAGAGCGAATAGTGCAAGTGATGAAGCTTGTCCATCATCTCATTTTGGCAAATCTTCCGCTTAACTTAATCGGATCTTGTACCAAGGAGCACCAAATTTCCCTCAAGCTGGAGACTACTCAGCTTTTGTGAATCCAGTCTCAGCTCGTGAGTTTCTTCAAGCGACTAAGTTTGTGGGGAGCAAAAGTTGGTTTCAGAGATTCAAGCCAGCCCATTCTTCTCAGGCTAGTGGATGAGAGCACTAATCACACGTCCAAACAGCACCTGATTGTGTGCATCATCTATCTGCGTGATGGAAAGGAGTTCGTCAAACTGATTCCAGTCCATGATGGTACATCAAATTCTATTATCACAGCTCTTCAGTCTTTGCTGTTCACCACTATGGAACTAGCCAAAGAACGACTAGTTGCTTTCTGGTCAGATGGTGCTTCAAGCATGGTTGGCCGTCACGCAGGTGTGCTTCAGAGGCTCAGAGAGTCACATCGAGAGTCACTTGCGCTTTTGCAAGTTTTCCGTGGATTCTCCCGGGATTATAATCGAGGAAAGTGTGGAAGAGAAAGACTATAGGCAGGGACAATGACAATGCTGCTGGGGGGCGGCCCTAGTAGTGCACAAGCTTCAGTTTAAGGCTGTGGAGAGAATTGAGCAAAGGAAACAAAGGAAAAGAGGTTTTGGGACAAGTCACAACACTCTAGATGATGATACTTTTGACATGAATGTTGCAATACCAGGTAAATTTTATCTATTTTTTTCTCCTTTTGCATAAAACTTACTTGTTCTTCACCAGGTTCTCTTGAAGATTGTGCATACACAAGCCCCACGAAATCCTAACTAAGCACTATCCACACATACACTAGCATGACCTGCTTGGGCTTTGCATGAAGTAAGAGGTTTTTGGAAGAGCAAATGCTAGATTACATTGCAAGGCTTTTTACAAATGCAATGAAGGCATTCATTAAATTATGGAGTTATCAATTGCTGATCCAACGATTAACATTGCTGGTGAAAAGAGGAGAAAAGAAGAAAACCTATGAAAACTTTGAAGATCTAGACATGAAAAGTTTAATACACAAATCTAAGTTCTCCACAATTAGTGGTGCAGTTCATCTCCACCAAATGTGAAAATGTATCAGCCCAAACCCTTGGATGTAAAACAAAATGTATACAAATTTCTGGATCAATTCAAAAAGCTTAACGACAAGTTGCGCGGTGTGCCGTAAAACGCGGTTCCGCTCAATTCAAAAGAGGCAAACAAAACTTGTAGCAGCTACCAATGCGCGTACCTTGGCTAGCACCATGCCCTAAGTCCATGACGACACAACCAAGGGAGCTAGCTTCGTTTACAGATTTGGAGTGAACTTTGGGTAATTGCCTGCAATATGGACGCGGGTCACGGTTCACACGCACCTGCGGGCAGCGATGGCGGATCATCCTCCATGTCTCCGAGTATGGGTCACGTCGCTGGATTCGAAGCTCAATTAATGCCGATGCAAAGCAGTTTTTACTGGGGTAAGGACATGACGCTCTTGTTTTCGAGCTGGGTAACAAGAAATCCGGTTCACTACGCACTCGTCGTCCTGGCTGTTTTTATTTTTGCAATCGCCCACCAGTTTCTGGGATACATCCACAAGCTCTACAGCGGAAGCAGCAGCAGTGGCAGCAGCAAACATAAACACGCATGGCTCGAGATGTTGGTGGGGGTGGTTTTGTATGGCGCCCACACAACCACGGGCTACTTGCTCATGCTCATCGTCATGAGCTTCAACGGAGGTGTCTTCGTTGCCGTCATATCTGGGCTGTGCCTGGGATTCTTGATATTCCAAGCCATTGAGAGGGCTATGAATGTGAATGCGTCTGATCGTGCATCATCTGTAGCAGAGTAAGATAATATATTCAAAACAAATCATTCCAAGTTATCATAAAATGAAGTCCACTCACGGCTGTGTAGAGCAAGTGTCGTGTTGGTGTTGGTGATCAGCGGCAGTGGTTTTGTTCGATTCAAGCTTGAATGGAAAGACGAGGATGCCCAAGCAAAGCCCCAAGACAACAGCGATAAACACCCCCACGTTGAAGCTCATGACAATGAGCATGAGCAAGTAGCTGGTGGAAACATAGGCAGCGTACAAGACGAGGGCGATGGCTGCCTGGCCGCGGCCTGGAATGGAGTAGAACATGTCGCCGCGGCCCCTGAGATAGCACAGAAACTGGTGGAGAATCGCAAAGCAGACGACGGCCAAGAGCGTTAGAGAGTACTCGACCCAGTTGCTGGTGGTCCAGCCCGAGAACAAAAGCGTTACATTCTTGCTCCAGATGAAGCTCATCTGCATCATCATCATATTATGCATCCCCGTCCCCATCCCCATGGAAGGATTCGAGGGCGCTGCTGCCTGATTATGGTCGTGACCACCGTGATCCATATCCATGTTCGATCGATCGATCCCCCAATCAATTCCCTTCGAGGGAGGAAGAGCCGTGAAGAGGCTTTTGGTCGGCCTAAAACGCTGCCACTTAAACAGCCATGCATTCCTCCCCAAGTACAAGTACTGCACAGCAATTTAGTACTAGCATACAAATTCAACGTTGTTTTTGAGGACGTACTTTAGTTTTTTGTGAAATGGAATGTGTGATCTCATCTGAGCCCCACATCTACACGTACATTCCGGTTGGCTGCTTTACCAGTATAGCGCCATGGATTAATCGCCAGCTAGCAGCTAGGTCGAATCGAAGGCGCTGCGCTTTGCGTTGGACAGTTGGACTTGGAAGAAAGAAAGAACGATGTTACTTAGGTGAGAGCGTGCGTCCATTCCACTACCTAGTGCTTGTAATCAAGGGGAGCATCATATCGAAATATCTGGTCATGGAGGCACTGTCGTCGAGGGCGCTGGTGCTCGAGCACCACCATGTCAATCACAATGTCTTGCTGTGGCAACAACGGCCATGGAGGGCGCCTCAATCGGCGGCCCTGCTATCCGTGGCGCACTCGGCATTGAGGCGCACAAAAGCCAGGCTGTGGCGATGGCCATCGTCGTCGTGCCGGGTGAGTAACTTGTTTTGCTGCTTACAAATCTTCATAGATTTGATCTCAACTCTAGAGACGACACAATTGGACAGGATTTGCTTGTCGCAGCTGCCACCAGTGCGTCTTGCTTGGCCTCGGCTTCTTCTTCTTCTTCCACAGCCGAGTTTGGTGACCAAAACCACCAAAGCCATGATGCAGCAGCGCCGCCATCGCAGCGGCAATCGGAGCTAGGAGAGAGTGCTGCCGACCTGCAAACTTCGAAGGAGTCGCAAACTGCCCCGCAAAAGATGTGAGTCTCCTCGACTTTTGTTTGTGGAGCTCTAAGCTCTGAAATGCATGCACAGGGTGTAACGATTATATGATGTCTCGGCACTGGCAGGCCGACCAGAAACCTTCAAGCCGCGGGGATCATCTCGGGAATCACACTCGTGGGAACAATAGCCGCCGTTTCCTTCACGCTCGCCAGCGGAGGTCCGGCCGCGCTTGCCGCAGCGATCTCCAAGTCGGGATTCTATGCTGCCTTTGCGTTGATTTTTGTGTCGGAGATTGGCGACAAGGCAAGTTTTCTTCTTTCGGGTGCGCAGGATTCTGAGCTGGTTGCGTTGTGCACAGACGTTCTTCATCGCCGCATTGCTGGCCATGAGACACTCTCGAGGACTGGTGAGTTTAATTGATCAGAGAGTGTTTGTATGATATGATTGAGTGAGAACTTGATCCATGGTGATCGATCAGGTGCTGCTGGGCTCAATGGGTGCACTTAGCCTCATGACCGTCATCTCGGTTGTCATCGGGAGGCTTTTCCAACGCGTGCCGGCACAACTACAGACTTGTAAGCCTCTTCTCTCGCTCTCTCGTGTTTATGTTTTGGATTTCATTCGCGAGTGATCCCGGCCAGCTTTGCCAATTGGTGAGTATGCCGCTGTGGCGCTCCTCATCCTCTTTGGCCTGAAAGCAATCAAAGAGGCGTGGGAGCTACCGTCAGCCCCCGCTGATGCACCGGATGCGGCAGCTGACTCGGGCGAGCTTGCGGAAGCGGAACAAGTTGTCAAGCAAGTCCAGGTGTGTAAACTTCCTCTCGGCTCTCTGGGGTTCTAACCTTTCAACTCGGAGTAGTGCAGGCTGACAAGAAGTTGAGCACTCCGCTGACAATACTCGGAGAAACATTCAGCCTGGTCTTCCTAGCCGTGAGTTTTGGTTTCTCTGATTAAGCTCCGCCGGGACTTACATGCATGCATGTCTCAGGAATGGGGGGATCGATCGATGCTGGCCACAGTCGCCCTGGGTGCCGCTCAAGTAAGTGTGGCGTGATCTTCATGTACTCAAGGTGTTTGCTTGCTTGCACAACAGTCTCCATGGGGCGTGGCGTCGGGGGCAATCCTGGGACATACGCTCGCAACGTTGCTGGCTGTGCTTGGCGGCGCACTTCTAGCTCGATATATCTCCGAGAAAGTGGTACGTTTTTGGTGTGGCTAGACGAAGATCTCAGCTTACTAGCGTGTGGGCTTGTAACACACCAGGTTGGCTACACGGGCGGAGTCCTCTTTCTTGTGTTTGCGGCCGCGACTCTGCTGGGAGCATTCTAGCCTGAAAGTTTTGTTTTGTACTCCCTTTCTCCCTTTGAATCACAATGAGAATTATTTAGGGCTCATCAGTCACTGTTTCTAGGGCGCAGCAAAGGAGATCCATTGTGGAGGTACTCGAGATGAGTAGAAGCAGTGATGTGGGAGCTCGATCTCCTCCTCTTCCCTTCAATCCATACCAGCAGCAGCAGCAGCGCTATCCCCCAATGGCGCCACCAGCTGCTGATTTCCCACCACCTCAATTCTTTCCCAGGCCGCCGCTCTCCAATCCTCCTCTAGATCCTACTCCGCCGCCACCACCACCACAGCAGCTCTATTCCAGGCCGCCATCCTCGATGCTCTCCACTCCACCTCCTCCGATCCCATCCAAGGCACCGCCCTTCGCATCGCCTCCTCCATTTGCAGCGCCCCACCAATTCCAAGGACTCCAAGGACCTCCTCCTTCTCATCCTCCTCCTCCTCCCCAGGCTCCCTACTTTGGTGGATCACCAGCGTACCAGCAGCAGCAGCAGCAGCCATTGCCACCGCCATCGCAGGGATACTTCGCAGGGATAGCGCCACCACTTCCTGGCGTTGCTGCTCCTCCAGGCCATGACATTGCCGACGAGTTCGAGTCTCTATCCATCTCATCAGCTCCTGGAACTGCTGCCGACGTCAAAGTAGAAGCGCTTCCCAGGCCTCCTCCGGATTCGTGTGACACCTTTGCGCAACCGGCGTGGTCGAATTGTCACCCGAGGTACTTTGAGCTCACCACCAACGCCATCCCAGCATCACACTCGCTTGCTGCTCGCTGGCACCTTCCCCTGGGAGCTGTGATTCATCCACTCGCCGAGGCACCTCCCGAGGTAATAGACAAAGTTTCCTTTTTTTCTCTCTTGCTCTCTCTTTCTCTCGCTCTCTCATTCTCCTTTCTCTCGTCTCTAACCAACGTAGAAGCTGTGCAAAACTAGGAACAAGTGCCCGTCGTTGATTTTGGAACGTCTGGTATTGTGAGGTGCCGCAGGTGCCGGACTTACATCAACCCGTATGACAAGTTTACTGATGGCGGCAAGTATTTCCGCTGTGCGATATGCAACCTTCTCAACGACGGTAAAGCAGGCGTTTCATTCTCACAAAGGAATCTCATGTTGTTGCTTGTGTTTCCAGTGCCCATGGACTACGTGTGTGCCCTGGATGAACAAGGAAAAAGGAGGGATGCTATGGATCGGCCAGAGCTCAGTCAGGGCAGTGTTGACTTCGTTGCCCCGATGGAGTATATGGTCCGTCCACCAATGCCCCCGGTCTACTTTTTCCTGATTGATGTGTCGATCACGGCAGTGAGATCGGGCATTCTACAGGTATTATACCTTGCAGCAGCATAGACTATTTACCGAATCCTTCTTCTCCAGATCGCTGCCGATACAATCAAATCTTGTCTTGACAAGCTTCCAGGCTACCCGAGGACTCAAATAGGCTTTTTGACGTTCGATAGTACTCTTCATTTCTACAGTCTCAAGGTAAGCACGTTTCTATGGCGTCTTTGGTTTAACTTGGTTTTGCAGTCTTCGCTTACTCAACCTCAAATGGTGGTTTTGGCACAAGTGGACGACCCGTTTTTACCAATGCCCGACGACCTTCTCGTCAACTTATCTGAATCTCGCCTTGTAGTTGAAGCTCTGCTGGATAGTTTGCCATCTATTTTTGCCAACAATGAAAACGTGGAGTCTGCCCTTGGTCCTGCTCTGGAGGCTACCACATCGATAATGGTTCGCCCCTTTGATTTTGTTGTCTATTGCTAACTAGGCCGATGGTATCTGTCAGAGTGAAATTGGAGGAAAGCTGCTTATCTTTCAGAGCACGCTGCCCTCTCTTGGCGTTGGCCGCCTAAAGCTCAGAGGACAAGAAGCTCATGTCTATCAAACGGACCGCGAGCCCGCTTTGCGGGTGGCAGAGGACTCGTTTTACAAGCAAATGGCGGCCAAGTGCTCCAAGCTGCAAATCGGTGTGAATGTGTATGCATTCTCGGAGAAGTACACCGATGTGGCGTCCTTGGGTAAAAACGTTGTCTTGTCTGGTTGCTCAACCATAAGTCGTACTTGTTCCACAGGTACTCTTGCAAAGTACACCGGCGGTCAGGTTTGCTATTACCCGGGATTCCACGCTGCCGTCGACGGAGAGAAGCTGACGTACGATCTCTCAAGGGACTTGACGAGAGAAACGGCTTGGGAAGCCGTGATGCGGATTCGTTGTGGAAAAGGTAATGCCTTACGTCGCTGTTTTACATGGTGTCATCTTGGTTTTGCTACAGGAATAAAGTATTCCGTGTTTCATGGCCACTTCATGCTCCGGAGCTCCGACTTGCTAGCTCTTCCGGCCGTGGACTGTGACAAGGCCTTCTCGGTGCAGTTTGCTTTGGAAGACACTTTGCTGACGTCCCAGCTGGCATACTTTCAAGTCGCTCTGCTGTAAGCTCGAATCTCTTGTGCGTGTGATATCATACTCAGCTCCTTGTTCCTTTACAGGTACACGTCGTCCTCGGGAGAACGGCGAATAAGAGTGCACACGGCTGCCGTTCCAATTGTGCAGGAGCTGAGCGTCATGTATAAAGAGGCGAGCATTGGTGCTGTTGTTGGGGTGCTCAGCAGACTTGGTAAGCGCCGGCATACGTTTCGAGCTAAAACAATGTGCTGTTTTGTTGCAGCCGTGGAGAAATCACTGAATGATAAGCTGGAGAATGCTCGGCAATACGTGCATGTAAAGATGGTGAATGCGCTGCGGGAGTACAAGAACATGTATGCGGTGAAGCATTCACTCATGGGCCGCATCATCTTCCCCGAGTCACTCAAGCTACTGCCTCTCTACGTGCTGGCCTTGTCCAAGTCCGTGCCTTTGCGAGGTGGATTCATGGATGCTACACCTGACGAGCGCTCCGCTGCTGGATACCAGATGATGACAATGTCCCGACCCTCACTCTTGAAACTTCTCTACCCCACGCTGATTCGGCTCGACGAGTATCTCCTACAGGTAATGAGTTGCGTCGATTGGATCGCCAAGAATGAGACAATTGTTTATGCGCAGGGAAGCCGAGGTGGAGGTGTGGACAGTCCACCGCAGCTGCCACCGACGGCGGAAGTTTTGGATCCCCGCGGTGCGTTCGTCACCTCGGACGGCCAGCGCTTTGTACTGTGGCTGGGAAACGTGCTCCAACCCGAGTTCGTTGCTGCGATCCTTGGGCCGCAGGTAGCTCACAGCTCCGACCTGAGAAAGGTGCGCGCGTGTGCTTTTGTTGCTTGCTCTTGGAGCCATATTGACATGATGCTTGTTTCTTGCATACTCCAGGTCCCGGTTGTGGAGCAAGAAAACGACTTGTCGAAACGCTTCCATGCGCTGCTTGCAAAGTTGCGCAAGCAAAACCGGTGGTGCCACCAACAGTGCGTGGTGGTGCGGCAGGGCGAGTCGAGCCGGGAGCTCCAGCTCGTTCACTCCAACATGGTGGAGGACCGTGGCGCTGGATTTCCTTCCTACATGGAGTGGATGGTCCAGATCCACAGGCAAGTCCAGCAGAAGATCTAAAGTAACAAAACACTAAGTTAAAAGCTTTGCGTCCATTCAAGAAAAAGCGAGCGAGACTTTCAAGTGTAAAGAATATCCACGCGGATGCTCCATGTATTCGAATATCCGTAGATGCCCGGCGGATATTCTCGGCCTTTTGGTTGAAAGAAACGACTGCCCTAGCGAACAAGGACGGAGGTTTATCATTTTCCGCGCACCAAATCTGTGAGAGAGCGTTGTTTAGATCGATCGGGAATGGTGGCGCGCTGCATTGGTCCCTGTAGTGAGAGCTAGATCACAAGTAGCTGTGTGTAGCTCTAGAGCAGCAGTATGAAATTCGGGAAGCGGTTAGCTAGCCAGATGGAGGAGACGCTACCCGAGTGGAGGGACAAGTTCCTGTCCTACAAGCAGCTCAAGAAGCGTCTCAAGCTCATATCGGCGCCGGATTGCTTCACCCAGGCGGCGTTTGAATCCGGCGGTACCAGCCCCGTTCGGGAGGAGAGCGGGACATCTGCCGTGGATGTTGCCGTGGACGAGCTCAAGAGATCCGGAGGCGCTGCTGTTGCTGCCATCAAGAGCGAAGCCCTTGAACACGCGGAGGAGCAGCCACAGCAGCAGCAGCAGCAGCAACAAGAAGAGTCCGAGTTCACAAGCTTGCTGGAAGTGGAGCTGGACAAGTTCAACACCTTCTTCATGGAGAAGGAGGAGGAGTATGTGATCCGGCTACAGGCAAGTCTCTCTTTCTTCTCGTCCAAGGATACCTTCATCTTGCTTATGCTTGACGTGATCGCTTCCAAGCAGGAGTTGAAAGATCGCATCGAGAAGCTCAAGTCCAAGCCTGACGTGACGGGCCTCGATCTGGAGCAGCACGAGGAGCTCATCCAGATAAGGAAGGACATTGTTACGTTCCATGGCGAGATGGTGCTGCTCTTTAACTACAGCTCGCTCAACTACACAGGTAAATCCATTCATACGCGAGTGACACTCGTAACACTTGCATGGACGCTATAGGCCTGGTGAAGATCCTAAAAAAGTATGACAAGCGGACGGGGATGTCTCTCCGCTTGCCCTTCATCCAGGGGGTGCTGCAACAGCCCTTTTTCACGACGGAGCTTCTGTCCAAGCTGGTGGAGGAGTGCGAGAGAAATCTGCAAAGCATCTTCCCAGCAGACGAACTCGCGGCCATTACCAAGGCTCCCGAGCAGCCGGAGCTCACAACCGACGCCGAGGAATGCGATCCGGAGCAAGTGGAGGGCATCTACAGGAGCACCATGGCTGCGCTGCAAACCATCAAGGACTTGCGCAAGGGAAGTTCCACCTACAGCGCCTTGTCCTTGCCACCGCTCGGCAACAGCGACTCGTGACATAGACACATATATATCATATGATACTCTCCACACCTTGTGTGTGTGTGTGTGTATAACCATCTTACAATGTCGTCTAATCTAGAGCAAGTTCTCAAAAGCCACAGAATGTCTCTCGGAGCCACTCAGCATTTAGCATCCATGAACTTCTGCAAAGCACCGCCCAACGTAGTAACACTCGCAGCTCACCATGTCTCCAACCTTGCAAGTCACGTTCCTGATGACAGGAATGGGGCACGGCGGCGGGCTTTGGCAAACTGGAACATATAGACTCAGTCACAAACCATGATCATTCCAGGAAAAACGATGACTTACACTCGGTAGATTGCAACAATTGCCTGCTCGTGGGAGCCTGCGCCAGGCGTGGAATCAGCGACAAGGAAATATATTATTCACTTCTAGTTACCTGTGCTGGATCGAGCTTACAGATTCTGCGTCCATGCTTGATCGTGAGCTTGCGATTTTTACTCACGCTTACTTAACCTGTCAACCCTGAGCAGCACAGTCCTACCAGATTTGCCGCAAGCAGCACTGCCATTGCCACCCGCAGCAGTGCCATAACTCTAGATTGATTGAGTGCCCAACGTGGTTTCAATGCGGCCGAGTTTTTCAAGCATACTCGACCCCCCGGGTGCCTTGTGGAAGCGCAAACACCGTGCTCTTGACCTCTCAATCAGGCGTGGAGGCGAGTCCCGCGTATCTTTGGCCACTCACAGGCATTCTTCACTCCACCTGGGAAACATGATATCCAAGAATCGAGTGAAATTATATTACCTCACGAATGAATGGTTTTAAACAGAGAGCAGTAGAAGCTAGGCTACAACATTCTCGTTCTTTCTTTTCGATGTCTCTGACACTAGGAATGCCTCGCCCACATTGCTGTGATTCCAATCTACCATGAAGTTGTATATAGTCTAGTAGAGTAGAACACCACGAGACGAAAGAAGTGACGATGCCACAGCAATCACTTTGATGTTTACAAGCCAAGAGCACCAAGAGGTGTCAAGCCCTGTCCCGCCTCAAAGTAGAAGATAAGCATGGCGACCATGGCGAGTCTGGCGTGCTTGATCTCGGCAAGCTGAAGCCTCTGGAGCTTGTCAAAGTCGGGAACGTAGTCCCCGCCCTTCATGCTCCCGGCTAGCCGCAGCGGATCAAAGAACTTGCCGCCGGGATAGCCTTGCAGCCCGGTCGAGTTTGCAAAGTTGACGGCCGTTCGCGACCAGGGCGTTGCCCACTCCACCGCCTGCGTGTTGGGCTCGAAGAAATCCACGTACCTCTTGGACTCCACCCAGCCCATGAGCAGGAGCTGCGTCCCCAGCAGGCTGCCAAACGAGAAGGGGGCCACGGCACCCGGCGCAGCACCAGCCTCGAACCATGGGATTCCAGACCACGCCTGACCCACGAAGATGCCCACCACCGCCGCCATCGCCCACCTCCCGTGGATGAGCTCCGCTTCTCTGTACCACTTGAGGAAGGCCGGGTCCTTGCCCAGCCCAAGGGGATCAAAACCATAGTCGCCAGGGAGCCTGCATTCATCACTCCTCAGAAACTCTACGAGACTAGAAAAGGATAACAAGACTTACGATCCATCCAGCCACTCGGGATCCACCAGGTCGCCACCTCCTCTCACCCCGGGAAGCCACGACTTCTTGCCGGATGCCGGCTTGGCGGATATCTTCCTGGTGGCCATCGCCATGACTCGGGCTCCATTGCTGGGGCAGTGCGACAGGAGGGCGTTGCTCCCGCTCACAAACGAGGAGCTCGCGAGCTGCGAAATTGCGGCGCTGGCTGCGCTTGTGCTTGCCACGGCCATCTCTCCTCTCACCTCTCTCCTCGGCTCTCCTAGCTTCGCAGGATTCTGATCGAAAAAAAGTAGGAAAAAAATGTGTGGTAGATAGAGGCCCCGGATCTGGTTAGCCAATGGGACGCATTCGCGGCAAAATACCAGCCAATGGCTGCCGAGGAAACGGATTAAGCGTTGGAGGCTGGGCTTGAACCTTGGACCAGCCACTTGATTTTGCGCTGTTTAGCAAGCATCTCCATTGGAAGCCGTCCGGCTCAAATGGCATGCTTTGTATCAAATCCTTGGCGTCTTGGACATGCCCGGCACGCCCCAGCATGTCAACCAGGCAGCAGTAGTGCTCTCTCGTGGCCGCAATCCCGCAATCGCACACCATCACGTCGAAGCAGCGCCTTCCCGTGGTGGACTTCCCAGTGTGGCTGCAAGCAATGAACACGGAGACGAAGCACCCTTGATCCACAGCCATGCCGGCCGCCATCATCTCGTGAAGCACACGAAACGCTCCACTGGGCTGTCCATTGCGAGCATAAGCCGAGAGTGTCGCACTCCATGATGCAGCATTGCATTGAGGCATGGAATCAAACACACGGCGTGCCGTCTCCACTTGCCCGTTCTGGGCATGTGCAGCTAAGATAGAGTTCCACGACACCACGTCCCTGTGGGGCATACTGCCGAACAGGGAAACAGCCTCCGCTAAATACCCACCCTGAAAGAAAGCAGCCAGCATTGCGTTCCAAGCCACCGCATCCCTCTGTGGCATTGTGTCAAACGTGAACTTTGCTGCCTCTACAAGACTTCTGGAACCATATGCTGCAAGCATGGTTGTCCACGATACCATGTCCCTCTCCGGCATCCCATGACTAAACAAGAGCTCAACAATGGTCACTCGTCGAGCTGCTGCCGCTCGCAACATTAACATTGCATTGAGTGATACCAAATTTGTCACTGGCATCTCCTCAAACAAGCGCTCGGCACAGTCAACATGCCCCGCCTGAGCGTAAGCTACTAGCATGGCAGTCCACGACACCACGTCTCGCTGAGGCATCATATCGAACACCTTCCTGGCTTGTGAAATATCACCACTTTGGCTATATGCCACCAGTAGTGTCGTCCACGACACAAGATCCCTCTCGGGCATCTGCGGGAAGAGGATGGCGGGCTCTGAGGATGCCGTCAGCATTGCATTCCATGCAACCAGATTGGTTTGGGGCATGAGCCACTGAAAAAAGTGCGCCGCTTGGCTTGGTTCACCCAGATGCAAGTACGCGGACAACATTGTTGTCCACGATACAATGTCTCGCACTGGCGCTCCATCAAACACCGCCTTGGCTCGCTCCAACTCCCCGTTGCGGCCATACACATCCAACATGGAGTTCCAGGACACAAGGTCCGGCTCTGGCATGCAATCGAACAGCGTCGCAGCAGCCTGCACTAGCCCGCCGCGCGCAAGGGCCGTGAGCATTGTGTTCCAAGAGGTCTGGTTTCGCTGAGGCATGCTATCAAACAAGAGCTTTGCATCTGCAAGCCATCCATTCCTGGCGTACGCTGCGAGCATTGCATTCCAGGAGACGACGTCCCGCTGCAGCATGGCATCAAAGAGCTGTTTTGCTTGATCCACAAGGCCATACTGGATGTAAATGCTCATCATGGCGTTCCAAGCAACTACGTTCTTATCCGGCATTCTTTCAAACAGCTCTATCGCATGCTGCAGTTGCCCGTTCCGGGCAAACGCACACAACATCAACACCCAGGTAAAGCAGTTCTTGTGCTTGGCGGCTTGAAATGTTTCTTGAGCATCCGCCAGCCTTCCAGACTTCCCATGCATTTCAATGAGCTTGTTGGTCACAAATGTAGATTCTGGTTCTCCGAGGTCCATATTGGCTGCAAGCATGCCTACGATGATGCATCATCAAAGGCAAACTGCATGTAGAGAGTGGATAGCTGGACGTAAGGAAATGAGTCCTCCAGCGCTAGTGGATCGTCACTTTCCATAATGGCAGAGATGGTATAGTCCACCGCTCTGATAGCGTCGCCCTGCGTGTTACTGGCCGCAAGCATCGCCTTCCACGCGACAACGTTGGGCTCAAATGGCATTGTGTGGAGCAGCTCCTGCGCATCTTTCAAGAGGCCGGCGCAGTTTAAAGCGTCAGCCACGCAGAAGTAGTGGGCTGCGGAAGGCACTATGGAAACAAACAGCTGCCGGGCAATCTCTGCGGCGCCCATTCGGCTGCATGTCATCATTGCGAAACCTCGTCGGTGATCCAGCCTTCCAGGCCCATCTCCCCAAACAACTACAACGCGTCCTCTCCATATACGTAGCCCAGTTCCTTGACATAACCCTGCCGGGCACACAGCACCGTGTTCCAGGACACTAGATCCATTTCTGGCATCGCAACAACCATGCTCTCCACAACAAGAACGCTGTTGAAACCATCCTCATTGCAGTGATAGTTTACATGTGGATTGAGAAGTGTATTGAAGCAGCACAAACTGTGCTGTGGCAAGCAGTCACAGAGGGCTTTAGTCGTTTGCAAGTCCCTAACACGGGCAAAAGCGGACAAGAGAACGATCCACCAACAATGTCCTTCTGCAGCATCTTGTTGAACAGCATACTCCTCTCACCAAGATCTTCATTCCGAGCATGACAGTCTCACATTGTCGTCCATGAAACGGCCGTGGGGCACGGGAGCATGTCAAGCAAAGCTTGGGCGGCTTGCATTTGTCCGGCCTGGGCAAAATCTAAAAATTAAAATCATAGCGTTCCAGGGCATTTGCTCAAACGCCTTCTCTGCGTCCAGGACATGAGAAAATGCGCAAGCCAACGCAGTCTACGTCCATACATCTCTCTGAGACCAGCAATCAAACAGGTGTTGCAGGCATTTGCTTCCAGAAGAATGAGAAGACGTTGGGTTGTTGTATGGTTACATGCATGTGTTCTCCAAGCTGCCACTTGCCATACATGTCAACAAACACCAACAAGATGCACTAACATCATCTTCGTCAAGATTCACAAAACAAAATATCAATCTTTGATAATATGTTATCTATAGCTGAAAGATTGGTCTTGGCATATTCCACTAAGCCAGAATGGTTTAGATTGTCTTTCCATAATTCTCTCTTTCTGTTTCTCCCCGTTACTTCGTGTTTCTTCATCTCCCTCGTTTCTCCTCTTTCCTGGCGCAAATCAGTCGCGTTTCCCACATATCTTAATATTTGGCCTTTTCTCTAGGACTTCCTCGACAAATGCAACTAACTCGGGTTGATGGTGTAGTAAAATTTTTAAGCATGAAGGTATTGATCTCTCATCATAACATTGAGTTGCAGGGTGTGTAATTTGTAATTTATCTTATGAAACTAGGATGTGGAAAAAAAGTTATGATGGTGGAAACATTCCTTATATTAAAAGAAGAATTCAATTCCCATTTAGAGTCCATTGTTGGGATTAGAGTGTACAACTGAAGAGATCTCGAAGGAAGTGTGGAGAAACAACATTCTCCAGCACTATTAATTTAGTTTTTGCACGTTGGCAATTTTAATGCCTGCTTTGATGTCTGCCCCCAGGGTCATCACCTTCTTCATCTAAGTGGGAGTTGAATTCTTCCTTTAAGATGAGCAATGCTTCCATCATCAAAACTTACTCTCACATCTTAGTTTTGCAAGACAAATTATAAATTGCACATCTTGTAACTTAATGTTATCATGAGAAATATGTTTCAAGTCCATTCCTTCAATATCTTCATTTGCGATGATTTCATCATGTTCCGAGCCAGCTGTGTTCAACATGCTCGGTGATCTCATCCATACCTATAGCCATTGCCATTGCCATTAAAAACATTACCCTAAAATACAATCTGATCTTGGAGACAATATTCAAGATCAAATGCAACCACCTGAAACTGATGCTGTCATGCATTCCTCTTGCTGCTCATGAAGGCTAGCCTTCCATTTATTGATCAAGCCATTGAGCATTTCAAACAGAAGCTCATCCAAATGAAGGCATTAATGCAGCGTACACTGGGGTTATGAAGATGTCGATGCCCGTGGAACCTCGTGTCATGGAACACCTTGCTCCAGGCGGTGGTGGCGACGAAGATAATTGCCAGGAGCGAGATCGCGGTGGACTGGTAGCAGCACAGCGCCTGTTCGACGCAATGCCTGCCATGGATGCAGTGTCGTGCAAGGCCCTGGCTCGGTAGGCGACCTGGTACGCGCGCAAGCTGTGCTTGGTGCCATATGATCTTCATTCCGATCGTAACAGTCTAACATTGTCGTCCATGAAACGCCCGTGGGGCATGTCAAGCAAAGCTTGGGCGGCTTGCACTAACAAAAGCTAAAATCATAACATTCCACAACACGGAATCCCTTTCGGGCATTTGCTCTCTGCGTCCAGGACATGGGACCCGGACTGAGAAAATGTGCAAACCAACGCGGTCCACGTCCATGCATCTCGCTCAGGCAAGCGATCAAACAGGAGCTTTGTCTCTTCAAGCTGCCCGTTGTGGGCATTTGCTTCCAAAAAAATGTTCCACGAGAAGACGTTGTATGATTGCAGACACAGTGCGCACATTCTCCAAACTGCTGTACTTGCCATGCATGTCAACAAGGAGATTGGACAAATATCTGTCCAACAACACATTCCACCAAGCGCGATGGCATCTTCCGAGCTCTTGGTATTTCCAGCGGCGAGTTATGTGACACATAAGATTCTGCTCTCATTTGATTATTTATTTATTACCATCTGCCTACTTAGTTGTACAGGCAATTCAATTTTATGTCGCTTTGATTGGTTTCAGGTCTGCTTCTACGAAGAACAAACACAAAGGCCTCAGTTGTTTCTCAATCACCAGCAAGGTGAGAAGATTAAGATTGATTTGCAGTGATTACAACCCACCTGATTATAGCCCGGACTATTATAAAATTGTGCTACAGCATTCTCTGGAAAGTATTCAAGTTATGCTATAATGTGCAAGAAGATTTCTAGTTTACCTGATGCCAGGCGCGCAACAAACGCATGAGAATAAACAACGTCCCGGTCATAAAGATTTTTGCCTAGACCAAATCCAAGATACCAGTGTTAGAACGACTACTTGTACGTAAGATTTTCTCAACTCACCAACTGTTGTTTGCAAGACAATTGAAGGCATGGATACAGATAGACCCTTCAAGGATTCAAGCACACTTTGAATCTGTGCATGACTTACGCCCAGATTAAATCTGAACATAGCCATGTGGATGATCTCGTTTGGAAAGTTCTGCACAAATACAAATTGCATGTCAGATATTAATGACATTGAAAACCTTCCTGCCTGAGCTGAATCGCCATTTACAACCGTGTTGTAGTCCACACTGTCTTCACCCTGCAAATATCACAAGTAAGGAACAAAACATGAGGCGCACAGCTAGCCTACCCGAAGATAAGGGATCTGAGGCAGCACGGCCAATGCGAACTGTTTCGAGAAGTAGTATTGCAGCAAGGTTCCTTGATCCGGGAAGCGAGCAAAGAGACCATGGGTGAACCCGTCGACATCTTTGAGCAGTCGGCCTGCAAAATAGAAGAAGAGAACTTAGTGGGGAGGAGCCGAAAGATGTGGGCCTCGAATTGCTACCTGTGAAGAGTGTAATCACCCCCGGAAATGTCCTGAGACTGTCCAAACTGTTGAGCACCTTCGCCTCGGCAGAAGTGTTGGATTTGAGACCAGGCATCTTGAACAAGACAGGGTGGTCCAATAGGCCACTTGAACTCGTTGCAAAACCGATCAGCAACATAAGCAACGAAGCCAGGAGCTTAGCCATGACAAGATCCTTTGTTGTGATAGCGCTGAGCTCCAAGTACCTACACAAGCAAGAAACGGGACGAGACACAGAAAAGTCGCCTTTCTGGCATTGTTAGGTGAGCACACACGTAGAACTCGGTAGAGAGATGGCTTGATGAGGCACGCCGAATGTCGACGTTGTCCACAGTTGCACGTACTGCGCAGCTGCTCCGGAATGCGTCGAGTGTGTCAGAAGTGAAGCGCATTGCCGACATGGCGCAGAGCGGCGACAATGCGTGGTCGGAGGAGAGTCGAACCTACCTGGCCAACCTCGCCGTCCACATGCACGCCAAGCTGGGAAGCACAGAGGATGCCGCGCAGGCATTTGCCGGAATCAGGCAGCCCAATGTCTTCTCCTGCAACATGATGCTCGCAGCATACGCCCGCAATGGCCAAGTTGAGCCCGCGCGGCAAATGTACGAGTGGATGCATGAGAGAGGTGTTGCGCGGCTGAGGCCGGACGTGGTGTCCGGCTCCTGCCTGGTGCGTGCTGCTGCCCAGGCCGGGGATGTGGAGCAAGCCAAGCGCTTGTTTGACTCGTTGCCTGCTTGGGACATGGTCACCTGGAACGTCCTGCTTGCTGCATATGGCGACTGCGGCCACTGCAGCGACGCCAAGCTCCTCTTTGACACCATGCCCAGCCGCGACATTGTGTCGTGGACCACCCTCCTCCATGCTTTTGCCCAGCACGGGGACCTGGCGACAGCGCAGGCCCTGTTCGATGCCATGCCCGCGCGGAACCTCGTGTCGTGGAACACCTTGCTCCAGGCGGTGGTGGCGGCAACACTTGACGAAGATGATTGCGAGGAGCGAGATCGTGGTGGTGCTGCACTGGTAGCAGCACAGCGCCTGTTCGACGCCATGCCTGCCATGGACGCAGTGTCCAGCACGGCCCTTATCTCGGCCTATGGCTCTGTAGGCGACCTGGCAAGCGCACGAGCTGTGTTCGATGCCATGCCCGTGTTGCACCGGGACGTGGTCTCCTGGAATGCCATCATTTCCGCGTATGCCCGCATTCACGACCTTCCCACCGCCCGCCGTCTTTTTTATTCCATGCCACACCGCGACACTGCGTCTCACAACGCGATGGTGATGGCATATGCCGCAACCGGGCATGTGGAGGAGGCCAAGAACATGTTTGATACCGCTCCGCTTGTGAACATGGTATCATGGAACTCCATGCTGCAAACGTATGCAACGCACTTGGACCTCACGGACGTTCTCTCCCTCTTTAAACGCCTCCCCGACCGCGACATTGTGTCGTGGACCATACTGGTTGCAGCAATTGCCCGAAGTGGGGATATGCAGTGCTCGCAGGGCGTCGTGTTTAGCGCCATGCCCGCCCGAGCACTCGTGTCGTGGAACGCGTTGCTGGCGGGGTATGCGCAGGCGGGGCGCGTGGAGCGCGTGAATGCATTGTTTGCCACTTTGCCCGAAGCCGACGTTGTCACCTGGAGCGTGGCCATGGCCGCCAACGCAAACTCCCCAGACCACACTGGCGACTCGTGCCGGCTGCTGCACACCATGGCGTGCCACGGCCTGCAACCCAACGCTTGCAGCTTCCTGGCCCTCCTCACAGCCTACTCCAACCTCGCGCTCCTCCGCCCCGCCTGGAGGCTTTTCCTGTCCATGGTGGCCGACTTCCGCGCCCCGGCGGCGAGGGAGCACTACTGCGCCATGGTGGCGCTCCTGGCGCGGGCGGGGCGGCTTGACCAGGCGGAAGAGTTGATGGAGAGCATGCCGTTCGTGCCCGACGCGTCCGGGTGGGGCGCCCTGGTGTGGAGCTACAGGGCGGAGGCGAGGCGTGGCGCCGGTGGAGCAACGAAGGCTTTGCTGCTTGGCGAGGAGGCCGAAGCGCTGGCCCTCGCCTCGCAAATGCTGGCGCCGTGCTAGAAATGACTGACTGACGGAGCGCCGTTAGGGTTTCCAGGCGGGAAGGGAAAGGGTTGGGCGACCTTGGCCCAGGGCGGCATTGGGTAGGGCGGCATCGCCATCGGCATTGTTGCCATCGTCAAGGGCTGTCGTGCGCATCGCATCGCATCGCATCAGGTGCTTGTTGCTTGACCGAGCTTGGTTGCGAATCGGGATGCCCTGACTCTCTCCGAGATGTGCATTCTGTGTGTGGCGTCGAGGTGGTCACGGCGCATCGTCACTATGCTGCCGTGGCTCATCTTCCCGCTCGTGCTGGTGTGGACGCTCTCGCAGCTCCTGCCACCCGGGCTGAGGTTCGAGATCACGTCCCCCCGGCTGGCGTGCGTGGGCGTGCTGCTGCTCAGCCTCGCCTGGTACGAGTTCTTCATGCCCCGGCTGTCCGAGTGGCGCACCCGCCGGAGCCTGGTGCTCCACGAGAAGAGGAAGATCGAGGCGCAGGAGGCGGCCAAGTGGAGGAAGGAGGCGGTGCGAAAGTGTAGGAACTGCTTCATGGCCTACAAGGACCAGAAGCCACAGCTGGGCGGCAAGTTCATGTGTACCTTCTGCGGTCACCTCTCCAAGCGCCCCGCTCTCGACGTCCCCGCGGGGGGCATGCCCGTCAACCGCTACATTGGCAGCGGCAGGAAGGAGTTGAGGATGCAAGGGAGGCGGAGCTGGAGCCAGGACGTATGGCCCGGCGTGTGGATGTCCGCCAGCGACAAGTGTGTCATCGGCGCCCAGACCTCGGGGCTGCTCATCGTCTTCCGCCTCGTCTCCTTCGTCGGCTACTGCCTGTGGTGGGCGCTTTCCAGGCTGTGGAGTGGGGGGATTATGTCCGACGCGGACAGCTCCCGGACGGACAGGAAAGCCGGGCACCGGAAAGGCGACGATGGGAGTGGCCAGGAGAGCAAAGTTGACAAGGTGAGGCGCAAGGCGGAAGAGAAGCGGCTGGCTAGGCTAGAGAAGGAACAGATGGAGGCCGAGGAGAGAATGCAACGGGAGGAAGTAGCCAGGCTTGTAGACGAGCGCAGAAGGCAGAGGGCCGATGCTCAGAAAGACAACAAGATGGCTGACGAGGTCGGGAGTAGTGACGAGCGGGCCCAACGTCGGAAGCAGGAGAAAGCCGGTGGCGACAGAGGCAAAGACTCGTGGAAGTCAAGGAGCGGGGCTGTTGCTCTCGAGGATCCAAGAAAGGCCATGGACAAGAACAAGAGAGACAAGAGGCCCGATGCTGCCAGGCCCGTCGTCGTCGTCGAGCCTGGGCTGGCCAAGACTGAGACGATCAAAGCAGCAAGCAACGTGAAGTCATCCGTGGCCGTAGCCAAGCCGGTTGTTGTTTGCCCGGTCACGAAGCAGCAGTTGATGAAAGTCAAGGCGTCGGTGTTGAAAAAGCAGGACAAGCATGTTGTGTCCACGACGGCAATAGCTGGTACCACCTCGTCAAGCAAAGCGAACGCAAATGAAGGAGTGGCGCGTAAGCCATCCGCGTGGAACCGGATCTCTTGGGCGTGGGGTAAAGGAAGTGGCACAAGGATGACCAAGCACCACCAGAGTATCAGTGAGGTTCGTAACTTGTTCTTCACTCCGTTGCTTTCAAGTGACACGGGTAATCGTTGTCTGCTCAGGTCCAAGGCTTGGATGCTTCAACTAGCACATCTCCTGACGTCGACGGCGTCCCGCCATCGCCATCACCATCACCTGCTCTAGTTGAGGCTGATCTGCAAGCGCTTCACGACAGCGCCTCCTTGGCTAGTCCCCGCGCGTGCAAGAACGAAACCGCCGGCCTGTCACCAGTCGACGATTGCCCTCCTCCTCCTTCCCCGTCCCAGTCCGTCTACTCGACGTTCATGGCCAGTGTTCCAGATGCACAACCGGCTTTTGACGGATGGGTGGCTAGTGACTTGGCTCCCAAGTCGACGTGGAAAATGTGGGAGGCACCCAACCTCGATCTTCCGAGGCTTACTCAGTGCATCAACGGCGTGGGTCCAGTGTCGTCCCAGCCCAGCGGTGACCTGGCATCGTCATTCCTAACCAGCGGCCCGGTCGGCATCGTCCCGAGCGTCCCCATCACCAATAACCTGTGGTCCAACTATCATGCATTCGAGTCTGCAAGACGGATATGGGAGGATGACTTGCAGTCGGAGGTGACTCCGCCCGAGTTTGTGGATTGTATCACGCAAGAGGTTATGAAGGACCCAGTTATTGCGGCCGATGGGCATTCTTACGAGCGCTCAGCGATCGAAGCGTGGCTCAAGTAAGTCTTGTTCTTTCTTTGTTGGTGCTGTACTAACGCTCCAAAGGGACGTCTTCTTTTGGTCGCCAGGACGCATGATACATCCCCCAAGACGGGAGAAGTGTTACCTTCTCTAGGCAGCAGCGGCGGCGGAGTTGATAAGTCATTGCGGCCGAACCACAACCTGAGGGGCCAAATCATCGAGTACAAAGAATGCATGCAACGAGGGTATGGTGCATTGTTTTGGTGATCTCAACTTGGCTTATTCGTGTCCTCCACCCAGGTTAGTGCCTGCCGCCAGTGGTGCTGCCGGGTGGCAGCAGCCGGCCGCCACAGAAGCGGTGAGAAAGGGTCATGTTGGGGGCCTCTACACACCTCCTCCTGGGCTGGGATCAGTGTGGGCATATAGCAGCACCACCAATATCTCCTAGCCTGCTTTGGCCTGGCCTGGCCTGGCCGTAAACTCTTCTACCTAATAAGCTAAGTCTTTGTTTCCTCGTCTCTCCTTTGCTAGGCCTAGGTTGTGTCATGCCATGCGGCTGCTTGGCTTCCTCGCGTCTGTTGCTGCTGCTGCGTCGTTCGGCCGAGGGCGAGGGCGAGGGCGATGGCAAGGAGGGGAATGTGGCTTGTATGTGCACGCCAGCACCCCGTCGCCCACGACCTGTTGGAGCCGGGGGATCAGCGTGCTCAACTACATCGTCCCCAAGAAGAAGAAAGGCGTCAGGCCTCGCTTCTGCCTCACGCGGCTCAAGAAGAGGAGGATCATCGGCAACCTGGTGAAGCGGTCCAAGAGGCATACATGGACGAGCAAGAGGAGGCTGGCGATGGAAGTGGATGCCGTCAAACAGGTGGAGGAGGAGGAGAAGAGGAGGAGGAGGGCCGTAGAGGACAGGCCCCTGCTGCTGCAGCTGAGAAGGCAGCAGCAGAGGGCGGGCCGGGTGCGGAGGATTCTGGGCGAGCAAAGGACCTTTGCAGACAAGGCCGCCGACGTGTATGCCGAGCTCATTCGCCTGAGAGCAGCAGGCAAGCCGTTGTCCCAGCTGAGCTACGACGGCATTGACAGGTGGTTCAAGAGTGACACCGCTGCTTTCGCGGGCCAGAGGAGTGCGGAACCCGGCAGGGCACAAGTTGCGTCGGCACTGGAATCCAACGGGAGCGTGTTTCATGGCCTGGGGTGGCTGGGCAGGGGAAGGTGGAACGTTCACACCACGACGATAGACGATGCTGGAGTGTGCCGGAGGTGTCACGAGCAGCTGTCCACGTACAAGACCGACGCACAAGAGGCGGACAAGTTCGCCCGTCACATGGTGAACCTCGCCTCCAAGAGCGTCCATCGCTTGCATTTCGACATGTTCTCGGTGAGCCAGCTTCCTCTCCCCACCCCTGTCTGTGAGTGACGACGCTCTTTTCCAAAGGATTGGATGCACCTCACCTCGTACGACGCCATCCTGGACGGTCTAAGCTTGCGACGCTGCAACGTTGACTCGCGCCTCAAGCTCGTCAGGAGCGCAACCTTCCACGACATTGTGCGTTACGTTACAGAAAGAGTGTCGCTCCTGCTGCTCACTGGCCCATGTCTGCCTTGCAGTTGAAATCAGCGGTGGAGGAGCTGCGAATGCGGTCCCTCAAGTTCTTGGTTGTGCTCGACACCGAGGGAGCTCATGCGAACGGGAACTCACCGGTGGCTGGGGATCCCAAGCTGTTTCTGTACCAGCTGAAACAAGACAAGGAGCTCTACACGGTGCCCAAGGGAGTGGACTCGACCTGGTAGTGGTACCTTCCAGCCTTTTATTTCAGTGGTTGTTATGTTCTTTGCTCCCCAAGGCTTGCCCTCTATGCTGCCATGAAGCACGGATGCATGCTGCTCACCAACGACACCCTGGAGAAGCCGAGAAAGCTATACCCAGGCATGTTCTTACCCAAGTGGATGGAGAGGCATCAGGTTTGTCTTTCATTCATGTTGAGTTTTTATCGTCTGCTTCATTTGCGCTTGCAGGTTCGTTTTGATCTTCCAATTCAGTTGTCATGGCCGCCAGCTTATTCGGTGGCGATCCAGGTTGGTTTGCCTGCAATTGTTTCATTTCACCGCCATTTATCCGAGTCTGCTTTTTTCTTCCAGGAGTCTCTGGAGGGCTCGTGGCATGTTCCCAGCTACAGCGCTCATGATCTGACACAACCTAGGCCGTGGCTATGCATCACGCGGCCAAGAAAGCTGGTCTACTAAAATAACACAACGCGGACTCTCGCTTATGTGGTAACCATCTCCTAACCTTTGAAGCTAGATGCTTGACAGGGCCAGCGAAGACAAGCTTGCTGTTGCGATTGCATCGTGCGTCCAAGTTGACACGCTGAAGCAAGTGCACTTGCGTATCTGCCAGGAGTTCCCTCGGACCCCTTACCTGTTGAACTTGGTCGTGCAAATGTACGCTAAGCTGGGCGATCTGGAGTCCGCGTACCAGACTTTTACATGTATCAAAGAGCCCAACCTTTACTCCTGGAGCCTCATGTTAGCCGCATACACTCAGCACGGACAGATGCAGCAAGCAAGGCACCTGTTCGACAAAATGCCCGAGAGAAATGTCGTCGTGTGGACATCCATGATAACAGGATACTCTCAAGCCGGGAATGTTGAGGAGGCCCGGTGCATTTTCGACGTGATGCCTGAGAGGAATATCGTGTCTTGGAGTGCCATGCTGCAGGGATACGCCCAAAATGGGCACGTTGACGAAGCTAAAGACGTGTTTGACAGAATGCCTAGGGTGAACGTCGTGTCTTGGACTGCCATGGTTCAGACTTATGCTGAGAACGGGCATCTTGTAAAGGCCAAGGTAATGTTTGACCAAATGCCCGAGCGAAATCTCATAACCTGGACTGTGATGCTTTTGGCATATGCCAATGGTGGGCTTGTGCATGAGGCAAGGGTGACGCTGGAGAGGATGCCCGAGTTCTCGTTTCTCTCTTGGAACATCATGCTTTCGGCGTATGCACAGCAAGGTGATCACAACAATGCAACGCGTACGTTTGATGCTATGCGAGAGAGGACTGTGACCAGCTGGAACGCTCTCATTTTCTCGTGTGCTCAGAATGAGTCCATCAAGCAGGCCGAACACCTCTTCGAAACGATGCCCGAGAGAAGCCTGGTGTCTTGGACCTCAATGATTTCGGCATACGTAAGTGTTGGTTGCTTGGAGGGATCGAAGTGCGTCTTTGACCGTATGCCGGAGCGGGATATAGTCGCTTACAACACCATCCTGCAGGCGTATGTCCAGTCGGGGCATTTGGACTATGCAGAGACATTGTGTGAGAAAATGGCGAGGCACGACGTTGTAACGTGGACAACTATGATGGTAGGCTACGTCAAAGACATGAACCTGTGTGCGTGCAAGGCTATGTTCTACCTCCTGCCAGACCGCAACTGCATGTCGTGGAACGCTGTTCTTGCAGCCATTGCCCAGAACGGGCATCTGGTAGCTGCGAGGCAAATGTTTCAAGAGATGCCAGAGCGTAACATTGCCTCCTGGAACACTATGATCGCCGCCTCCTCGCATGCTGGACAACCCGCCGCAGCAGTAATGCTCTTCCACTTTCTCCAAGCGGAAGGCCTTGCTCCTTCGGACATATCATTCACGAGCCTCTTGCATGCCACAAGCCACGGGGGTGACTTGTCCGAAGGCTTGCTATACTTCAGGTCGATGGTTGCTGATTATGGTCAATCGCCTCTGAGAGATCACTTTTGTAACGTGGTCGACATCCTTGGACGAGCCGGCTACACTCAAGAAGCCGAGGAACTTGTTAACTGCATGCCATTCCTTCCGAAAGAGGTGGAATGGGGAGCCTTGCTGGGTGCCTGTAGGATCCACATTGATGTCACCCCTGCCGCTCGAGCAGCCGAGCATATTCTCGAGCTGGATCCAGACCACGGCTCCGCGCGTCTCTTGCTGGAAAGCATCTACGCCGGTCTGCGAGATTAATGTACTCTACGTACCTACTGTACTGCACACTGTGCCCTGAATGGAAGGTGGCTCATGCCAGATGCATGGTGTTTGTGCGTCTCTTTCTTGTGCCAACGCAGGGCTTGCTCGAGTGTGCCTTTGTGTATATAAAGCTCACATTTGATCGCCATAAACATCCGCCCGTCTCGCTTTCTCTCCTGTGTCATCTTTTACCACCCATGGAGGCGCCTCTCAAGTTTCTTAGCTTCGCTGCCATCGTAGCCTTTCTGGTGGCAACAACGGCACCAAGCGTCGTGGATGGTGCGACGTGCACCTTCGAGTCCACATTGCCCGACCTTGCCGACTGCCGCCCCTACGTATCGACTGGGAGCACCCAGACCGATCCCACCGCCGCCTGCTGCTCCGAGCTCCGCAATGTCGGCCACTCCTGCCTCTGCGATCTTCTCAGAGACACCAAGGTTCCCTCGGACATTGATATCAACAGGGCCGTTGCACTGCCTGGCAAATGCAGCCTTCCCGGCGCCGATTCCTGCAGCTAAGCATGGACGCTGACGACACGAGGTAAACTTCTCTGTGATCATACCTGGGTTACCTCACGCATTTCTTGCAGGGTGCCATGCGTCCCTTTTGTTTCAGAAAATAAGTCACAGTAGTTTTGCGTTCTCACAATAATTGTCTGGTGACCGTTGACACCGTATGTTTTTTTCCTTTAACTGAGGCGCTGATTATCAAGTTTTTATCATGTTTTTTTGAGCGTGGGGTGGGGATAAGATATGTAGGCTTTAAATTTAGCTCTCCCCTGTATTAAAACTCTCCGGCTCGCCCCTTTCGCCTTCCAGAAGGAACAAGCCACCAGGTACAGAGAACGACTAACTGTGTTCAGGTGCAGGGATGGAGCGATCATCGTTGATTGTCGCGTTTGGCGAGATGTTGATTGATTTTGTTCCCACTGTTGGTGGATTGTCGCTAGCGGATGCCCCGGCCTTCAAGAAGGCGCCAGGTGGCGCGCCAGCCAACGTTGCTGTGGCCGTGTCCCGCCTTGGTGGGCACTCGGCATTCATCGGGAAGGTGCTGCGCTCTCTCTCTCTCTCTCTGTCTGTGTGTGGTTGGTTCCTGTTTTCAACTCCCTTGCGGATCCTGAATCAGGTTGGCGAGGATGAGTTTGGGTATATGCTGGCCGAGATACTCAAGCAGAACAAGGTTGAGGACAGGGGCATGAGGTTCGACCCCCACGCTCGCACGGCCCTCGCCTTCGTTACGCTGAAAGAAGATGGGGAGAGGGAGTTTATGTTCTACAGGAATCCAAGTGCTGATATGCTTCTCAGGCCTGATGAGCTCGACGAGGAGCTTATTAGCAAGGTGAGTGAGGCATGACTTCAGCTGGCTGACTATTTTGATGGCTAGGCGTCGGTGCTCCACTATGGGTCCATCAGCCTCATCTCGGAGCCATGCAGATCGGCACACCTGGCAGCCATGGACGTGGCAAGCAAAGCAGGCGTGCTACTGTCATACGATCCCAATTTGAGGCTGCCACTGTGGCCTTCGGCTGAGGAAGCTCGCAAAGGAATCTTAAGCATATGGGACAGGGCCGATCTCATCAAGGTAAATCTAACAATTTCAAGTAAGCAAGTATTACAAGTGTTACAGGTGAGTGAAGAGGAGCTCCAGTTTCTGACTGGCAAAGATCCATTTTCGGACGAAGCAGCCCTGTCCGTATGGCATTCAAACCTCAAGCTCTTACTCGTAACTGAGGGTCATCGGGGTTGCCGCTACTATACGAGCGTAAGCAGTTCCGTCCTGGGATCATACACTCATACATGTTTATAACAGGATTTCCACGGGAGAGTGGACGGTATCAAAGTGCAAGCCGTAGACACCACCGGTGCTGGGGATGCCTTCGTGGGAGGCCTTCTGAGCCAGCTTGTGGGCGATTTGTCGCTCTACAAGGTATGCATATATGTAGCCTCAGGACATGCATGATGTGTGTGGGCTTTCCAACAGGACGAGCAGAGATTGAGAGCAGCTCTCAAGTTTGCCAATGCATGCGGAGCAATAACGACGACGGAAAGAGGTGCAATCCCTGCATTGCCTGACAGGGACACGGTGCTGCGGCTCATAGGTACGCTCTTTTTATCATTCCCTGTAGTAACAAACAAATTGACGCAGACGAGATCCCCAAATCTCGGATACCCCGGGCGCCTTCGTGGTCCAACATCACGCGCTGGCGACTTGAAGATCACGAGCACGAGGGAGCTGTTCCAGCAGCGTGAATCCAATCATATGATCACTATGCTCCAATTGTGAATAAACGGAGGATGAATCCCGTATCAAGACTAATTCTTCTTTTCCAATCTGAGTAAAGCACACATATCACAAGAGATCACACGAGCCTCGAGTACTCCCAAAGGATCTGGACTAGCCTCCGGAACTCGGCAATAACGAAGTCGAGCCTGTGGCGTCTCCACAGGCAGAAGAAGAGAATGCAGCCCAGGAGCAGGATGAGACAGACGGCAAGCACCACCGTCCCAACCCAGGCCGCTGTGGACGGGGCAGAGAGGGAGAGGAGCGAGGATCCTGCATTCTCGAGCCCCGGAAGCTCCCACATGACCATGGCGCTGAAGGACATATATAATTTTTAGGGCGGGGCGTACATTAGAATCGAACCTTGGCTTGAAATTGAGTGCCCTGGGTGGACTTTCCTTCCGACTTGTTCACTTTGTAGCTATGGTGGCTTTGTCCAGGAGCTGCTGGGAAATGCCCCAGGCTACCTAGGGTTTGCGCCATGCCCAAAGGCGCAGCTCACTTGAGCTGCTACGAGGTAGGTAAAAGATTGATTGCTTCTCTCCTTCGACGAGCCCCTCTTAGATTTGGCATTTTTGTCGTATTTCTTCACATCATTCATCCAGTGATTTTTAACTCTAGTTTGATGGCAAGGGATGAGACATGTCCACTAGGACAAGACACTGGGACTCCCTCCGGACAAAGCTCCATGCTGCTTGTTTGCTAGACGAGACGGGTCTCGATCCAAAGTCCCGTGAAGGCTTGCTTGCCAAGGTGAATCCAGATTTCTGACAAACACGGCCGCGATTCGATATATAATTGTAGCTGGCAGGATTGGTGCTGTTCCAGTGAAATGGAGTGTGGACATACACAAGATACATCTCGGCTGGAAGCACGTAACAGATGGAGGCGGCTCAAGAACACAGTGGCTTTTGCGGCTGCCATCAAATCGTCTCTGGCCCATGATCTGCTCGAGGACAAACTTCACGTCGATCCCGTAAAAGGCAATGACAGTGTTGCTACCGGTGCAGCAGCTCAGGCTTCGATGCCAGTTAAAGCCAAAGGAAGGAAAGGAATGGAAGGCCTTGTGGTCCAGCAAGACAGAGGTTACATGTCTTGCTTCCAAGATTTTTATGTCGCCTGCCTCAAGGTACTTCACTCGCGTAGCTTTTTTATCATAGCATGGTGCCGCACTCACCCGAAGCACGTTTTTGTCTTACGCAGCTGCCAGTCGTTCACTTCTTTATTGGAGTTTTCCTGGCTCCAGTTGCTTTGGCCTCGATCTTCACGCCACTCTATCTATCGGATGCCAAGGGGCTCAAGCTCGTCGAGTCGCAAGAAGCGGGTTCGTCGTGCGACTCATCCAAGATATGGAGCTGCTTGAATGTTTTTCTCTACTCGTACGTACGTACATCAGATGTGGCCATGCTACTTAGTGGCTCTTTGCAGGCTATCCTTGTCAACAACCTTCGGTGGCTCGCCAATCTCTGCAATCTCGCCATTCTGTCTACTTGTTGCGAATCTTCACACGCTCATGGCTCAGTTCTTGTTTGTGTTTCTGAGTGGTGCCGGTAAGACGGTAGAGATGGCTGAAATTCGGTCTCGTAGCTCATGTCGTGAGAGGTTGCTGTTTGGTGCAGTTTTCGCTCGTATGTCACAGCCAGCGCATCCCATAAGGTGCTCCAAGAAAGCCATAATAAAAAACAATGACTTCGGGACATCAGATGACGAAGATGGCAGATCCAAGTATAAAGGATTCATCTCTCCTGCGCCCTCTTGACTCACTCGTCGTGCGTTTTGTGTGTCACGCAGAGTCTTTGTTATACGGCTGGTACTGACGGGGCCTCCTCCCTGCGAGCTCGTGGATGCAAAGATACGCCTCACATTTCGCATTTATGTGAGGCTGCCGTCCGGGTCGATGTTCTGCTCGACACAGGATTTGGACCTGGTGCGTTCAGAAGTACGTACACACGCACATATATACGTTTGGACTTGGGTTACCTGAGCTTAGTAATCTCATCTAACATTGTCGTCTAAGCGGTGCAGGTTGCATACCTAAGATATGGACTGACAGTACGCCACGTAATAAACTCCAAGAGTCCGATTAGCGGGCACACTTTGGACACTCTTGCTCAGGGAGATGCGTCCTTCTCGCTGACGATAATGGGTGTGGAGCGCAGCTCCATGCAGCCCATCTTCCATGTGGAGGTGAGCCTTGACTTCTCCACACCAGTTTAATCCGAGGCCAAGTGTGGTGTGTGACAGGATTACTTCATATGTGATGGAGACGTGATATGGGATGGGGAGTACCTCGACTTCGTAGGAGTGAACGACAAGGGCCTGAGAGTACTAGACCATTCCAAGATAGACATGTTGAAACCATTCAAGGTTCTCTATCCCTCTCTTGATAGTTTTCACTCCTGAAGAGATTTCCTTCTCAGGTGGCGGGAGTTGTAACACAAGCCATAGCAAGAATGGAAGGCGAAGTTGCAAGACACAAAGCTGAAGCGGATCTAAAGGAAGAGAAAAACCACGAACCACTTTCGGAATCAGATTGGAAGACAAGCGGTGTGAGAATCAGGAAACTATGGAAAACAATATCTGGTTCGAAGTAAAATAGAAAGTAATTTCTAGCAGCCTGGGTAGGGTTTGGGCCATGGGGAAGAGCAGGAAGCGGCAAGCGGCAAAGCGGATGATGGACATTGACCATGATCAAGGTAAACAAACATCCATCTATTTCTTCTCCCTTGTTCCGATGCTGCTCCTGAATAGAGGCACAGGGCATGGATGTAGACGAGCCCAAATCCACATCCAACCCACCCAATGGGTAGGTGTTATTTGTTTTCTTGAAGCTGCCCAATGCTCTCTTGCACGGCAGGCTGTCCAAGGAATCCAAATTGATCGCAAAGCGGCGTCGTGCCGTGAATGTACGCAAGAAGGCGGCGGCTGACAAGGCGCTGGCGATGCTGGAGAAGAAACAGCAAAAGGCTCAGACGGATCTGGCAAAGGTGTGTCGCAAGAATCTACTCAAGAAGCTGTACTAGGTAGTGGAAAGAGGTAGGGTTGCAATGGAGAGTCATCATGCCCGGCTGCTAGCCTTCGATTTTGTGAGGAAACAGGTTGGCCGTCGTGTAGAGATGGTGGGGGTGGCGGTGAGCGTGGAGCGCAAGCCCAAGTACGTGCGCTTTGCTGTGGACGACGGCACGGGCTGCATATCTTGCATCTTGTGGACCAACCAGAGTGGCGCCCCCCAGCAGCAGGCAGCGGCAGACATGGCGCGGCTTGTCACTCTGGGGGGCCTGCTCGCGGTGCACGGCCGCGTCTCCCGCTACCACCACCACCCGCAGCTCACCGTTTCGTCTCTCCTGCCACAGCCGGATGCCAATGCCGAGGTTTACCACTGGATGGAGTGTATCAAGCTTGCGCTAGATTGCTATTAGTTCTCCAAATTGTGGCCCTCCCTGTTAAATACAAGTTAGCCTAAAGGGAAACGATAAAAAGGCGCTGCGCAGGGCAAGAGGGCGAGGGATTGATAGCCCTCTGAATCCCATGTCCAGTTGATCCATAGCATATAACAAGGTAGAGCAATCCATGGCTTCTAGCTCGCACAGTGTTAGAACCAGAGTAGGGAAGTATGAGCTTGGGAGAACGCTTGGAGAGGGTACCTTTGCCAAAGTCAAGTTTGCGAAGAATACTAAAACAGGGCAAGGTGTGGCTATCAAGATCCTCGACAGGGACAGAGTTCTTAAGCACAAGATGGTCGAACAGGTTTGGCTGCCCGCTGCGCGTTTTCCACTCTTCTTCACCTTGTGTTGCAGATCAAGCGAGAAATCTCAACTATGAAACTCGTGAGACATCCTAATATTGTTCAGATAAACGAGGTAACGCATTGGTAATTACAGCACTGGCTTATTTCTTTTATCGTTGCAAGGTTATGGCCAGCAAGTCCAAAATCTACATCGTCTTGGAGCTTGTCACGGGCGGTGAGCTCTTTGATAAGATCGTGAGTTAAAGAAAAGAACTGGGAGAGGATGACTCATTTTGCCAGTTTCACTGTATAGGTTCATCAAGGCAGGCTTAAGGAAGACGAAGCAAGGAAATACTTTCAGCAGCTTATAAATGCAGTAGATTACTGCCACAGCCGTGGTGTATACCACCGTGATTTGAAGGTCTGTCCTTTTCTTCATTTTCTGCTTTAAAGACTTTTCTTATTCTCCAGCCTGAGAACCTGCTACTAGATTCAAATGGGAACCTGAAAATATCGGATTTCGGTCTGAGTGCTCTGCCTCAACAACTCAGGGTAAGCAGGTGCCTTCCTTTTTTCTTTTTCTTTTTTTTTTTTTTCTGTTTTGCTTTTCTCTTTTTTCTTTGTGTAATATTATAGTTGTGTTGAAGGCTGATGGGTTGCTGCATACAACTTGTGGGACTCCAAACTACGTCTCACCAGAGGTAAACCAACTCGGGTTGGCTGGTTAACTAACAACTAAGCAGGTGATCAATGACAAAGGTTACGATGGAGCCAAGGCAGATTTGTGGTCTTGTGGGGTAATTCTGTTTGTTCTCATGGCTGGCTATTTACCTTTCGACGAGCCCAATCTGATGAACTTGTACAAGAAGGTACATATCCAATGTTATGACTGGGTTGAGGATCTCTTTTGGATGTAGATATACAATGCAGAGTTCACCTTCCCTGCTTGGTTTTCTACGGGAGCAAAGAAGCTCATACACAGGATTCTAAACCCCAATCCTCAAACAGTAAGGCACACGGAAACACCACCTGGCTAATCACTTATTTTCTCTATTCAGCGTATCACTGTCCCTGAAATCTTGGAGAATGAGTGGTTCAAGAAAGGATATGTTCCAGCAAAGTTTGAAGAGGAGGAGCATGTAAATCTCTCCGACATTGATGCCGTTTTTAACGCGTCATCAGAGGTATGGCCTGGTTTGTTAGCTGCATGGAACTTACAAATCTGTTTTTCCAAAGGATCACCTAGTAACAGAGAAGAAGGAGGCCAAACCCAATCCAATGAACGCCTTTGAACTAATATCCACGTCTCAAGGGCTTGACTTGTCAGCACTGTTTGAAGAGAAACAGGTATCATATCTATTACTGAAGTTGTTAAATTGAAGGGTGCACTCCTTTAGGCTCCAGTGAAGCGGGAAACTAGATTCACTTCAAGCAAGGCTCCGAAAGAAATTCTTCAAAAGCTTGAAGACACAGCCAAACCCCTTGGCTTCAATATAGACAAGCGTGATTACAAGGTTCTCTTTTCCTCATTTCTATACCCAAACTAACACGGACTGAGTCTAGATGAAAATGCGAGGAGAAAAATCTGGCCGCAAAGGTCACCTTTCTGTCTCAACAGAGGTGAGCGTCTTTGTTTGCCGTCTTGTTATGTCTTATACCCCTTTAGGTGTTTGAAGTTGCACCATCTCTATTTATGGTGGAGTTGAGAAAAGCCTCTGGGGACACTTTGGAGTATCATAAGGTAAATTTTATTTTTTGGATTTAGAATTTTACAGGTATTCTTTGTTTGCAGTTTTACAATAATTTATCCCAAGGTATCAATGAAATCATGTGGAAGTCTAATGAAACTCACAGCAAGATGCATAAGTAAAGTGAATTAAAACAAATTGCAACTCAAGTGATTTCTTGATATACCTTAGTGCTATGTTGAGAAGCATATTACATTGAATGTAACTACTAGAGTAGCCACTCATTCTCCACATAACACTTATATATGGGCTTGATAAGGTGGGGTTGCTAAGTTTTAATTTTCTTCTTTATTTTAAAAAATATTTTTGCTTTTGTTTGATATTTTAGAAATCTTGGAAATAATTAATTAGCCCAAAAATTTTAGTTTATATATAGGAGTGAGTGATCTAAATTGAAACTAATTTAATGATTATTAAAATTCCATTATGCTAATATTAGTATACAGCATCATAACTGTACACTTGAACCTCACACCATCCCTTCCTTTCAAAAGGATAGAATGCAGTTAAGGTTCTTTGGTTGATAGGATAAGATTTAATGGATTTGTAGGTGGTGTTAATTATTTTTAATCTCTTTGTATGAAGTGTTTTAGTTGCTGTATATGCACAAGTTTTGGAGGATTGATCTGTTGAATGTTATACTGAACCTCATAAACTTGTGGTCTAACTTGTTATAACACCCAATATAGTCCCTTCCATTGAGCAAGGAGCCCTTTAAATAAACCATGTACCATAAAATTAAAAAAATAGATTAACACTAAGTCATCTATTTTGTACTCCGTAAGTAGACGATGATAGGAGTTGTCGTATTGTTGTTGTCCCATTTATACGTTGCCCAAGTGTTTAGTAAACTCCACTCAGACAAGTGGAAGAATATTTATTAAATATTGATCCCAAGACCTAGCATCGACAGTTCGTAGTAATTATGAAAGTAAACTTAACTTTGTTGGCAGTATCATATCATGATAATATAAGAGTTTATATAGTGAAACACTAACTAGATTTAGTATCTTTATTACATATGCATACTGAAGAGATGACAAATAACCATCTTAATCGAAATGCTGAAAATTCACGTAATTTGCAATCATTTCTGAATAAGCCATTCCACCAAGCCATTTATTTATGGATGATAAACACTCGTGAAAGTGTGGCATATCCCTTAACTGAAACATTAAAATATAAAATGCCTCAACTATAAATATAGGACCATTATCCAAAAGAATTTGCTCCAAACAAAAATGTTGACTAATGAGAATTGCTTTGTAGCTAATCCTCCCTTTTGTTCTTTAGTTTTTGGTTTGAGGAGAAAGTACTTAATAGCACTTGCAAACACATTAACAAAAGCACAGACTTCCACCACACAAGTCAAATAGTCAAAGGCAATAATAATATATTAATTGTTAGTAGTTAACCATGGGAAATGCCCCATCAAATCAAATGCCACCAAACAAGAAATTGCAATTGACTCCAATTGTCCTTCCATAACATGAGGGGAGTATTATGAGTTTAGCACTAAACACAACTATACAACAATTAAATATTATCACATTACATCTTTAGCTAATAGAAAGACTTATACAACTTTTTAGTCATATATTGATGTCATATATGCCTACTTAGAATAAAAGAGTCATGATAAGTATGGAAAAAGCATGCAATAAATATCAAAGGCACCACTAACTATAAATGATCATCCCTTGTTAGCACCTTCATCAACATGTTTGCTAACTTAAGGTTGAGATGTAGATTTGAGAGAACATTTTGAAGCGCTTGGAGTCTTTCCATCGAGCTGAGATACTCAACATCAGCTATAGAACTCCTTAAATGATGAACAATCTCAAAATCATATATCTAAAGCTTTAGAGCCTCATTGAATAGTATGACTAACTAAGTTCTTTTGCTTCAATAATGAAGTAATTGTAGCATGATCACCTTCTAGTAATATCTAAAAACCATATAAATATGCATAAAACTTCTCAAAACCCCAAACTTTTACTAAACACTCCTCTATTCTGGAGTAATTTATCTTTGTTGGTTGTAATGTACGGTTGATGTATGCAATGAGATAACACTAACTAGGCACACTTAAGCTCTCTTACATCAATACACCTTCAAGATCGATATCAAAAGCATCCACGTGTAAAATGAAGGGTTAAATGTAATTAGGATACACCAAAATTAAAGGAGTTGTCAACAACTTTTTGAGATCTATAAATGCCTACTCATAGTCAATAGACTAGATGAAAGACAATGTTGATGACTTTAGCAATACTTATAATGGTGCAATATGAATAGAAAGATGATCAATGAAATAATTGAGATATTGCACTTTCCTTGTATTGCACATTATTCACACACTTCGGAGTAGGGAATTTTAAAACAATTATAAATTTGTTAAGATCAATTTGCAAACTTTTATGAGAAATATAATACCCAAGATAAGTTATGTTCTTGGACCCAAATATGCATTTTGACCACTTCAACTTTAAACCAACTTTCAGCAGCCGATCCAACTTCTTACAAATATTATAGATGTACTCTTCTAAGTGGATCAAGATATCATCAATGAAGTTAGTAATCATCTCCGACATATCACAAAAAACCTTGACCATTATCTATTGAAAAGTCATGGGAGCATTGTTTAAACCAAATGGCATCACCAAGAATTTGTACAAAAAAAATGGTATATGAAAAGGAGTCTTGGGAACATCTTCCTCAGCCATTGGCATTTGCCAGTACTCAAAAACAAGATTTAACTTGGTGAACTAATGACTTCTTCCCAAATTATGCAAGAGACCAACAATATGAAGAAAAGGGTGCATATCTGGAATAATCATTTTGTATAATGAATGATAGTCAATATAGAAGTGAATACTTCTATTATGCTTCATTATAAGATAAAATTCATACACCCAAAGACTTTAATGTGATAGACAAATCCCAGAGCCCCAAAAGTGGAGTTGAAAGGGTGCCATGTGATAATGGCCGAAGT